CTTTTAGCTAAGTTTGTCTACGTTTGATAATTTTTATTTATTTTTCTAACGTAATGTTGTCTACGTATAGTAGTTAGTTTTCTGTAACATTTTTTTTTGTATTACACATGCTAATCGAAGTAGAAATAAATCTTTAATGATTTGTAACAAAAACAAAATATATTCTTAATTGGTGAAGAAGAAACGACGTCGTCCAAACTAGGGAGAAAACGACAGTTGTTCAGTTGATCAAAATGTAAAAACTTCGAAACGACACCGTTTCCAAAGATGGGCAATAAAAAAAAAAAAGAGAGATGCGCGTGAGAGAAATATAGCCGTTAGAGACAACAAGATACGGATACACAGAACAAAGAAGAGAAAAAAAAAGGAAAAAAAAGGCCGTTAAGAGTAAGTAAGTGAGAGGAAGCCCATATGTTCAAACTTTATATGACCGTTAGCGATTTCCTTCTTCTTCTTTTATTCTGATCTACCACCACAGAGTTATTACATTCCCTCTGTAATCCAAGGAACCAAGAAAAAAAAAAACCCTTAATTCCCCCGCTCCTCTCTCTCCTAGTTCTGTGATTTTAGTATGGAAGCAACGGCGGTTCCGGCGGATGAATCAATTGCTAGTAGTGTTGTGACGACGATGATTGATGAGACGTATGAGTTCTTAGCGCCTCGTTGGTTTGATTTCATTAACGGAGAGACTGAAGATGAGTCTCGCCGAGCAGAGCTTTGGTTTCATTCTGCGTTAAGCTGCGCCCCTTCTCGTTCGTTTCTTTCTTCTCTTTTTCTTTTCCATCGTCTTCTCTCCTGTATAGATTTCAATTTCGTTATTATTAGGGTTTATTGTTTCTGATCTGAGTTAGGACAAGTTACGAATTGCGTTGTTAGGGTTAATTGGTTTCGGCACGATTTGGGTGATACTATTGTTTATTCCAGATCTCTGATTTCAGTTTCTGATTTGTGAAATTAGGGTTTACTGATTTCTATTCTGAGAAGAGAAATTAGGATTTTGTGTTGACTCTTGTAATCTCTCAATTTCAAAGGTTTGATTTGGTCTTTTCTATCTGCAGCTTCGGTTCCTAGGATCAAAGCAAGGAGATCATTCAAAGTAGAGACCATGTGCAACTTCAATGAAGAAGAGGAGGAAGAGAAACCGCTCAAGGTTTTGTTTCTTACTTTCAATCAACACTGCTTTATCCATTACACGCATCAAAATATTAACCTTTTTAATCATTCTGATTGATGCAGGATAAAGAGCCCTCAGAACCACTAGCTCCTACTGATACAAGCGCAATTAAGCCGTCTCATGACAGTTCCAAGGTCGCAGAGGTCAACAACAAGACAGCCGACGCCAGGTTCTTTCTCGTTCTCTGTGGAGATTGTACCGCTGTTAAGTGAGCCGAGAGGCACTTCTAATGCTCTTTCTTTTCTTCTTGTCCATTCAACAGTAATGCGACGACTGAGCAGATTGAAGACAAGGAGAATATACCTCCTGCTTGCACACCCAAACCACCACTGCAGTTCTCGCAAGGAGGCAAGTCGATGGACCTTAAGAAGCAGCAAACTGCTAGAAAGATAGCTAGTCTGCTGAAGAATCCTTCTGCACTTAGACCAAAAAACCAGTCACAGTTGTCTCAAGCCAAAGGCAGTCATCAGAAAAGTGTGAAAAGGTAGCTGACATTCTTAATCACCATTCTGATATATAAATCTGGTTTCACGTTCCTCTTGTAATTGTTTCGTGTGTGTGTGTGTTGACTGCTTCAATGCGTGCTGATTCTTCACTGCAGGGAAACGAGTGTTAGAAACATGGTTAGCACTACCAATCTGATTCAGGAAAATCAAGCTATCAAGAGGCAAAAGCTAGATGATGGAAAATCAAGACAGGTGAGGAAAATTGTTCAAAATCAGCAACCTTCATTCCATATCTCACTTTCATGACTGAAGCTTCTTCTCCATTAATTTATGTAGATTCTTAATCCAAAACCAACAACTCTGCTCCACAAGACAAGAGAAGGTCTTGTAAACACCGGTTTCAACGTATGTCCTTCAGTCACTAAGTACACTCCAAAGGAGAATAGAAAGGTACGTTTTGCAACAGGACTGCTTGTATAAATTTATAGTCAGACACCCTCTCAACTCTTGTTTTCATTTCTCAAGGTTTATGTCCGTGAGAAAATTGCACCTTTTGTTTCAACTGCTGAACTGATGAAGAAGTTCCAAACAAGCACCCGAGACTTGTCATTGCCTCACGCCAACACTTCTCTTCTGCAGGTAATAAAGAATCGAAACTCTCCACTTCCTTTTACTTATCTCATGTCTTTTTATCTCTTGGAATCTCTTTGACTAAATTCCAGGATGGTACTGTTTTTTTCCTTGTCCAGAATCGACCTAAGCTGACACTGACAAGACCGAAGGAGCCTGAATTTGTGACATCTCAACGAGCTCGTCCTTTGAGAATTAAGAGCAGTGCAGAACTTGAGGAAGAGATGTTGGCAAAGATTCCGAAGTTTAAAGCTCGTCCTGTAAACAAGAAGGTAATAATGCATCTAGTTTCAGCAAAGGTATATCTGTACTTGAGAAAAAAAAAAAGAAGAAGCAAAATTAAGGCGTTCTGTGATTTGATGCAGATTTTGGCAGCTCCAGCTTTGCCTGCGCCACAAAGAAGTACACCACATCTGCCAGAATTTCAGGTAGATAACCCCATCATCACTTAAGAACCGACTCACAGCTGTATGAATATGTTATTATCTACAAGGATCTCATTTTCTTACTGTTGCAGGAATTTCATCTACAAACAATGGCAAGGGCTAACCAGCATGCAGAGACATCTTCAATAGTTTCAACGGAAGTTTCTAGGCTGGTAAAGTGTTTTTTCTCACCCCCCATAAAAGTTGAAACACGCTTGGTTGGTTGTTTTCATGCCATCTGATATGCCTCTTTTCCTCAAACGCAGCATAATGATCGGAGGCCTCACCTTACTGAACCAAAGAGCCCTGTGCTGCAAACAATGCTAAGAGCTCGTCCTACTAAAGTAAAAACTACTGCAGAACTTGAGCAAGAGGAACTAGAGAAGGCACCAAAATTCAAAGCAAAACCTTTGAACAAAAAGGTACTACTAAAGACGTGTAGTTTAACACTGTTTATTTCATTTATCCTCTCTCTTAATCTAACTTGGAACATCAAATCACCCAGATATTTGAAAGTAAAGGAGAAATGGGCATCTTTTGTAACACCAAGAAGCACATAACGATACCTCATGAGTTTCACTTTGCCACAGATGAGAGGATATCACGACCAGATTCTGTCTTGGATATATTCGACAAGGTATATTTCAATTAACAGAACCCGCTCTATGCAAGTCTTCTTTTCACTGAATGTTTGACACAACTTCTTCTTGTCAGCTCTCATTGAACTCCGAATCTTGCCATGAAAAGCCTCTACCAAGGAACACTGCTCCAAACCCCTTCAATCTTAGGACAGAAGTATGTGAACGACGAACAACCTCTCTAACGTCAAAAGTGACTTGATACCAATCTTTACTGACCGTTAGTTTAAAACTACTTTGTGGAAATCAGGAACGAGGCGCTGAGAAAGAGAAGAAATTTTTTATGGAGCTCATACATAAAAAATTAGGAGATGAAAAGGCAAGAGTTCCAAAAGCAAACCCATATCCTTACACGACGGATTATCCAGTGGTATGCACATCCTAAACTTCAAGTTTTCCTTCCTTTTCTTTTTGAGTTGCGAAAGAGATGAATGGTGTTGACAAATCTTTACGTGTTCCAACTCTCAGGTACCACCAAAACCAGAACCTAAACAATGCACACAACCAGAACCGTTCCAGTTAGAGAGTCTAGTAAGGCACGAAGAGGAACTGCGAAGAGAAATGGAAGAAAGGAGGAGAATGGAGAGAGAAGAAGCCCAGAAGAGGCTCTTCAAAGCACAACCAGTTATAAAAGAGTAAGTGACCTTTACTATTTGTTCATCTCCAGATACTTTATTAACGTTTTCAAAATGCTCACAGTTTGCTTTGATGATCATAGGGACCCAATCCCTGTTCCAGAGAAAGTACGAATGCCCCTCACAGAAATTCAGGAGTTCAATCTTCATGTAGAGCATCGAGCTGTTGAGCGAGCAGACTTTGATCACAAGGTAAGGTTTTCAGTTCAGTCATTTCAGCAGACAAAAGAATGCTTCAATAACCTCTGAAACTGATGAATGTCTGTTCTATTTGGAAACAGATCAAAGAGAAGGAGAATCAGTACAAGAGATACCGTGAAGAGAGTGAAGCTGCAAAAATGGTATGCATTAGTTAATACACCCGTAACTCGCATGGATACCTTATAAACCTTGGACAAAGATAGATAATACCAGCCAAAATTCAAATTTGTCAGGTGGAAGAAGAGAGAGCTCTGAAGCAAATGAGAAAGACAATGGTTCCTCATGCTAGACCTGTGCCTAACTTCAACAAACCCTTCTTACCTCAGAAGTAAGTTCCAATACAGATTTCATTGAACCATGTCTTCTCTTTACTTTTTATCCTCTCGTACTGATGAAAAAACTTCATGTAACACACAGGTCGAACAAGGAGACCACAAAGCCAAAATCACCCAATCTTAGAGTGATTAAAAGAACAGAGAGAAGAACCATGATGGCTCGACCAACTGTGTCTGCAGCTACCAGCGCCTCCGCTGGTCAGATGAGGTAGTTGTTAGCAGTAAAAAAAATCTGAAGCAGAAGCAGCTGAATGTTCATGAATGCTTGAACCTACATCACCTCTGTAAATTGATTCAGTACTAAATTTTCCTGTGTGTTCTTAGTACTTACTGATATAGTTTGCAGTACATTGCCTTGTGTATCCTGATTCTCAAGTTTATTAAAATGGAAAAAGATTCATTATTATAGAACTTGTTTCATGTTTAATACAAACATAAAACGGCCAAAAATCTTTCTTATGTAAAATTCATTATATAAATTTTGTTTCATGACTAAAAGAAAAAAGAAAAACAGGCTAGAGCATAAACAGCCAAATATCTTATGTACTTTACTAGTACAGTAGCAGTACATAGCATTGTCTTTTATGTTTCCTGATTCTCAAGTTTACTTAAACTGGGAAAAAAAATATATGAAACCATGGCTAAAAAGACTGACTGAGAAAACAAGCAAGAGCACAACAGTCTAATTCATTCATGTACATTGTTTGGATCACTTGCTCCAACCTCTTCTATCCGATTCTTTTTTGGCCGGTACACTACGACCTGAAAGGAAAAAAATAATCAAACAAAGGAAAGTTACAAAGGAAAGTTTCAGACGGCATCACGGCAAGAGACCGATATCTAGATTTAGGTTAGATGAATTGTAGACACTAATAATAGTGACATTACCGTATATCCATGGTTTGAAAGGTAATCAACTTTTAGCTTTTCCAGGGTTTCATCATCTTTAAGTCTTTGCATCTTCTTTATAGAGGTATTATTCTCAATTGCCTTATCCTCTTCTTTAGACACCAACAGTTCAACCTCTTCAGCCTGCAATTGCATCTGGCGTGCCACATACTGTTCAACATTCAGAAATATAAGTATTAAGATCCATGTCATTGCAACAAATTTGGTTTCTCCTCTCATCCCTACAAGTCGAGACTCAAAAATTATATTAGCAGAGGGAGAGAACTCACTTCGCAGAGTTGTTTCACTAGCAAAGTAGGTCGACAACGAAGATATGGCTGAAGTAAGTTTGGTAAACCTTTTGCATCCAGCGAGATTAGCTTAAGAGGAATATCCAACTGCAGAACAATTTTATGTTTTTCAAAACCAAAAAAAATTGTAAATCATAACACTGGTGGTGAACAAAGAGTATGTTCTTTTGTTACCTCCACTTTATTACCCTCCTCTAAGCTCCCGAGATATTCCACAAGTCTATTCAGGCGAGCATTTCTCTTACTATTAGCTCCTTGGTTATTATTCCCTTGCCTTGTGTTACTTCTTGTACCGCCTCTTCCCCATGCAAGTATTTCCGCATTCGACACAAGCCCAGGTGATATTCCTCTGATGTCCTTATGATGCGCCTGCTCTGTGCCATTACCTGCACACTTATCGTTGTTGTATGCAGCTGAAGAAGAAGGGTGAGTTGTAGAGCGCTTTCTCCGTTTTCTCTGCAGGGCACAAGGCTCATCTGAAGAAGAATCTTTGACTCTGTTGTTTTGATCATCATCATCTTGGGGTTCTGATGTATCCTGTTCCATGCTTCTGCAGCTCCTTCTTCTTCTGGAGCTACTACCACTACGTTGGGTTCTCGATAAGACTGCTGCGTCTTTACCAGAAGACTTTTTTTTTGAAAAAGCTGAAGACTGTTGCTTCGATACTCGAGCTATTGATGCTTGAATCTACAAATGAAGAACAATAGTGCACAGATCACTTAGTCACCATAGAATCATTTTGATCTACTTATGTGGGTTAGTGTTATGTTACATGCGAGGCCATGCCTAGGGTTTCTGACCTGCTTATTACGAGCCTTGTCATCTTGATGAAAAGCCAATTCCTGAACAATAATGAAAGGGCATATAACTTTAGTAATCTCTCTCATAAGTAACCTTCTCTAAAACTGTTGAAGAGGAAAAGGAAAAATGTTAATGCTTCACCTCTTCCTCAAATTTATCAATATTTGGGAATAAAGTTGCTATAAAGGCATCAAACAGTTTGTCCTCTCTTAAAGAACGTCGGCTTGCACAATGTTTCCTGCAAGTAGGACACTCATTGTTCCTGTAAATGTATTTGCCAGTTAATATAACCCAGAACAAGCTTTACAATAGGCTGCCTAAATAATGCAGAACATGCAAATGGAAAGCATACCCCAATCTCATTGACTTATCAATGCACTCTTGGCAAAATCGGTGGAGGCATTCCATGACAGTCCTTGTTTTCTTTATAATTCCTAGAAAAGAAAAGAAAACCAATACTAGCATCAGTCAAATCTAGTAAACTGTAGTAACAGCGTTGATGCAATATAGAGCGACTGATTATGTAAAAACACGACTATGAGAAAAGTTGACAATCCAAGAACAATCTACAACAAACTTGTGCAATGCTAGATTCTTTAAAGTGAGCATATTTATGTCAGTTGATCAATGTAGCTGAAGCCTGATTTTCCTAGTTGGTAGTCAACATTCACAATAATGGTGCCGGGAAAGCAATTGAAGCTGACTGATTTTGAAATACAAATGCGCAGAAGAGCAGGTACCTAAACATATCGGGCACTGCACTTCCCTACGGATATCCGCTAGATCAACATCTATATATCTGCAAGGCAAAATCAAGAAGTCCGTTTAAGTAAAAAAAAAAAAGGATGTTAAGCTATAACATGAGCTGAATACTTTGTGATTTCGAGAAGAAACACGACAGTGACTATAACATGCAACCAAGAACCAAACAGTGCATCGGATCAAAGAAACAAAACGCAAACTTAAAAAGAATATAAACTGAGGACATCAGCAGAGAACACTAGTAGTCTAGTTCCGTTGAAAACCCATCAAATACAACGGTGAAACCAATCATCAGATAAATCTCAAGAGAGAAAAGAATTGTTACTCTGAATCTGATTGCTCTCCTCCTGGACCTGAAGAAGGCTGACTTCTTTCCTTAGAATCTGAAAATTTTCAAAGAAGTACCAATTAAAGAAATCGATCACTTTCATGTTACAAACACACACACACACACTCACGCATTGATTGATTCATATATCTCACATACGTATCCATCCACAACTGCAAACAAGAGCAAAAACGAAACCTTTTACCTTCTTCTAACGCTTCTTCATCCTCTGCTTCTACTTGGTCACGTTTCACGTCGTCTGCTTCATCTCCACTTTCTTCCTTATTGTCATCCATTTTCTCCGGATCTCCTTCTGTCTCGACAGCTTCGGGATTGAATCTGTCAGCTTCTGAGTTCCGACCCAGTTGGTCGTACTCTTCATCGGCGGCGGAAAGGTTCTTCAAAGCAGGCATTGTTGGTCGTTGATACAGTGATCTTGGAAACAATAAATAAAGCTCTCACCTTTCTCTATCTCCCTTTATGGCTCTCTCTTGAGGGGTTTCTTATATGTAGTTTTCGTCGTCCTTGGTTGCTTTGGTTCGGTGCCTGCCGGTGGAAAGAAGAGAAGGAGAGAACAAAGGAGGACGAAGAAGGAATAGAGAAACTTCTTTACCTTTTGGCAAACACTCTTTGTATTATTTTATAATCTTTTCATTTCTTACTAATTTCTATTAAGATCCTTGGCAATTACAAGGAAAAATCATAGTTACACCCCTTATATTAAATTCTTCAGTCAAACCCTTTATTTTCTCTCAGATCCTCCTAATCATATCTCTATTTTCTGTTTTATTTTTGGGTCGGACAGACGTATCTAAAAAGTTCGGAGTTTTACCCTAAATTTTTCAATTTTCTGATCTAAAAATAAAATACGTGTGAATGAAACGGCGCATGTTATCCAATTGTCAAACGCAATCAAGATTAGTGGACATAATTCACTTACAAAAAATATTTTACTTACCATTGGTCTATCCCGCATCGGATATCACATACTAATTTTTAGATTTTTTTTCACTTACCATTGGTCTATCCCGAATCAGATAAAATATCAAAAGATTATTTAGAAAAATTTAATCTATAAATATTTTAAACTAATATCTCTATTGTTACTTAATTTTTTTCTATTTTGTATAAGGTTATTAAAAATAAATGTTTCGTTTTATTGTTTATCTTTGTATCTTCTGTCAAAAGTATTGAAAATAGATTTACATTGATCTTTTTAAAAATTTAGTGCTGCGTTTCTTGTTAACTATAAAAGTTTCAAAGAAAAACTTAGTGCTATTTGCGGTAAGTGTATGACAGATCTTATAAGTTCAATTCAAAAACAATTGTTTTTCACAAATTATTTAGTAGTAAATAAGTAGTAACTGATGCGTTATCGTTAAATATACATTAGATCATAGAAACAATGTATCAGTTAATGTATATATTGTCAAATATAGCTAGTTCAAAACTACGAAACATCGGAATTGAATTGATGAAGTAAACATAACAACATGTCGGCCTTCTTCTCGTGTGTAAGCCTACTTCTACTTGCCAACCCATTCTCGCATTATCTCCACACTTGCATTACATGTGACTCGCATGTGTGTGGGTAATAATATACATATCACGCACATCATATCATAATTCTTTTCATTATTCAAGATTAGTTTTAATATCATAATAATTTTAACTTTTTAACATTTGTTAGTTGGGTACCGTAAGAAATGGCAATTGAATTTTACAGTTTACAAACGTTCCATAAAACTACAAAATTTTGTTACATAAGTAATTTTTTTTTTCCTTCTAAAATCATCATATTACATAGATTGGGCCGCAATAAGTTGGCCCATTAATTTCATTATAACACTTGGAAGCCTTGACTCGCTTCCCTCTCAATTTCCTTTTTCTTGTTTTCTGGTAATTTTTGTTTCTCTGTTGTGCTGTGCTTAAACCCTTACCGGAAGGAATGGAGCCGCCGGCGAAAGGAACTGTGACGCCGTTAGCATCGTTGTTCTCAGAGGAGGAGGCGCGGAAAGCAGCAAGTTACGTGGAGGAGAAAATCGGAGAGAAGCGAGTAGAGATGAATCGTCTCCAACAGTTCGTAGATGAAAACGACAATCTCATCAATCTCGTGAAGAAGCTTCCCGATCAGCTCCATCACAACGTTATGGTGAGTTTTACATCCTTTCACTCCATCCTTTACCATCTAATTTTGTTCCCGTTTAATGTATCTCATGCTCTTGTGTACACAGGTTCCGTACGGTAAAATGGCTTTTTTCCCGGGTCGATTGATACACACCAACGAATGTTTGGTATGTTCCGTATTTGATTTCAGTGATGGGACATATGTAATTTGATTTTATATAGTATTGATTTGCTGTGAGGTTTAGGAGTTGTTTAGTAAGATACTAAAGCTAGTGTGAAGTTAAAACTTGTTTAAACTGAAGCAAAGGATTGTTTTGGTGATTGACAAATAGGTGTTGTTGGGAGAGAATTACTATACTGACAGAACGTCGAAACAAACCGTTGAGTTCTTGAAGAGAAGAGACAAGACTTTACAGTCTCAAATTCATTCTCTTAAAGCTGAGATTGAAGATTTTCAAACGGAGGCTTCATTCTTCACTACAACTGCTTCTGAAGCAGCGGTAAGTTTTGTTGAGAGAGTGGATCATGTGTTAAAGCCCTTGTCCTTTTTATGTTCTGCATATGCGTTCTTAAGCGGCGTTGTCAATTTCTTATAGGAAGGACTTGTTGAGATAAGAGAAGAGTATGTAGAAGAAGATTCTTCTGCAACTATGATTCAGTCAAGTGGAAAAGAGCCTTCTGGTCTTCCTGGAGGAGAGTCTGAAGAAGTTGAAGACGATGATTTTGCACGAATCATGTCCAGGTTGAATGAACTTGAAATGGAAGAAGAACAGGAGGGTGAGGATGTGGACGATAGAGGTGAAGAACATGATTCTCCTTTAGAAAGTGCGGAGGAGACCGAGCACGATTTGGTGGAAGGAATTAGAGGTGAGACAGACCGCGATAGTATGGAAAACAGGAAACAGGAAACTATCGTATCTGTCCCTAAGATAGCTTCCAGCCATAGCTCTTCCATTAGTGCATCCAGGGTTTCAGAGGTACTTTAAAAGGATTTTTCCTATCTGGGTTGATGTTTATGGTTAATTGTTTTCCCTAATGTTCAATTACTTTTAATCCAGCCAAGAGCCAAAGCCAAAGTTATTGAAGTGATACCAGAGAAACATCCACAAAACCTAGATGATTCGCTCAATGTAAGAAAAACCTTTCATTTTGATCTTCCCTTCTTTCATTAGTGTTTTACAGCTCCTTCTCTGATATTACCTGTTTTTGCATTATGCCAGTGTATCAGACCAATGGCACACTATCTTCCCAAAGGTTAGCTTTGTGATCTAAAAAGCATTTAAGACATCAGAAAAGTAGACTTCACTGTCAGATTAATATACACAACACTGAATCGTCCTCCTGACCTCCAACCAACATCTATGTTCTTTTATGACCAGAAAATCAATCACTTGGCGAAAACCCCCAGCAAAACGCTGGAACATGGAGAGACTTTCAAGCGACCTCTTCTGTTTCCAGAGGAAACGCAAAAACCAATGTTTTAGGACCACAAAAGATCGAGGTATTTGGATCTTATACTTTAAGCTATACTCAGAACCAATATAGATTAGTCTGCATACGAAATCAAGATAATACCTTGCATTATGTATCTTTCTGTGACAAAAATTTAACTTTACAAGCATCTCACAAATAATCATTCCAACCTTTTTTGGGTGCAGTCTCCTATGCAGGAACCAGAACCCGAGTTTGATTCGACCAAGGTTTTATATCTCTTTCGTTCAAGCTTTAGCTAGTTTCAGGTATATCTGATTTTCCTCTAAGCTCACCAAAGATCTGATCCAACTCGTGTAGGCTTTTACTGGATCAATCATAGAGCATGCCCATGTAAAAGAGAACAGCACACACAATCAAACACAGGTACTTTTCAACTAGACGAACAAAACAACACTCATAATGCAGCGAACATGATTCTTATTGCATCTCGTTTGTTTGTTATTTATGTAATACAGTCTTCAGCGTTTCAACCATCCAAACCAGTTTCAAGATTCAAGGCTCAGAGACGGTAGCTAGTCAGTTTTGTGTAAATTTTTTTGTTGGCTTGCCTTATGGTATGTAAGAACTAAGAACGCATGCAAATGGGTGCATCTTGTAAGCTTTCTATATACAATTAAATTAACCAAAATCTACATCAAGAAATCTGATATTGTTACTTGACTCTTTCTAAAAAGTCTCGAAGTAACTTCTCTCTGTCAACTGGGGAAGCTGACAGTACCCATCTACTAAAATCCAGAATCTCCATGCCTTTAAACTTGGCTAACATCTTGTACTTCTCTCTTTTTTGTTCCCTGTTTGAAGAAGACATATCCTCCTCTTCACTACAACCTTTTCTCTTCTTCTTCTTTCGATCTTCACACACTAAGTTCTCATCATTGTCACTGTCTCTATTTAACCTCTGAGATGTTGCTGTTATTGTCTCTCCTCCACCGTTGATGATGTCTTCATTTCGATGTGCATACAGAATGCCTATAAAATAGTCACATAGCCAGAGCAAAGATTTAAAAGACATATCGCAAAATGTAGTCAAGGAGAGATGAGGACAAATCAGTCTTATTCTTACCCAAGTCCTTCAGGATAGGTTTCTCTGTTTCCGGTTTAAAAGAGCACGAAACCTCTTCTTCTTTTTTATCTTCTGAAACACCTGCCTCAAGCAATGATCTCTTATTCTCAACAATATCGCTAGTGAAGAGCTTATCAGAAAGATCACGGAACAGATTTGAAATCCCGAATAGCTCGCCTTGAAACTCTTTACAGTCCTGCTCATGAGACACACCTAAATATTAGAAGAGAGAACAATCTCTAAAATGAGACTAATAAATTAAAGATGCTATACTTTTACGTACCTGGACGCCTTCAAAGTACCTTGTCTCCATTTTCCCTGCAACCGCAATGTTTGAAAGCTGTTGTTTATATACTTGTCTTGTATAAATTAATTCCTCAAGGGAACCAGCACTCAACAAACGAAAAACAACCACATGACGTTTCTGTCCGTATCGAAATGATCTATCTTGCGCTTGCAAGTCATGAGACGGGTTCCAGTTTGGGTCAAATATAACCACACGATTCGCGCTCACAAGGTTTAGTCCCAACCCACCCGCTTTAGTTGATATCAGAAAAACCTGACATAAAAAAAAAGCTCATTTAATCATCAGATCAAAAGTAGGTAAGAAGAATGAGGATTAATAAAAACCTGTTTGCTGGGACTCGCATTGAAATCATCTACAAGAGATTGTCGCAGATTAGTTGGGGTGGAACCATCTAGTCTTGAAAAGCTATAACCTTTTCTAATAAGAAACTTCTCCAGTATGTTAAGCATCCTGTAATATAATGGATCAGAAGCTTATAATAACGAGATATATCTCCTACACTGATAAAAACCTCGAATTGAATCCAAAAAACTAACCTGACAGAGTAACTGAATAGAAGTATCTTATCACCCTTTGAAATCCAAGAAGCCATCAACTTCTCCAAAGCTCTCATTTTCCCACAATGTTTAACATCACTAAGGTCCATGAAGCTCTTGCTGGCGGAAATTCCTCCTACTAGATCAATATCTGTCCCAAACACTGAAGATACAAACTCTGCGTCTTTCTTCTGTTTTTCTGGCTCATCTTTTGGGTTTGGTTTAATAAGCTCCAAATGATTGCTTATCTGCTGAAGTTTCAAAAGGCATGGAAGCACCAAGCAGAAAGGACAAGAATCACAGCCGTCAGGGTTGTCTCTATGAAGGTAACTCCAGATAGGTCCATCAGGAACAATCCTTCTGCAGCACTCATATTGCTTAAGCGGGCTTCCACAAGCGCATGGATTGTCCTTATTCACAAGGCACTGAATTTCGGGGAGCTGCAGCATTCTTTGATACACACGTTTCTGTAATTGACTCATTTGACAGAAGACTACATTATCTTCTTTCCCCATCATCAGATGTCCAATTGTCTCGTCCTTTGTCCTCCTCAACAAATACTTACGCAGAAGGCTGACCAAATGCTGTTTCCTCGTATCTGCAATCTGGACAAACCTTTCTGGAGCAGTTGCTCTCTGCCCAAGCTTAAGCGGTTCGTCATAGAATTCTCGGAAATGTTCACGAGTGCCTAGCGACCCTGGCGCTACCCAGTCAAAAAGGTTGAATAACTCACTGATCTTGTTCTGCATCACTGTACCCGTAAGACCAATCCTTTTCTTCGTCTTGATCTCAAGGCATGCCTCATAAAGTTTCGATTTTTCATTCTTTAACCGATGAGCCTCATCAGCAATCACTATCTCCCAGTTAATCCCAGACAAAACGGGGCCTTGGATTCGAAAAGTATCAAAGCTGGTTACAAGTACCTCAACACCCCGCGCATTGAGTTTCTCCAGAATCATATCTCGGTTTGATCCGTGGTACACAGAAACCTTGAAGAAGCTCGCCCATCGAGAAAACTCACTCTCCCAGTTGTGGATGATCGAAGATGGGCAGATAATTAGTACAGGACCCTTTTCAGACTCCAAAACAGAAGTATCACCAGCTTCACCGTCTTTTCCATATACTCCAGCAAGAAATGCAATAGTCTGAATGGTCTTGCCTAATCCCCTGAGTCACTACTTATTATCAGAGTTCCATTATCATCATAAAAGATAAACTGTTACAGCTACTGTTTCAAATGCAAAAGAACATTCTCATGAACGATCAAACCAGAGCCATTTATATTAGAGAATTTAAAGTCACAGAAAAACCAAAGTTTTCCCGCTGAATGTTTCAGCAGATGGATAAGTATTGAACATTATTGTAACAGGAACTCACATGTCATCGCCAAGAATGCCACCATGGTTGTTTTTATAGAGATTATACAGAAACTTGATTCCCTCTCGCTGATGTTCCAGCAATCTACAGTTGATAGAAGCCGGTACCTACAGCAAATAGTAAGGCAAAATCAAATACTTATCAACACACAAATTCCATCAAAGATGAGCAAAAATTGAGGCTTTGGTAAGAAAAGAACCTTTATGATCGGAATTTCTCCGATTGATGACAGCACAAGTGGTTCATAAGGCCCGGTATAGTCAAATTCAGCCCGGTTTAATCCGGGTCTGCCAAATTCAATCGATGTCTGATCGTCTTCTTCTTCATCCTCTTCTTCTTCAAACTTGATATTTCTTTTGTGATCATCTTCGCCATCGTCAAGACCTTGGACCTGGGGTTTAGAGATTTTAGATTCGTGCTTCGAGGGTAGAAAGTAGGAATCATCGAGGCGCAGTAGCTGCTGTGAGAGAGACGATTTGGGAGGCTTTCTCGACGGTTCCAATTCTTGGGTCGATGTGATTCGCAACGATGACGATGATGGGAAACTACCACAGGGCTTCAAGGTCTCTTTGAAAGTGTGTAACAACGACATCGCTTAATCGATCGCTGCGAGAGCAACGAAATATCAAAAAATAAAAACTAGCGCTTTTCGAGAAACTGAAATACAAAGTAAAGTTGTTTTTTTTTTTTTTTTTTTTTTTTTTTTTGTAAACACAAAGTAAAGTTGTTATTTTTAGAAAATTTTAAAAACTTGCTCGCTGTTATTTTGATAAGGAGCAAAATAAGGGACCAAAAAGGGAAATAGATAGTAGACTACTTGTGCTAGTAGTAATGGGCTGAATCCAAATAGTAAACTACTTGAACCCAAACGAAGCCCAAATTATGCTCTGTGGTCCAATGCTTTTAGGTTTAGGGTTTCTTGATTCATCTCCTATATATACCAAACTCCTTACAGTCATCGCCGTGAAAAGTCACCAATCGTCAATTGAACCCGCATCTTCTGCTTTTGTTTTTAAGATAGGATTCTTTGGTTATTTGATATTCGAAAGGTTTTTTTGTTGTTGTGAAGAATGTGATGAAAGTTGTAGATCGGTGATAATCTTTTGATTCATATGATCGATAAAATTTTCAACTCGCTACGTTCTTTCTGATTCTTACCATTGATTTTTTTTTTCTTTTCTATAAAGTTTGTTTTTATCTTTTCTTGTTCTCGGTTTTACATAAACTTTGTTTTTATGGAATCTCAACGTTTTTGTTTCAATTCAGTTTTATTCGTTTTGGCTTTGAATTACGTGGTATACTGAAGAAGTGATGAGAAATCAGATAAATCTTAGGACACCTTCTGACACAGAACTAACTCTCTGTGTATGAGAAAGACATCATATTCTGATCTTCAGTTCAATTTTCCTCTTTTTTTTCTGCCAAAACATTTAATTAAATGTTACATCTATCCTTGTGGTTTTTTTTTTGTGCCCTGCTTATTTAAATTTGCTAACTCAGTCTGAAGAGATGATTGATTCTCAGGCAATACTCTAATAACAAAAGTCTCACCATTTAACTTCAAAAGAACAAATTAATACAGTATAACCAATGTGAACTGGAGATTACGTATTCATGTACAGATATCAACCTCTATGATGACTCTTTTATAACTACACACTCTAATCAACAAATAGTGGCTTAAGCCATAAGTATATCTAAAACCTATCTTAGCTCTATCAAATCAACATATGATTTTTGACAAATTAAGCAGTCTAGTTCTTTGATGGAGTACAAGTTAAGTTATATACAAAACTTAATGCTTTGATACATAATTTTGCTCTACCAATTGCGAGTTCGGCCTTGTCTTAACATTTGTGCTTGTCTGTCATTAAGTTGCCGATCATGTTCTTCAAGCATCTGGTCCACTCTGTTTGGTTGAGCCAACAACGGTCCTGACATGTAAATCTTGCTGCCACGAGGATTGTACTGTACGTACGTATAGAAACACAACAATGTAAGTACAACAACCAAACCAACTGCTGCAAAAAGTCAAAAACAGTGATCATTAACTAACCCGACAAGGGTCAGTTGGTGCTGTCATATGTCTACTATCCATTGTATCAGCTCTATTGTATGCTCGTCGATCCCCTCTTTGATTCATGACTGGTTGGTCTTGTCGATCTAATAATGCTTTGGAGGAGACTGAGCCGGATAACATCCTCGGGTTTACTCTAGCTGGAGGGTATCTAGGGAGTACATTCTCCTTCACATGCATCGTTGACTTAGCCATATTCCGGTTGATCATCAATGGACCTGAGTGTGAAATTCTTCCACCAGTTTGATTGTTTCTGGTTTGCATATTTAGATAATCAGGAACTGGGCCATGAGGAGTCCTCTCCTCTTTAAACGACTTGAAACTATCGTTTCTGCTCCTCCAATCTTGATATTGTTTCTGCATTTGCCCACAAGTGTGGTTTGCTTAACAGTTAAGACCTTTACAGTTACCTCCATGGTCATTGCGACCTTAAAAGCTAGGAACTTCAACAGAGTTACTTACCTCCATTGTCATTGATAGGGAGTGATCTGCTTTGATCAATGGGACAGGTTTTCTTTCGTGTGATCTTCTCGTCATAGAGTGTTGTCGTTCTTGTTTCTCTGCCCTTATGGGTTGTTGTCTTTTCGCTTCATCCCGCATTTTGGCGTCAATCTCTTTACTCGGAGGATATTTTGGTAAGTACGATGGATCGCAAGCAAATGGCTTGGTTTTGAAGTACTGAAAAAAAAATACAGAGTTTTGTGATTAATAATGCCTCCATGACCTCATGAAATCAATAGTAAAACATCAAGAATCAGTTACCTCACTCTCGAGGGCACAATCTGCAGAGCTCCGGTGATCAGGATCTATGGAGAGTAAAGTCTCTAAAAGCGAAAGAACACTTGCAGGAAAGTCCTTAAAAATCTCTGATACTTTACGTCGATAAGGAATAGTGGTTTTGAATCCAGCTGAAGACGATAGCTTTTGTTTTCTCCAGTAATTTTCTGGTGGTGAACCGCAAAGCTTGAAGATTTTATGCAATTGCTCTACCTGGAAAAGCTATATTTGAGTAGAAGCAAACAAGATGCAAACTCAAAGTTGGAGGAAATTGAATGTATAAGAATGTGCATACCTCGGTTTTTCCAGGGAGGATCGGTTTACCGGCATATAATTCACCTAAGATGCAACCTGTGCTCCATAGATCAACCCCAACACCATAATGAGAGGCTCCAAGCAAAAGTTCTGGTGGCCGGTACCAAAGAGTGACAACATGGCTAGTCAATGGAACACTTTTTGCAGGGTCAAAAAATGTTGCTAACCCAAAATCTGCTATCTTCAGGACTCCCTGACTGTCAATGAGTAGATTTGAGCCCTTTATATCCCGATGAAGAACACCACGGCTGTGACAATGTTCAAGCCCACTTAGAAGTTGTTGCATGTAACACTTAACCTAAAGAACAGAAACATAAAAGACACGGATTTTGAAGCGAAAACAAAAAATCTACACTTTCTAACTGTGGTAGCAAAGCAACTATGTGCAATACCTGAGGCTCTGAAAACTTGACACCGGGTAGAGAACAAAGTCCTAAGAGATCATGATCCATATACTCGAAAACTAAGTAGAGGGAGGATGAAACAGGGGCAGTGATCAACCCTTCCAATTTCAGGACATTAGGATGATCAAGCCGTCTCATTACTATGATCTCTCTTGCCATAAACTTAACACTTTCCATATCATTAAGATCAAATCTGACTTTTTTTAACGCAACAATCTTGTTATGAAGAAGATCACGAGCTCTATATACGCTGCTATATGTTCCTTGACCAATCTGAATCCATAAAATACCAAATTCACTCTAAGTCTACATATCAAACAAAAACATGATTTGTACCAAAGAGAGTTAAGAAAAGAAGCTTACTTTCTCCAGCTTCTCAAAAGTATTTGCCCGGCGTGGAGCCCAATCCACTAGTGCCTCACCTGCAACGGAGACCAGCCAAGTCGGCCATCCTGCAGCCACTTGCTTCCGCTCTGCGTCTTTTGGACCAACAAAGTTCAGGTCCCGAGGAACCGGTAGAACTGTAGCTTCAATCTCAGGTTTCACAGGTTCCTTCTCATTCAGAAGATGATCAGAAAACTGACTAGAACTCAAGATTTCGGATTCATACAACTGAACTTTAGAATCCCTGCTATTCCGTCTATCTAGCTTCTGTTTCATAACCTTTGTTGGATCAATCTCCAAATCCGGGTCTACAACAGCACTAGAGGCCCTTGTCAATTCCTGAGCATGAACAACTCGATCCATGTGATCAACTTTATCAGGATTCTCCAAGATCTTCCCAATCTGATGATCATGAAACCTACCTGAACTAAACAGTTCTGATTCAAATAGCCTAACTTTGGCATCTCCCTTGCTACTGGATCTATCAAACCCAAGTCCCGGTTGGATCCACTCATCTATCCTCGACGAATCAATCCGTGAGGAACAACGTTTCTCCTCCAATGGCTCTTTCAGTGTTGACTTCCTCCTAAAAGGCCTATGCCTAGAACTTACGCAACCCATTGAAGCTCTAAAACATGAATCTATTCACATAACCAATCAATAGCAAAACGTAACCTTTATTCACCACTCCCCTGAAATCTAAAACCCTAATTACAATCCACTCAGAACAAACAACACTTACTGAAGGCACCACACACTTCAACGGCAAACCCCAGTTCACGAAAACCAACAAGATCGTGCTTTTTCTTTTGCTTCTTCTTCTTCTTCTTCTTCTTCAGAAGGAGATAAACTGTGAAATCGCCGTAAACAGAGATCAGGGTGAATTCTCACCGGAAAAGAAGAAAAAATCAAAACTTTCGCCGGAATTCAGTGAAAGAATGAAGAGAAATTCATGGGAACTGATGATGATTGACTTTAGCCTAAGCGTTGAATGTAATCAAAGAGAAGAATGTAAGCAAAGTTGAGTCCTTTTTGGGATGTAGCAGATTTGACTGATTAAACGCTTACGTACAGTGAGTCACTATCATCGATTATTAAAAAAAAAATGAAATTGTTACAAATAACTTAGCCGCCCCTTGTTAGTTCCACTTCCATGGCATTCTCTTTTATTAGTTTTCTTTTATACAAATGTCAGATTTTGTTAATTGGTTATGTGTGATCGTTGTCACTATTCAATTATAAGAATAGTAGCCAATTCAAATAAGTTGTTGAAGTAAGATTTGGTTTTTAGTCAACTTAAATATTAGATTAAAACTTAGTTGGATTTTAGAAAGAATTTGATAATAATACCATTTTAGCCATTTGCTTTGACTAGTTGTTTTGTTTGAATTTTTATTCAAAATGATTTGATTGTCGCGAAAAAAAGAAATAAGCATATATGGATGTTAATTCAAAACTTATCCGAGTAATCTTTGATTATTTTTAGAGAATGATTGTATAAAAAGTTTTTAAAAAGAAATTAATCAACGAATACAAAGATTGCCGTGAAAGGAAATATATCATTTGAAACTGAGATGATAAAAACATGTAATGTGTACACGCGTGTTTGTAACTTTGTTGTGCTAATGTAAGAGAGATCTTTATACTAAAATATTTATGAAATGCTTTAATTTACTTGGCGCACACGATAGCACGATGTCTTTTTTAGACAAGAAAAAACTAATTTATTTACTAAAATTCTTTTAACTATATACAAATGGTAAATTGAAGAGTAGGATGCCGACATATTCATCGGATGTGGTGTTGCTGCCACTTGCCAGTTGCAACTGTGGCCCTGTGTGTGTTGTATGGCACCGGAATTTTCCGGTCACTTGGATATTTATAGAAAGAGGATTAATTTAGAATGTACATCAAGACTATTGATTGATGGTACGTTATAAATTGATTTACATATGAATTAAGTGAATTTTAAGTATTCCAATTTACTTGGTCTTGATGGATTCAAGAACAGGCTTAGCAATAAAACGTCAAGAAGTTTCGCTCCGTTGTTTTTTCTAGTCTCCTAAGACTGCATAAGAGATAACAAAAAGATTAGAAAATGGTGGAAATTCTTCTTCTTGTCGGCTAAAATAAGCGTAGAGGCGCACTATTATTGCTAAGGCAAATCTCATTTGTTTGTTCCCCTAATTGTTCCTTTACGATACGCCTTAACTGAAAAATATATTAATTACCTCTTAAACAGATTTATTGCAATAAACAATGGCATAAACAGAAAATGCGTATCTTCGTTAATTTCTTTTTAAGTATGTGAGAAATTAACAGAAATAATAAATATTTTTGATCTTCACAGTTCACGCAGTTTCCATGTCTGGTCTCTTGGGAGAAAACCCAATAAAATATAACGACATTTAAGCGCGTGTACTCCAATACAGTCCTCGAAACTAACGAGTGTAAAACACGCTCTTTGACATGAGAGTGGGACTCACGTGAACTAAATCTATTTCCCTCAAATCTGAAGACTTTCATTCACCCCCATTTGTTCTGTCTTTTGCTTTCTTCTTGCATCTTCGGGCAAATCTCAAAACAAAAAATCACACGGATATTTCAATTCCCACACAAAGAAGAATATAATATCTCTCTCTCTCAATTAGATAGATAGATCTCTCTGATGATGGATCCAACAGAATCGCCAAGAACATCGAATGGCTCTTCTTTGTCTCCGCCGAGATCGTACCTTATCTTTATGCGAATCATGAGCAAGAGAAGGACATGGGTTTGTCTCTTCGTAGCTGTCTACGCTATTCTCTTGTCTTCCTCTTGGAACTTTCTCACATCCGTACTTAGCTGGTACAAGCTCCAGTACACGTCGTCTCCGTCGCAGTCGCGGTTACCGGCGGTTTACGCGTCTGTGGTGTTAGGAGCTGTGTTCGGAGCCATGTCGATGGTTGCGGCGGCTGCGGTTGCGGTCCCTGCGGTTATGGTGATTTGGATATCGGTGGTTGTGTTGCTCGCTTTTTTCGGGAAATCGAGAAGAGTGTTGGTTGTTGAAGCTCGCAAGATTACAAGAGAAGTGTTTGGATTTGTCTTTAAGGTTCTTTTGAAAGAAGGCAATGCTGTTGCTGCTGTTTGTGCTGTTTTGGGTTATTTTATTCTCATCAGAAGGGATTTTGATTCGATTTAGGGTTTTTTTTCTTCTTCTTTTTTGTGATTTTGGGATTATTTTTCCTTTATTTTTGGGATCTTCTTAGGGTGTTCTTCTTTTTAATCTGGAAAAATTGATGATTATATTATGAAGAGCTCATGTCTTTTTATATATATATATATATATATATATATATATATATATAACTTGTTGCTAATGTAGCAATGTATGTGTACATTTTTTATAAACAGTTCATGAATCACACGCCCTTGCTTATTTCTTGAAATCGTGTCGTCACATTATTATTAAATTCCTTTAGGATGCAAATGTATGATATTGCATTGTTTGGTTGGATTCATGGTTTTTCTATTTTGGTAAACCATAACAGAAATCTAAAACTGAACCAACAAAAAATGAACAAACTACATTTCAATGGTCCTCTACGGGCCAAAAGTCCAAGACATATAAATCAAATATAGCAGTCTTTTAGAAGTCTCTGGTCTTATAACTTCGGTGGTCAAGGTCCCACAGCGAATGATTTTGTTCGACAGAGGCAAATGACACAGTGTTGTATTAAACGAAAACAGGGAAAGACAATTAAAACTTAGGAGACACGCATCGAGTTATATAACTAGGAAACCCGTCAATTATTTAACCAAAGTTAGGTTTTGAGATTAGCTTCCTACCAGACACGATCAGAGAGAAATACCAAGAAAAGAGCACTTTGCAGGGAAAGAAGGAACAAAGACCAGTGTTTTCTATTCGTCTCAAAGTTTCAGAAGATGATGGGCCGTTAGAATACATTTAAAGTATGAAGCCCATTAACTTAATATGTGTAGTGTTTAACAAATAAAGTTTTAGGAAAAGTACCAACAGGAAGTCCTTTACCCCCATCCTTTTAGCTAGATAATGTTATCATCCACGGGGAACGCTCAACGATACCATCAATCTGCAATTAGAAAAAACATGAAACACATATCATTTATCTTTGGAGTAATTGTTTAGATTATAGTAATCAAAAGAATCACATGACAAAATTCAAAGCCCACATATGATTCAACAAAATATGCATGTATCCAAGCATAAGTACGTAGGTTTCGGCATTTAGTAAATATTTCAAGAAATCATCACACTATCTCGGGGCATAAATATACTTAAAAGAGATCGGAAGAAAACAAACTAAAGAGAAAGCAAGCAAGAGCAAGTAATACCAGCATAAATAACGTACCATTTACGAGATGGTCTGCAAAAGATGGGATGAATATTTCGTTGCCATCTCTTACGCTCAGCCTTAGCTTGATACTCTACAAGCTCCCCATCAGGAGACTCCCTAGCCATGAAAGTAATATAGGCTTTAATTCCAATGGCTGCATTGTCCACGACCCTCACGATATGATCCAGCGTAACAGTCTTTTTCTATAATATATATAATAAAACAACCAAAATTAAGGTAGTAATTATTAGGGATATATATATATGAACGATGACTTCAAGGAGACAGACGACAGAGCCAGAATTGTATTATGTAGTAGTAGAAGTACTAATTAACTAAAAAAAAAAAGTACTAATTAATTACCTCCACTTGGTTGTATTTGTCAATCCACATTGGCCATAATCTCCATGTAGTCACGCCCCGTGAGGTTAGGCTCGAAGTAGTGGGCATCCAGATCGACACAGCGTAATCCATACCAAAGAGATTTAGGAATCATATCTTCATCCACATTAAAGCCCTGGCAAGAGCAACACAATAAACAAGATTGAAGGCTTTATACCAAAAATTGCATATGGCAAAGCAAGTTACGCCTAAATTAAGAAATAGATCATCCAAAGTTCCAAGAGCTAGGCAAAGCAAAGAAGGCTTTAAGAATTCTCGACAAGAGAAAGCAACAAAGCAAGAAACCTGGCTCTCGTGATAATGGCGTGTGTATCGACGAAACGCAAGTTCCCTTTCATCCTCGGGAGGCTCCTCAGGGGACTCGTAGTCTGAGCCATCGAAGCTATCGAAACCCCAAGCCTGGTCCTCGCTTTCACTGTTCCTCTCCTCTTTCCCGCTTTCTTCTTCCTCCGTCGGGGAAATCATCTCGGCCTTGCGTTTTCCGCCACAAGCCGAATCCATGGATTGAGAGTAAACCCTAGGATCGATTTTCATATTATTTTAACTAGACGACAGACTTGTTACAGCTAAAAGAGTAGGAAGTTTTCTGAAGTGTATCTTGCCCTAAGATACTCCTTAAATGTTGCCCTAAGCCAATCCCGAGAAAAAAAAATTAAAGATAAAAAATAATTTGGTTTTTCTCTTTTTCTTTTTGATTAATTATAAAACCTAAAAAGACATATATATGTAGGACTCATAAGACCAAAATCTGTAACATCATGCACCCTCATCATCTTCTTCTTTTATCTTTATTATTGTAAATCTGCAGCACCTAGTTGTTAACTTCAAATTCCCAAAACAAATTTTTCTCGGCTGGATTTTGAATGAGTTAATTAAATCTCAGACTCTTATAAAAAGCCCCGTAATTTCCAAGCGATCTACAGAAAAGACATGAACTATGATCATATACTACACTAATTAAAGATAATACTTTGGAACACCTTTTTATGATTATTATTGTCAGGAACAAATTAAGAGTATTGCGATTACATTTGTACCACCAAATTGTACTTTATAATAGGCGCTATATTTGATTAAAAAGTCCAGAATATATAAACGAAACGGGTCTGTCTAAATATTTAATTAACGTACGTAACTCCCCCAACCCTATCTCTATCTCTGAATATAATAAGATCTCAATCATGGTCATGCAGGCTAGCTCCACATCATCAATCTGCTGCCATCAGTCAAAACAAAACACATCCTTTTAGTTACCCCTTTCTTACGGAACATAACCAAAAGAAAACGCAGGCAGAGATTGTAGATATATACAAGTGCGTGTCAAATTAATAAAGAACTTCCAAACTATTTCAACTGGCAGGCGAATATGATGTTCCAAGACACCATCATCATATATTTCTCTTTTCACATAAAACTAGATAGCTAAAGAGAGATGACACTAATTAATAAACATGCATCTATATATATATATATAAAGAGAAGTAGCAAATGGAGTATATACCTAACTGATCCTCTGCTCAGAGGCTGGTCCGCAGAGGAGCGGATGGATGTTTCTCTGCCACACCTTCCATTCAGCTTTGCCTTGGTACTCCACGAGCTCTCCCTCGGGAGATTCTTTCGCCATGAACGTTATATACGCTTTGACACCACCGCCCAATATCACAACGGCCCTCACTATATGGTCCAGCACCAAATTCTTATTCTATAAATACATACATATAAAGAAGTGAGCCTAATTAGTTGTAATATTATATAATTACTTTCACATAAACAGAGAGTTGGGTATAATTCACTGCAAGAGAAAACAAAAGGTACGTGTAGGAAATTAATTAATGACTAGCCTTTGTTTCGTTGTATTTGGCAATGACCACTTTGATCATGTTTTCCATGTACTGACGCCCTGATATGTCGGGAGGACTAAAATAGGCGTAACATATAAGTAACCAAAGAGTTACGTACGTACACTTTAATTTCTCCCTATTAATTAAGCTACCAACTTCAACATGCATCGAAAAGATAATTATTTAACGAAGACGATTACAGAGAGATAAGCATGATACCTCGCTTTTGTGACATTATATTAACGCAGAGGTAGCGACGCCAATCCTCGGTGTCTTCAGGATCCGAATTGTATACACAACCCTCGAAACTATCAACATCCCATTCTTGATCGCTTTCGATGCTATCCGTATCCTCTACTTCATCTTTTTCCTCCTCCTCCTCCTCCTCCTCGTCTTCTTCTTCCTCTTCTCCCTCGCTTATATATTGCGGAAATCTCGGCCTTTTCAAGTGACAAGGAACCAAGGTCGGTGGATATCGTCGTCTCTAGTTCGGTATTTGCTTCTTCTACGACATCGCTGGATTTGGGATCCATTTTTTATTCTTTCCAAAGTGTCAAACCCTAGCTAGATAATTCTATGACTATGACTCGGACTAGTTGGGAAGTCGATACTTAAACTTGGCCATTGACAATAATACCCTCACGTTTTTATTTCTTTAAAAATTATCTTTAAAACATGTTTCTCGTCATTTTTCAAGTCAAAGCTGTCTGTTCAAAATCATACTGGTTATATATCATATTTTTCGATTATATAGTTCTAGTAAGACAGTAAAATCATCATGATAAAGTCAAAACCTAGCTGTTCTCTCTCGGACAAGATGTACGGCGTTAATTACATTAGCGTATAATAATCACGTTTGACTTAGTATTATTTTTATCCGGTTAAGAAATCAAGAAAAGGCGAGATAAAAATAAATGTAAACAACATTAAAATCCCAAAAATACATACATATATATGTTTCTATTTACGAAGTAGAAAAGGATCGACAACATGGTGGATAGAAAAGATGAGCAAGAAAACGTAGAGAACCAATGCGACTAAACCGGCTATTAAAGCTCCGGTTATCTGATCGCAGAATCTTGGTACTTGACCGCAAATTGGCAACCATCCTGCGTTTGCGTTTCCTCTTTTCCCCACTTGTGCCACCGCCACTGCCGCTGATAAGCTCGACGTCAGCAGCATCGTCACCATCTTTACGGTTAATTTAACAGTTTTAATTACAAATACAAATTGTTTGAGTTAACAACATATTTTATCGATTAAGAAGTTGTTTGAATCAATATAATAGAGTCATGATCCAAACAAATTATATATCTCTTGTATGTATGTGTATATCTAAAATTTATTTTATCGAGCATTCTTCTAATTACCCTTTAGAATGTGTATTTTTTATAACATTAGGTAAATATGAATAATTTGCTAGTATAGAGGTGTAGTATATATTAATTACCAAGTCCAACACAACTACGAACTTCCACAATAAGCTCTCTTTTGGAAGAAACAGAACGAGAAAGCTATAAACGCTCACTATCGCGTTTGCGATCACGAAGTACCTACGATACACACGAACACATATGCATAAGCATATACATAAACTTTATCCAAATCATAATTAAACACGCAAAATAGGAAGAGAAAAAAACTTACTTGAACGCAGCCAAATCGCTATACTTAGCCACTAGGGAGAGGACAAAGAAGGAAGATCTCTCACGGCTGGTGATCATTGCGATAACCGCTCCTAATGCGGCACAAAATGCCGCAAACCGCAGTACCAACCCACCCAATCTCTGTGTTAACTTCACCATCAGTTTTGTTTTTGGATCTCTAGCTTGATAGACGTTTGAACTGTGAAATTTAACTATGGAAGAGAAAAGGAAGGGGTGAGAGAGAGACAATGTAAGAATAAGAAAGTCACGTAATATAAACCAAAGTAAAATGAATATGATATTGGAAGTGTTGGATGGGTTTGTTTCAACTGTCTCCACCGGTCATGCAAGATTTATTTATTTTAAAAGAGTTTTATACAGCAATATAAAATACTATCAAATGTGAATCAACTAACATGAACAAATTAATTTCCTCGTGAAACAACATTGACATTTTTCAAGCTAATATTCTTTATTAGAATATCCTAACATACGTGTACCCTCTGGGTTTTGTTTTAGTGATCCCGATTACAGAAATTGATTCAAAAAGGTTATTACAAAACTTCTGTGTTTGCTACAACCATTAGAACTCACTCAACCTAAGAATTGATCTTTGTATCTAAGGTAGTAAAAATCTTCACCATAAATCCGTTAAATGTCCCGACTATTTCTGTTGTTAGCAAATGCTGATGGTGTTTCTGCCTTTACGAGTTATGGACCTGCCCATTCTTAAGCGACGTCCTGTTAGTGAGTCCAGTAATATGACCAAAGCTTCCTCGACAGCATCAGCTTGTTTGTCTAACTCGTAGCTGCTTAGCTGTGGGAGAAGGCTAAGCTCGGATAGGAGTCCAATTGCTGCTGCTGCAGTGCAGGTCCGGTCCCATGATGGTTGTGGCCTGTACGTCAAAGTTCAAATGAGTAAGGAGAGCACTATTTTTGGCAGAGAGAGATTGGACAAGAGGTTTGAGACAATTTTTACCGGAGTTTGTGCATTGCGGATGCACCAGCTGCAAGAGATATACAAGGAAGATTTTCGTCTCCCCATACTGACTTTGCGTGATCCTACAGATGAGTTTAGAGTTTAAGCATCTTTTTCGTTAAGCAAGTTATTTGGAGAAAGGAAAAAGATGAAATCCATGTGAGAGATGATCAGCCTGTACCTTCAAACGCTTGAGCATTGCAGCAGAATTGTTCCACGTGCCATCAAGCAAAATAAAATGCAGAGTTTTCTCCTCATCTGTCTGCGAAATATAGAAAGTGTAGATGATGACCTTTCAGTCTATATCCTTACACAACCTAATCTAAGTTTTTTTTTCTGTTTGAAATAAGCAACGATAGAAGAATAGAGAGTTTCAAGTCAAAACATTGCAATCTTTACCATGGATGATCCAGGATTCTCTGAAGCCGAACTACCAAAAGTGTCTTTAACCGAGAAAGTAATTTCCGAGTTCTGGTTGGGATAGAGGCATCGGACTTGGTTTTTCCCTGAGCATCCATCAGAAGAAACATAGACGACTTTAGCATAACCATTAGAGATTATGAGTGACATCATTTTAAGTTTAAACAATGCATCTTCACTTGCAGGGATCTAAGACTAGCACCTGCACGCTTAAATTCATTCCACATGATCTCTTCGTCTTCAGCTATTCCAAAGAGACAGAGTGTAGCGGATTGTACGCCAAATATCTGCCACAATAACTTTCCCGTGTTGTTCTGGCGAAGAAAATCCTGCCAACAGCTAAATAGCCTATCAATCCATTGGAGTTGGGGTACAGATTCAATTGGAATAGCCGAAACTGGTTAGTGCAATACTAACCCTAGGATGCATATACAGCCAAAAACGTATCTGTTTCCATAAACCACATGGCTTGACATATGAACACATGCAATCCTCCATAGCAAGCCAACACTGCAGATTCAGAAAATGTATCATCTCTAAGGTAATGAGTTGTTAGTGATGGCAAATACAGCAACTCAAGAAACAGTAAAAGAAGAACCTTTGGGCATAAATAACCCCTGCTCCCAAGCAGCCGGCAAGCAATTTGTCGAGCAGAGAAAAACCGGAACTTTTTCTCCGGGTCATCTAATGCTTGATATGTAGCCCTGTGTTTCTTATCTTCATATGCACCAAACGGCCCCTGTGGTAGTTGCAGAAAAGTAGAAGTATTATAACCTCACTCTGACACTCAAGAGCTCAAAAAAAAAACTCAATCATAAAACCAGGAAAAACAAGTAGCATCACACAGCAAGACGAATACTCATATATTCATAGAGCTTCAGAAGTACCACAGAAGAAGATACCACAGCTCAAATCAAAACGGCTTTTGGGTCAACTCTCTAACTTAGCTTACTAGTTTGAACACAAAATTAGAAAATCAGAACTAAGGTAATGTAAGCATTAAGCACTAAACAATCTAAGCATAAACGATTCAAAAGGAAAGAAACTTGCCACCATCATAGTCATTGGCAATTACCTGTAACTTGCCACCATTTCCACCAAACTCTATAGGCGAATCCAATTTGCACTCCAGAACTTTCAAATCATCCACAATCTGTTTGACCGCGGCTGGGAGTGGTGACACCGGACCCCATCTCCGCCACTCATCCACCGAGATGAATCCGCCATCACAACCATCGGATTCCCTCAACTGAGAACGCAAATTCACGGAAGTCATAACCAATCTCCGGCCAACAGCTCCGAGTTTACGGCGGCTGATACGGCAGTGAAACAGTAGAGACGGAGAGGAATCGAGTACGGATGCTCCGGCGGCGATATAACGCATCGTTGGGTTCTCTAGCGAGGAATAATAATTTAAGTTTACGGGTAATTAAATAATAATGGGCTTTTATGAGACAAAGGCCCAGTACAACAAGGTTTTTGGATGTTACCATCTTTTTTTTTAACGTCTTGCAAGAATTATGGACCGTATCGTTTATACGAGAAATTTTAGTAGGCTTTAATGAAACTATTGCCCAGTAGGCTTAAAGCTTAATGGAAAGGTACAAAATAAGATAAAAATAAAAATATTATTAGTTCTAAAAAGCTTCTAACCGTATTCTAAAGAGAAAAAAAATCAGTCTTCTTCTCCTATCTCTCCTTTTCATAATTTTTGGGTTTTGTTATCTTCTTCTTCTGGATATTATTACATTTGGGGCTCAAGGACAATCTCAGGAATCTATTGTGTGTGTTACCCTTGCTTCTCCATCTCCCTCTCTCTCTCTCCTCCACACACAGAATGGCTGCTTTCACGTGTGCTTCCCGTCCGCCGATTTCTCTCCGGTCAGAGATGAGAATCGCTTCCTCGCCGATGGCTTCCTTCTCTACTCGACAGATGTTCTCCGTGTTACCTGAATCGGGAGGATTGAGGACTCGCGTCTCTCTATCTTCAGTCTCGAAGAATTCTAGGGTTTCTCGATTACGACGAGGTGTTGTCTGCGAAGCTCAGGACACTGCTACAGGGAGTATGTTCTCGTCTCTCTCTGTAAATCTGTTTAATTATTCCTCGATAATGCCTCTTTGTTTCTGGGGAATTCGTATGGCTTAACTCGTGTCTTCTGATGGGGTTGATCTTTCACTGTCTGTGTAAACTACTTAAGTAATCTGCCTCAATTATATAGTTCGAAAAGTAGTCAACTTGGAAGAATACTAGAATTGGATTTGAACCTCTTGTCAGATTTATTTACTTGCACAAGGTTTGTATATTAGAATCTCTAACTATCTATTTCGGAAGCAATTTAGGTTCACTGCTGTTGGAAGTAGCAATTTGATTTCTTATCTCAAGTAGCCTTATAATATCTTGGAAAAGTATGTCATCATCATGCCTATGTATGTAATCATGAGACTTTTAAGGATGTATTGAAGAACAAGAAAACAACTTTCTTGTCCATTGCTCTACATAGCATTATATCGTTTAGGATAACTCACTTTGTATCACAATGCTTCATTTTTTGTGTGTTTCCTACATGATTATTTATAAACCCCTTTCACTCTTTATGGTGATGTGGCTTTAACAAGTCAGCTATCCCTCCCTCTCTATGGAGCATTATGTAAACAAACATTGTTTTGATTTCCCTTCCCTTTCTTCCTTATTCTATACCCTTATGGTGTGACCATTAATGTTGTTTTTGCTATATGATCGATCCCATGCAGTTCCAGTGGTCAACGATTCAACATGGGACTCTCTAGTTCTCAAGGCTGATGAGCCTGTGTTCGTGGACTTTTGGGCACCATGGTGTGGACCCTGCAAAATGATTGATCCCATTGTCAACGAACTGGCAGGACAGTTCGCAGGGAAGATGAAGTTCTACAAACTAAACACTGACGAGTCTCCTGCAACTCCAAGCCAGTATGGTGTTAGAAGCATCCCGACCATCATGATCTTTATCAAGGGTGAGAAGAAGGATACCATCATCGGTGCAGTGTCCAAAACCACATTAGCAACGAGCATCAACAAATTCGTGCAATGAAGTAGTGGTCACTGTTAAAAAAGTCTCTGCTTTTCTCTGTATTTCTGAAGTCTGAACTATTTACCTGTCTACTCCCCCCACTCATCACTGTTCATCTAGACATGTATAATATAATATGATGTCTCAGATTTTCAGAAATTGAGATTACGAAGACATTTTTTATGTGATATATACCGATCTACTCGGGTTGGAGAGACAAGATCTACACGGATTGGATTCAGGATCATCATCATCATCTCTATGACTCTTATCTGTTTCTTCCTAATTTAGCAGTGTTTACGACGACTTTACTTGATGATACGTTTGAGACTTGTTGGTGTTTAAATTTCGAAATTTAGGTTTACTAATTTTGATAATTGCTTCACACAATTATAGTTAACTAAGGTTTTCTTAAGTGCCAAATCAAATTATCCTCTAACTGAAACCTCTGATCACCACAGAGGTTCTTTCGTTGACTCTTTTGTCAACGAGAACCGAACAGATGACATCATCACTAACCCTAACAATCGAATTAGCTCTATAAAGTCCAAAACCAAACTTTTTCCATTATTTTCTTAAATAAGTTTGATCGAGTAATTTCCTTTTTCTTTTTTCCCCTCCGAGTAATTTCCTTTTTTTCTCTTATAACGTATAGTACTATATTACTTACATATACTTTTTAAAAATATTTATATGGTTTGAGGTAATTTCCTTTTCCGTTAGAGTAATTTCCTTTTTTCTTTTTCGAAATATCTATATATATAAAGTTAACTTTTTCTCTCTTCTCCTTAAGCCACATCATCATCCACCTCATTTTATTATTTAATTTTTAAAATTAATTATACCATTTTATCATTTAATTTTAATATTTAAACCTATGTAAATAAGTTTTTCCAAAAATGAATATGAAAGGTCTTTTTTATATTATACATTATAAAACTAAAAAAGATAATTGATTAAGAGTTAAAAAACTTACTAATTATCGATTATACTAACAAATATATAAATAATAGATTATAGTTTTAGTGAATGTTTAAAATATATATATGATTATATTTACACAATGTAAACCTAAAGATAATGAGATTTAACGAGAATAAAAAAAAAGTAAGAAATTTTGAGAATATAAATCTATCTAATTTATGTATCAAAAAATTTTCTAACATAAGTGAGATAGGTCGGACCGAAAAATGAATTCTTATTTTTTATAAACATATAAAAAGGTAAAAATAAAAATATTATTTCTTTAAAAGTTTCCAACATGAATTTAACTATTTGTTTCCAATACAACACATATGTTAAACTAATAAACAAAATAAAGAATTAACTATATTTCATAAAATTGAAAATTAAAATAAAACATTATTAAATGAAATAAACTAAATATAAAGTAAATTATACTAATATGTTAAATTTAAAAATTGTTCCATATGAAAAACAAAAAATATATAAAACATAAAATCAGAAAAATATATAATAGTATATAAATGATCATTACGAGATATAAAGTACGACAAATCCAAGAAAGGAAACCGTAAAACAAAAAATAATAAATTAAAAATGTAAACAATTAAAAATACAACAATCCGCCCGAAACCCACAAATCATGTTTAAATTTCATGCCAACATATAAATAGGCCCAAAATATTAACATCTAGATCTATATTTGGTAAAAAATCTAATAGCACACGTTTCTCAATGATTCTCAATCGTACTTCCATTTACGCTCACACTTCGACTTATACTATACACACTTAATTTCTCAACGACTAATGAAGATAAATCTCAATAGTTTTTCTATATAAACACAATTTAAGTTTTAAAAAAGTAAAGTATGGTATAGTGAAAAAATAAGTAGGAAATAAAATACGAACCAATTACTCATAAACAATATAATAAACTCCCGCGCGTAGCGCGGGCAACCAACTAGTATATATATATGAGTCAGAAATTTCCTTTTTCTTATGCCGCATAAAAAAGTAAAATTTCCATTTTTCCTTACATCTGTGTGTTTTATAAATACTCTCAACACAGTCTCTTGTTCTTCAGCAAATAGAAATAACAAAACATTGAGAAACTACATAGTTAAGATCAGAGCGTTTCATCATCTCCTTCTTCAACTATTATCTGATGGTACAATAATTCTAGGGTTTCGTTCACTTTGGCTCTTTCTATATCTATTTGAATTACAAATTGACGTGCGAATACGATACGATCGATGATGGTTCTTCTTCTTATTCTCTATTTGCAGTATCTCCATTGTGATTGATGGTGTTTAACTTGGAATTCCACCCCATCCATATAAGCTGTGTGAGTCAAATTCATCCCCTTTCAAGTTTGTTATTCTTCGGTTCTCACACAATCGAGAATCTAACTGGTATATCCTTTTTCTTTGTTTTTGTTGTTGCTTCTTCCTTCTCTCTCTCTCTAGGTGATGACGATGGTCCAATCCTATTCTGGAGATTGTATTGGGGTTTGTTTCTGGATTCAAAGAGAGGAGACGACCACGACCACGACGAATCTATGTTATCTTTACTCTTCTGGAGAGTGTTGTGGTGAGACTTGTTTCTCCACTTAATTTTTAATTTCTTACTTTCGCTTCTGTTATGTTTTCTTATAAAACGAGGTTGCTCTGAATTACAGGTTTTAACAAGAAGATCAAAGAGGAAAGGGTTTGCCCGCAGTTCCAGGACCAAGTGAGTGTTTTTTGTTTGTTTGCATTCTGATTTTTATATCCCAATTTTGTAGCTATTTGATTTTCACAATTTCATAGGAAGTGTTCCTGATGCAGGAGGAGGGGTTAACACGCTTTCACTGTCTCCATGTCAATGAGAATGTTTAAGTAAGTCTTGAATTTGGATTTGGTTTCTTTTGATCTATTTAGCTGGCTTGTCTTCACGCTCCTAATGCTTAAATTTTCATACTTTAGGGATCTGATGATGAGGATGGTGACGAAGACTCTTCTCTTCTTTTGGGGTGAGATTTGTCTCTCCACTTCTTTAATTTCTTTAAATCTCTTTTTTCATGTTTGCTTAGTTACGAGTTTGGTCTAATGTTTAGGTTTCAACAAGAAGAGCCAAAAATATTATACGTGGAAAGGTTTTGCCTGCAGTTCCAAGAGCTTTGAAGGAGCTAAAAGTGAGTTTTTTCGTTTCTTTGTATTATGATATCCCAAGTTTATAGCAATTTGATTTCAGTATTCTCGTTTGAAGTTTTCCTGATGCAGGAAGAGGGGGGTTAGGACGCTTTTCATCGTCTCCTTATCAATGAGAATGTTTAAGTAGGTGAATTTGGATTTGGTTTCTTTTGATCTATTTAGTTTGTTTTTCTTCACTCTCCTAATGCTTAAATTTTCATTCTTTCAGGGATCTGATGATGTTGACGATGACAAAGAGTCTTCTCTTCTCAATCTTCCCAACCTTGATTGATATTTCAAAACCTTGCTCTCTTCCCTAATCTTCAAATTCGTCATCAAATTGGTACTGTTTTTATGTTTGGTTTTCGTTCCATTGCAATTAGATTGACATGTGTGCCAACTGCCAAGCTTTAGGTTATAATCAATCACCAGCTTTGTCATATATATAAGTGGAACTGGACTTTCACGCCAAAGAAAGAACTTTTATGATTTATGTGATATATAATGTGGATTCCTTGACATTTGCTTGGTTGATTTTGTGTGACAGATAACCGAAGACAGAATCTTTAGGACTGCCTACGCAAAACTTTCTCAAACTCTTTGTTTGCTCTGAAGTAAGTGAGAAGCTCAATGATTTCATTTTATGAATTAAAAGTTCTTCCACCAGTTAGGAAAGATGTTTTTGAATGTGTTCAACTGTTTAGGCTAGGATCATCTCCCTTGACGAGGCTGAAAAATTACTGCTTGGTGATGTCCACAATACATAACTAATGCCAAGTAAGTATCTTCATCTTGTGACATTTATACTACTTTAATTTTTTTTTTCTTTTTTTTTCATACTCGCAGGAAACAAATTGATATGTGTTTGTTGACACATTACTTACTTTTCTGCAGCAATTGTGAACCGGCTTTATGATATTGCGAATGTCTTGTCATCTATGATGAATTTCATAGAGAAGGGAAACTAAAGATTCACAACGATCTCTAACTTACATTTTGGAGACGGAACGGTGTACCTAATGACGTCTCTGTGCTTACAGACTGTAAGTTTTCCCAAAATCCTCTCTGCTTTGTTTTTTCCTTATTTTGTTCCGTTTTCAAGTTTATCTATCCCTCAACCCATACATATATTTTTTTGTTAGGTTATATTCAATGCAGCCAGCCTATTAGAAGTTATCCTAAAATTGTGGAGACCTCTATATCATCAACACTTATGCAGCTGTAATTCAGACTTTGAAGCTTTTAGGGTTATTTTATAATTTTATCATTTAGACTATTGTTTAATTCAGACTTGAACATTAACGCTGGTTCTTTCTTCTGATTCTATATGTGCAGATAGGAGATGGTTTCAATCATCAGCACAATCACTCAGTACGATGATGATGCCTTCGCTAACCCAAACGATGGTCAAATCCTCTTCTTGATCTGTAAGTTATCTCAAAATCCTATATGCATTTCATTAATTTGGTCTGTTTCAAGTTTATTTATCCCTCAACCATTAATCTTTTTTTTTTTTTTTTGAAACACAAATATACTAGTGAAGTGGAACTAGAGAAGGCACCTAAAGATTCAAAGCAAAATATGTATTTTTCATTGCCTCATGCCAACAATTCACTTCCACAGGTTATATAACATTTGATACTCTGAATCCGTTTAAGAGTTATAAGCAGTCAAGAACTTGAGCAATAGATGTTTTTATTGGCAAAGATTCCCAAGTTTTAAGCTCGAATCTTGAATTAGATGGTAATGCATCTAGTATGTATATTATTTGTACTTGAGAAATAGAAAACTAAACTAAACTAAGGCCTTCTGTTATAATTGATGCAGGTATGGGCAGCTCCAGCTTTGCCGGCATCACAAAGAAGTACACCACAGCTGCTACAATTTCAGTTAAATCCCATCCATCACAGATTTAGTACATTCTCATAGCTTAATAAATCTGTTTTATTAATCTTCTAGGAACTCATTTTTTTTGTTTGCAGTTGCAGGAATTTCATCTTCAAACAATGGCAAGGGCATACAAAGATTTTACGGAAGAAGTCTTTCAACAGCTTTAACGGAAGAGGTCTCTAAGCAGGTAAGAAGCTTCTTTCACTTGGCTTCTGAGGATTATACTAGTGGGATATAGTGTTTTCATTTAGGCTTTGGGTGATATGGTTCCCCTGATTCTATGTGCAGATAGGAGATATGGTTTGAAGAACGAAGCCTCATAACAGAAAACTTTAACATGAAACTAATTCTAATGTTTGATGGTCTTTGACTCAATTCGTCTTCTTTGTCCACTACAAATTCCCCATCTGTAAGTGAGAGTCTAACTTGCTTTTAAAGTTTATTTTGTTTCGGTTTTTAATTTTAGATCTTCGGATAGAGATTTTTATGGTTTTCTTGTTGCTTCTATAGATGGAGATATATGGTTCCCTCTCTTCTCAGCATTAGGGATGACCAAACAACAACAACAACAATGGTCAAATCCTCTTCTTGATCTGTACGTTATCTCAAAATCATTGGAAAAAATATCCTTTTTTTTTTTTTAATATTCAATAACAGTCTCTTTTCTTTTACTCTCAGCATCGTTAATGAGTTAGATATGGTGGTAGTATTGTTTTGATGTCTTTGCAAGTGAGGCGTACGTTGTTTCATGGCTTTTCTTCAACTCTCATCTGATTTCTCGAGAACTCAGACCTAAGAAAAGGTAAAAAACCAACCCGCTCAACATTTTTTTCAGTCATCAACACTGATTTGTTCAACCGTCACTATTGTTTAATATAAATTTTAATCATTATAATAATTTCAGGATAAAGAGTCGTTAGAACCAGTAGCTACAACTCTTTCTAGATGACAACTCAAGCCTCAGAAAAGAATAAGTTATTCCTTCTGAATTAAGCACAATTAAGCTAGCCGTTTTAATGCAGACATGGTGACCTAGTTGAATTGGGGGAAGCTGTAGGTATTATCGCGGGTCAATCGATCGGCGAACAACCAAGCCTGAACACGTTTCCAGTTGTTGATCGACGCGCTCGGGTCCCTCAACCGAGAGCCCCTCCTCGCTACGATCCACCCTTTCTCTAGCCCTCTACTCAACCGCTTTAGCTGGCCCGCTAGGTCAACAACAAGACCGCAGATGCCAGGTTCTCTATCATTCTTTATGAGATGGTATTGTAGTTAAGTTAGATGAGAGGCCATTCTAATAATCTTTCTTGTTCATTCAACAGTAATCTAGGGGATGCGATGTTTGAGCAGATAGAAAATAAAAAGAATATTCCTTGCTCAAATCACCACTTTATTTTTCTCAAGGAGATGAGTCGATAGACCTTAAGAAGCAGCTGAAAAAACTGCTAGAAACATAGCTAGTATGCTGAGGAAACCAATGCATTCTGTTCTTTGATGCAGAAGTACTCCACACTTACAAGGATTTTCAGGTAAATACTTATCCTCCATGATAGATTATATATCATCACTTTAGAACATAGTCATAACTCAATGAAACTGTTTTGTTAATCTACAATGATCTCATTTTCTTACCTTTTTCAGGGATTTAATCTTCGAAAAATGGTAAGGGCTCACCAGCATGCAGAGACATCTTCAGTTTGGGATCCTAGAAAAAAGACAACGACCTAATTCTATTATTTAATTGCTTGCTTAGCAATTGAAAACATTTTTGTTGATTGGTACGCACATCTAGACTTTTTCTTTCTTATTTGTGATTAGGTTAATGGCTTGGTGGGATTAAAAATATTTTGGTTGCTACCCCAATTTTCTCGAAGAACGTTCAAAACTTCTACATCTTCTTCTTCCTTTATCAACTAGATTTCAAAGCGTCTTAAGGTAATCTTTGAGTGTGTATTTCCAAGTTGAAGTTCTTATCATTGTCTTGTGTTTCGAAAAAATGAATTACTGATCTAATTTGTGAATCTGATTTGAAAAACATGTTCTTGTCAAGTCCTATCATCAAGCTTGGATATGGCCTTGGGATCTGCTGGTTCGCCAAATGGTTTACAACCAATGCTCTTGAGTGATTCACAACGTCGTAGAAGATCTAAACTAGAAGAACGAATCATATTTCTTATGGTGTTTACAACAATAGTAGCAGTTGTGACATTTGTTATGGGTTTCACATGTACAAAGATTTACATGAATGCTGCTCCAGATTTAGGCATCACAGGTTTGGTTAAGAAAGCAGTATTTATTGTTTTCCTGTTGTGCAATAGCATTCCAATGATCTCTTGTGTTATAGCTACAACGAATCTCATATGGCCACAACATCAGGGTGATATTCCTCTGATACAAAAAGCTACACTACGAGCCATGGGACTTGTCACACTATCTTTTGTGTCAATGTTGGTTGCATTGATGGTTGGAGTTTTACTTGTGTTGATCCTTCTTCCGTGGCGTTCCTTCTTCCATGCTTTTAGCTCCAAAGCACATAAGTGATGGGTGTGTTTTGTGAACATTCTCCATACACATTCAAGCTCGTTATGATTTGATAAGATTGTATAATTAAAACGAAACTTTTCTCTATTTGTGCATACTTGTCTAGAGCACTGTTTCTGTTTCTTGATTGCCTCCCTCTGCAATCTCTCTATACAAATTCATTGACAATGATTGAATTTATACAGTTCCTCTGCTTTAGTTGCTGTTTTTGTTCCATCATGTTTCTGGGGACTAAATTGTTACAAAAGTAAAAATTTTGGGTCAAATCACAATTTCGAATAGTTTCAAAAAGTCGCCGCCGTCACTACGCACCATCAACAAAGGCGATACCTTTCTTCGCTCTCGCCGCTTGTGAAAATAACGAGAGACTCAGCAAAATCTAATCTTTCTAAAATGGAGAAAGGAGTTGTGATGGAGCTGATTAGAGGGTCGACTAATTGGGCCAAAGTTGTGGAAGATATCGTGAAGCTGGAGAAGAAAACGTTCCCTAAACACGAATCTCTCGCTCAAACTTTCGACGGAGAGCTGCGCAAGAGAAACGCCGGTTTGCTATACGTCGACGTCGACGGAGAAACAATGGGTTATGCCATGTATTCTTGGCCTTCTTCTCTTTCCGCCTCCATCACCAAGCTCGCAGGTATAAACAAAGTTCCACCAAGTGTTCGATGAAATTACGCAGTGAGAAAACGTTAAATGATAAAGCTCTGAAGCTTTAAGATGAAACTAGTGAAGAAGAAGTGGAATATACTTGCCAAACTTTTACTGAAACCTTTTAAACCTATTATGATAAATTAGCCGTTAGTCAAGGAACCAATTGATAGTAAATTGAGAGCTTAGAATATTCTTATAAGAAAGCACCAATACATTGTTCTAGCTCTGTGTTTGCATGCTTAGAGATGAATGAAAGTAGAGAAGATGTCAAGAACACCTATGGAATGTTTCTTATCAGACAAGTTAAAAGCTAAAGCATCAGGAAGATCTGTATCTCAAGTGTACTTACTTTCTTGTGTTGTTTTGGATCATGTAGTGAAGGAGAATTGCAGGAGACAAGGCCATGGAGAAGCATTGTTGAGAGCAGCTATCGACAAGTGCAGAAGCAGAAAGGTGCAACGGGTTTCACTTCATGTCGACCCTACGAGAACTGCTGCAGTGAATCTGTACAAAAAACTTGGTTTCCAAGTAGACTGTCTAGTGAAAAGCTATTACTCGGCTGATAGAGATGCTTACAGAATGTACCTAGATTTTGATGACTCTGTTTAGCCAAAAGATATTTTAATGCTTGCAGAATGTACCCTCATTGATTCCTCTCTACATCAACTTCTTACTTAGTACTTTACATGATGATATAGATATGAAGTTCTGATCCATTGAGATGGTAGAAGAATTGTGTTTAAAATAATTTTTATTACTTTATAAACTTATTACCGGTAAAAATCACAAGCGGGGATAGCTCAGTTGGGAGAGCGTCAGACTGAAGATCTGAAGGTCGCGTGTTCGATCCACGCTCACCGCATTGATTTTTTTTCCTGAGGAATTTAAACGACGTCGTTTTATAAAAGCCCACTCGTGTTATGAAAAGCCCTTATCCACGACATACCTATATCAGTCGTGTTATAAAAAGCCCAGTTGTGTTGTAAGAAGCCCTTATCCACGGCATAATTCACCCGGCGAGAAACTGTTTAGTTATTCCGATATCGGAAAACTTCGAAATCGGATCTCTGTTCCTGTCAGGAAGACCAACGAATCATATCCCCCACTCAACTTCCTCAGTTCAAAGCTTCCACCGAACTATCTCCCGGCCTTGTATCGTGTAGGCTACTGTTTAGGTTTTACTGCACGGTATTATTCACTAAGCCAGCTTGATCAAATCCTAAAAGTATGAAGAAATTTACGAACAATCTGCAGTCTAATTGTAAGTGTGTCAGATTCAAATTCGGCAAATTACTATACTAAACTTGACTCGGATAAATATTGTCTGATATAGGTATGGTACATGTCACAAAACATTGTAATCTAAATTGAATTTGCATATCAAAAGTCTTCAATTCAAGCCAAACCAACTAGCTTCTCGCTAACTTCCCACAGTTTCTTTGCCTTCTCTGCATCACTTGCTTCTTTAGAGAGCTGATTCTCAAACGAAGACGAGTTATTGTTCCAGCTCCAGTACACTCCTGACTTTCCAAGGCTAGGGTCGCTCACAACCTAACACAAACAAACCACAGGTATCAATCAAGAATCTGTCAACGCATATATATACTTGTTAGAAAGGGGTTTGCAAACTGACCTGTGCTAGTCTTTTTCCAGCTTCCTCTTCAGATACATAACCTTTGGTGATGTACTTCTGAAAAGGCGGGAAAAGAAGCCTAAACAGCGGTATGTGTTCTCTGAACAACCCCGTTGTAGCAATGCAACCAGGGTAAAGAGAAGCAAAGGTGACTCCGGTTTCCTCGTGGTAACGTCTGTGGAGCTCCTGCATTGTCAGCATATTGCAGACTTTGCTGTCTTTGTAAGCCTTGGCTCCATCAAACTCTCCTCCATCTATCATCGAACTGTTTTGCCCATTCAATCCCGATGCTAAGCCTCTGAGGTCGCCAAGGTTTGCCTTTGGTGGTACGTTTCCAGCCAAAGTGTTAGTGTTTCCTTCAAGAGCATAGAAAAGAACATTCATTGTCTGAAACAAGAAACCATTTGGTGGGAATGGACTTTCATTGTCTATTGTTTACCTGTTATTGATCCTACAATGATCATACGTTTTGATGGATAATCCGATTTTTTCAGGTCATCAAGAAGCAATCTTGAAAGAAGAAAGTGTCCAAGATGGTTGGTTCCAACGCTAATCTCAAACCCTTCTGCTGTAAAAGAAGGTTCTTTAGCAGTCGGTTGGTAAACCGCCGCATTGCAGACAAGAACATCGAGGGGTTGTTCTGTTCTCCTGAAGTTATCAACGAATTGCTTTACGCTTTCAAGCGAAGCAAGATCAAGATGCATCACTGTGTAATCCTCCTTAGACATTCCTACAGACTTCGCTGCTTTCTCAGCCTTGAGAAAGTTCCTACAAGCCATGATCACATGCCATTTCCCTGTCTCTGCTAAAGCCTTTGCCGTGGCTAAACCTAAACCAGAGGAAGCTCCGGTGATCACTGCAGTCCCTTTTCTCTCAGTCTTCTTTCGCTCCGGCGAGGCCTCGCGCGGCGTTGCTGTAACTGTCTGTGCACGAATACCAGTGGAAAGTCGAGGTTTTTGTCTTCTTTGTTCCTGCAACGAAACAGAGTTTTTAAACCTCAGGACATTTTCGATATCTTTCAAAGTTTTTTGAGAATTTAGCATTGATTGAGTGATTGATTTTACCTTGATGGTTAACAGGGTGGAGATTTTGTCGGCTCTAAGATGGTTGGAAAATGAAGAACCAGCTAAATTTGTCTCTTTTAGAGAAGCATTGAATTTTCCCTGCAAAACCACCATTGGCATACTGAGGTAAGTTCTCGAGACGAGACAATTCTCCATTTTTCTCAAACTATTGTGAAAAGATGAATCAGTAATTGTGAAAACACACCTCTTTTTGGATTGAAATGGTTGAAGGAAGAAGAGAACAAGCAGATTGAAGAGCCATTGTTGTACGGAACCAGAAGGTGCTAGAGTGTCACAGTGTCTGTCGAGTTTCGCCGATTTGAGGAGCGACAAAAGATAAGGTAGTAGTATTGGCTTAGTGACACGTGTCTTCCAGGGTAAAGCTCTTCCCTCAACCAATCAGATCACTAGTTTCAGATTCTTCGTCTGAGAGTCTCTCTGGTATGTATATTGGGCTTTGAGATGGGCTTTGGTTTTATTGTTTGTTATATAACTCTTAAAACTGATCCCATCACCGTTGATAGGTGGAACTGTAACGAATCTGGACCGTCTAAATATATCCAGAACAATTCGGTGGAAGAGAGAAGAAGGCGGCAACTTAACGGTCAATTGAGAGATTCGAGAGAGAGAGAACAAAACAGAAAAAATGAAAGAAAAAAAAGAAACACTTTTTGGATCACAGCTCTCTTCATCTTCTTCCCTTTCTAAAAGTTGCAAAGTTCCAATGAAAATTTCCATTTTTGCCTCTGTTTTATTTTTCTTTCTCTTCTATTCTCTTTTCTCTTTCTCTTTCCTCTTCCTCCTCCGCCGTCACGGTTTCTAGACCATCTCCTCCTCCTCCATTGTCCCCTTCCTATGTCTGTCTACTACATAACAGGTAACTTTCTTTTCCTCACCTTTCTAATCAATCATATCGATTTGCTCGTGAAACTTGATTTGAATTATCATTGTTTGAAGGGTAAATTGCTTTGTAAAGTTCCACACTTTACATCAAAAGTAATGAAAAGATAACTCCTTTGATTGCGCTATTATGTTAGTTCAGACACACCTTTTTTGTATCCAATTTTACCAAAATTTTTTGACCCAGTGAAAAATGGAAATGATGATGAATTGTTGAATATTTTAAGAATATAACACCAATGAATCTATTACTGTATATAATCACTCATTTACCTCTTTTGATGTTATCAATCTTCTTGTCATTTTCTAAATTAACTCAAATTATGTAGATGCAGATTTTTTTTTTTTTTTTTTGTATATGACAGCCCACAATTCTGTCTAGTTTAGCTAAACGTGTTAAATATAATGACGAAATATATTTCTATTTTTATACAATAAGCTCTGACCTGTATGTAACCAAATAAAACACTAAAACTTATCTGTGATCATCTCATAGCTTTCTGTATAAATCTTCCTCCTCTTTCTTTCGTTTTCCAATTTGTCTACAAAACTTTTTTTACCATTTAACTTGCATCAATCAAGTTTCTTCCCCCCCAAAAGACTTTTTGCAATCATCAATAACTTTTGGTTTCTTTTTGTCCCAGACTAAAATCTCTGTTTTGATGACTATCTAGGGTAATACCTAAGTTGATTTCTTTACATGCATTTATATTTCCTTTTCCTTTTCTTCGATATTTTGTTTTCTTGGTTTTTAAGATATATATATATATATATATATATATATATATATATATATATAATAAGTTAATCTTCTTTCATTTGAACATTTGTGTCACCTCTCATGAAGTTCAGGAAGCATAGGCAGTTTTTTCCTTCTTGTTCAACTCATCACCAAGTAATCATCTCTGCGTTATGTTCTTCTTCTCCAAACTCATATCAGATTTGAATTATATCATCAAACTAAGAGTAATCAACCACACCACTTCAATCTTGCATTTACATTGCTCTTTTGTATTCCACCCGTTTTTATAATCTCCAGTGTATACCGTAATTGAGTGTCATTTTGGTTGCAACTTGTAAGTAATTAAGCTCGCTCAAATTTCCTGATTTTCTTGAGTTGAAAAATCATATGTTTTGCTGATGTTAAACGCAACATATGTCTGAATACGTGTGCAGGTAGAGGACGATGAAGCGTGGGAAAGGCGAGAAGAAGGCAACCAAGAGCCGAGATGGCAGTGGTCATCAAGTAGTTCCGCTCACGTAATAGCTCAACTGGCTAAATATTTGTTTTAGTGAGTATATATTGCTAGATATCACAGGATATGTAAAAACATGCATGTGATTAGTTTATTCGGTATATCAAATTTAGGTCTATCATCTCATATGTATATAAATGTTTTATTAGTGAACCGGTGGTTGTAGCTACGGCTATGGTTGGAACAAGATCATGGATAGGAGGGCTCTTCACACGCTCCAATAGACGTCAAGACAAGTCAGTCGACTACACTTTTTCTCCTCTTCAGGTTGGCATAATCACAAGTTTCATAGATCTTTCATAATATAAGACACTAGATATAGTTTCTAATAGTTTTGGATTTGTAATCACTCATACATAGGAGGAAAGACTTCAAAGGCTGCAAGACCGTATAGTGGTACATTTCGACGAGACACGTCCTGATCATCAGGTAGGTGAATCCCTTTATCTTTAAGATGTTTAACAGTGAGCGAACAACATGCATATAGATTTTTTTTGGCTATAAGCACTCTTGTGTAAGATTTTGCGCGAATTAATGGCAGGAATCACTTAAAGCATTGTGGAATGTCGCGTATCCGAATGTTAGTCTCACGGGTTTAGTAACAGAACAGTGGAAAGAAATGGGATGGCAAGGTCCCAATCCATCTACCGATTTCAGGTGAGATTGTGTCTATACTAAAGTTATTGCAAAAAAAAAAAGATGTATAAGAACAAAAATCTCAAGGAAAACACTTAGCCTTGTTGAGTCCTGTTTTGCTTAAACATTTTGTTTTGTAGGGGTTGCGGATTTATCGCTCTAGAGAATTTGCTATTTTCTGCAAGAACTTATCCGGTAAATTACTCATGAAAACATGTTCATGTATATAGATAACTGTAATGTTTTGGGAACTTCTCTGCTCCACAAAATGTGTTTATACAAATATAAAAATGTGAAGGCTTGTTTCCGGAGGCTATTGTTCAAACAAAGAGGTGACAGGGCAAAGTGGGAGTACCCTTTTGCGGTGGCCGGAATCAACATCTCCTTCATGTTGATCCAAATGCTCGATTTACAAAATACTTGTAAGTTGCTTATAATCTGTTACCATTTTATTCAATGGATGAAATACAAATATAAGAGGATGTTTTGTATAATTGTTTCTAGAATAATTTTCTCATTACGATTCTGACTTCAAAAGCTTTAAATTTGTGTTTTGATTTTGTGCAGCAAAGCCGAAATGTCTTCCAGGGATGAACTTTCTCAAACTCTTAGAAGGTAAATAATAAGTTCTTCTAAATTTGGACCCAAAAACAAAAAAAAAAGTGGTATCTAAAAGTTAGTAAAGTTGTATGACACGATCACAAAAACAATAATAAAGAATCATATGCCAATGATAAACAGAAGACGAGAAGGCATTCGATGTACTATACTGTATAGCTTTCGCGATGATGGATGCTCAATGGCTTGCAATGCACGCTTCTTACATGGAATTCAATGTATGTCTTTTTCTCTCAATCAATCAAATCTTCATTCTCTCTTTTGAGAATTAGTTCTTAAAGTATACATTTGTGTATTATTTTTTTTATCAGGAAGTGTTACAGGCGACTCGGAATCAGCTAGAGAGAGAGCTTTCTTTGGATGACATTCATCGGATTCATGATCTCCCTGCCTACAATCTTTTGTTCCAATAGTTATCTTTTGCTAGTTTGATTTTCTATGTTGTACATTATTTGAAATTTTATGAACGAAAAAATGAAAATATGATAAACCACTTAATGACGCACGCTCAAACAAACAAAAGTAGAAACATGACCACATGGATATGTAATAATGTTTGGGAAGAGTGATGATGATGATGAAAACTATCAAGTGGAAGTGGAATCATTGACTTTCGTACTTTTTGAAAAATCAACTCTTTTGTCTCTCTCTCGTAATTGTTTGTCGGTTCTTTTTAATGTACACTAAACTAATTAAGTGAGTGGTTTATGGTTGATTTTTATATGACATGATACTACACAAATTTTGTTCCTTCTATAGAAATAAAGAAGAGCTTCAGACCAAAACAAAATACTTTTAGATGTTTTAGATCGTCTTTGTCGACATTAAACTTGTTCATCCTTTGTCTGTGTTAATTGTTATGATCTTTTTGTACCTTTATTATAAAAAATATAAGATAAAGGTTCTTTCTTACGTACGTGAAGCTTTGGAGGTCGTATAAAAAACACTGGATGGATATTTGATCTTATCCACTGATAAAGGATCATCCCCTTTTTTTATAAACCTAACGTGAAGGATAAGATGCCTCTTACCACCACATTTCCATGATTCATATTCTCATTTCCAAATATCTCTAATTTCTTTGATTCTTTTACTACTAATTTCGATATATTAATGTCATAAACAATCCTAAACTCTAAAAAACACATTCTGATTTTTCTAGGCTATGATCTATTTTTCTGTCAGTAACTAATTTTTTTTATTTAATATACAAAGTTTGGTGGAGAAACCAAACAAAACATGGAAAGCCCATAAAAGTCAAACTTCCAAATTCTTTTTTTGTCCCTCTGATATTTATATTTGACATTTTTTTGTCATAAAGGTCCACCCAACTTTATTCATATCAACTTGAGTACTTTATAAATTAATAAATAAATTTCCCTCTAACAAATATTTGCATTTTATGCAACTAAAATATCCAATATGTTACAAAAAAACATTAATCTTTCTAGAATTTTATTTGATTAATTTCATAATTGAGAGGGGGTTCTATATGGATATAATAAAACATAGGATTTAAATAACATTTTTACACCTTGATATAACTTAAATTGATAATTTTGTTCTCCCATTCTACTTCAAAAAAAAAAAAAAAGCACTGTTATCATGATTAGTTCGTTACATTACTATTTCAGTAACGGTACTGAGGCACACAATAAAGTTGTGTTCCTCTCGACCAATGCTACAAACTTATAAGAAACATTAACTCTGTTTTTAACAAGCAACACCAAATTACTGTTTCCACAAGCAACAAACTCTATATACGACATATATATTTCTCAAAGGTTAGAAGACTCAAAACGCTATACTAACCAAAACACTGCCAAGCGAATATCGCTCAGATTGCGTTTTAGGGAAAAAACGCCAGTGATGATTCCAGTACAAATCAAGAATTAGACTATATGAGGAGGAAACAGGCAAACATCAGAGTGTCATCCAACCAAGGTCTAGCCACGATGACTCATTGACATACTGCAGAAGTAGTTGAAGTCATGATGTTGGACCCTAAGCTGTTTCAGCCAAGAATCCGCAACGCTATAAAGCGAACCCAATCTTTCTTGGTCATCATGATCCTGCGAAAGCCAAACATCGCCTTGCATTTGCATCTTGTAAGTAGCCATCCCAAACGGGAGCAGTGTTATGTCTTCCCCTTCCTTCCTCATCCTCTCCTTATCCCCACCATTTTCTTCCGGTTCCATATCTGCAATATCAAAAAAGCATCGTTTTATTTGAACCAGATTTGATTTAACCAAGTTAAAAGGATAGTAGAAAGACAAAGAGAATCTTCACCTTGGAAAGAAGAGGAAAGAGTATGATACGTGAGGAAACAAGTGGATAAGTCTTTGATGGTTCTTCCCATTGGTATATGGTAAATCGGGTACCACGCTACCGACATCCAACTTGCAGGAGAAAGATCTACGCTTCTCAACGACATCAATCCCGGGTATCTTTGAGCCAATTCATTGATCTGGAACCAAACCAAAACATCATTTTGTGATGTTTATTCGACTGGATCAGGTGAACTAACAGATGGCTACACAAGGTATAATATCTACCTTATCCATGAGAGGAACTCTGGTATAAGGAGCTGATCTCTCAAAGTACTGGAGGTAAAGATAACCCAAACGATCATTTGGATGCAAGAGCGTGTTGTTCTCAAGTCCTTCCTCAGAGACACTCTCATCACTTCCTGAATCGCTAAAAGGATCTCTACCCTCACATTCTCCATCTTCAGACTCTTCCCTAATCATCAACCCAACACCAAAAACTAATTAGATATCTTTGAAGTAACCCACGAGAGCAATCATTCTTAAAGAACTCATATATAAACGTTATGCAGCTCCTTCATAATCTTATATGCCAAACCAAAAAAAAAAAACAATCTATCCAAATTCATCAGAAAGCAATAAAGATATCAAATTCTCAATCTGATCTATAAAAAACAGAGACAATGGGAACAAACCTTAATCGGATCAAGGAGGAGTGAGAGGTGAAAATCTGGATGGCAGAGAGATAAGGAACATAGTATTGAACAAGAGATTCTCCATTGGTAAGATGAATAGGAACACTTGCTCCATAAGCGCTCCATTCATCATAGCAATCCCACAAATCACTCAACCTGAAAAACTCGACCTTTTCTCTCTCCCATGGATGCCACAATCGATTTAGGGTTCTAATCTCTGCCTGCAGATCCCAATGAACGCCCATCAATCGATCAATAATCACAGTATCTTTAATATCGACAAAAACAAAAATGAATAGAAACCTTGGGGAGAGATTGGGGAGGCACTAGAGGTGTTATGCAATGAAGGAATCGATCAAGATTGGATTTTTTGGTTGAGCCTCCTTTAATAACATTCACCATGATGATGATTCTTCTTGACGAACGTAACTGAGAGAAAGGGAGAGAGAGATTGGGTTGCTTCTTCGATGGAGGAGGAGAAGAAAGATGGGGGCTTTTAGAGAGATAGAGGCACGCAAGCGAGTATTCAGATTTCTGAGCTTCGACGTTATGTATGAAGAAGGCTGAATTTAAGGGACAAGCTAAAAAGACAAAAAAAAAACACACAAAAAAAGATCGATTCTTTCAAGAAAAATATATATGAATGGAGAAAACGATTACAAATCGAGAAGACAGACAATGAGTAAGCAAGATCGAATATTGTTTTTTATTTCTATTTTAGTTTTCCTTTTTTTTGTGTTTTTTTTTTCTGGTCTGTGTGTGTGTGATTCTCTGGTGGGAATAAAACAGAAGCCACGCGTCGAGAGATCTTTAATCTTGAAGTCACAGATCAATCGACAAGGTTAAAAGAGATAAAAAAAAAGGCAATTAAAGACAGAGAATTTATGAAAAACAGAATTGGAAAAAAACACAGAAGAAGAAGAAGAAGAAGAAGAAGAACAGAGGAAAAATTCAGAACTTTTGGTTGAAAGAAAAGGAAGGAAGGAAAGAGATTTTCCCGGGAAAGTCAAAACTTTTTCTCGGGAAATCGGGTATGTAATTTTAAAGATTAACAAAAAGAAAAAAAGGATTGCTTTGCTCACAGACGATCGTCAAATAAAATTGTTTATATAAATTAAGAAAAAAAAAAAAAAGAAGATAGAAAAATAGAAAATCTAATTAAGTTTGACTAAAATTTCCTCGTCGGCTCGTCCACCACTCGCCACAGCTCATTTTCCCTTCACGTGGTTGTGTTTTTCTTTTTTATCTCAGGAGACTCCTTTTACTATTTATAAATAATTCAAAATATCCATCCGGACATATCAAAATTATATATGAATCAAATTATATATACTTGTAGCAAATGTAGTTGTTTTACAAAAATTTATATTACATTCAACTTTATCATTATTATATAATAGTAGTAGTAGCAGTAGTTTTATTCATATCTAGTGTATAGATAAGATTGATCATTGATCAGAGTATCCTTTATTACAAGAATCATATTTGTAAACAGAGTTTTAATTTAAAAATTTGGTACGGCAAGTGGATTAAGTGTAACCTGTAAGCCGCTTATAATTCATTATCCAATTCGTATCCGTCCCAAGAAATCAAGTTGTATATATGCCTAATAATAGTAGCCTATGCCTCCATTATTCATTATCATATTGCTAAGTACTAACACTTGCATATAAAACCTAACCCTGTACCCCGTGTGGCTAAAATGTTAGATGTATTGCATCTGGTAAGATGAGCTAATAGATTATGAATGCTAATATAATATACTATCCATGTTTATGTTGTGGTAGTTTCACGTGTGTGGACCTGCACGTGACATGTTCGTATGCTTGTGTTGTGCGGTTGTGGTCGGAGCTGTGGTCATTTAAGAAAATAATAAACGATCAAACACCTCTCGCTTTCTGGGCTTTTTACAGATGGGCCATAAGGCTTTTTCCATATACTTCAATCTAGATAATTTGTTAATGTAACTTATCAGTTTTGGAGATTTTCTAAGTAATTGGGGGATACAAAGATGTAATAATTCAAACTAATGTCTCATGTAAGCAAATTCTCTAGCAAAATTATATACGACAATAGGGACAGTTCATCGAAGTTATGAGTAATGTAATGGACACTTCAATAAACATTGAGAAAATGGAATTCGATATTACTAGATAAGTATCTCTGATAAATGATAATTTAAGAAAAAATTACCGTACAGGAGATCAAAAGTATTTATTTTACATAGGAAACCAAATATCTTCTCATATTAATTTTGATTGGCATTTTGTTTTTTTTAATAAGGAGAATAAAATTTCATCAACAAGAAAATGGAGAAGAAGGAATTGTTAGGTCTCACTCACACAGTAATCTTATCTGCCTCTTGAGAGAGCTTTCTCAGCAGTCTCCATCTCTTCAAGAATCCTCGCCTTCCTCTTCGCCGGGATCGGAGCCGTCGGACCAAAACTCACATAATGACCTGAAACCGCATTCAACGCCGAGTAAATGTCCCTGAAAGAGGTTTTTCCGAGAAGAGCTTTCTCTTTCCGGTACTTGGCAACCCATGAGTTGGACGCTTCTCTCAGCTCAGCCACCGCGTCGGCCACATTCGGATCTGTCTTCGCCATCGAAAGCGTGTTCCTAACTTTACTGATCACTTCCGATGTATCTTTAACATACTCTTCGTTTTCGGCGGCAGAAGCCGGCGCCGGAGCTAGGAACTGGATTGATTGCGCCAGAACAGTGGATGTGGCGGCTAGAGAGAGGAAATCGCGGCGGAGGAGGGGGCTGCGACGCGGGGGAGGAAGAGGAGGAGATACGGAGGCGGTGATGGACGGTTTATGCGGCGGAGGATTGGGTTTGAGGAGGGTAGCTGTCGCTGATGCTGAAGCCATTGTCGGAACTCGGGAGAAAGGTGTCGTAAGAGAATGAAGAAGAGTTTTGTGTGTGTGTGTGTTACAAACAAATGTGTTCGGGGCTGTTGGATTTTTGACACGTGTCCCTTATCTTCTTTTCTTATCTAGAATGTAATTTCTGAGGATCAGATTCCGACACGAAGAAGAAGCAACTTAACTCGAAACAGAGCAGCGAGTCAAGATTTTCTCTGGGTCCCACTGCCAGGTCAAGATTTTTGTTTTTGTTTCTTTGAGCTTCGTCTGTTTTAAATGTAAAGCCCAAATAAGATAAGGCCCATATCAAATTTAACTATCGAAGCCCATACATCGAAACCCACTTGATCATATGAAGTCATTTTGTTTGTTTGCGTGGCCTTTTAAGGTTTCTTCTGTGAATGGTTTTTGATAAATGCAATTAGAGAGGATGAAGCATATGGTTAAAAATTGACCCACAAAACACGTGACATTCTCGCTGTCATACACATACAAGGAGAGATGGCTTGTTTTCAATTGGATGGAATCTTTAACTAATTGGATTTTGGATTATTTATTAAGAGAAAAATATATAAGTGTGGGAGAAATATAAATTGATATCCAAAAAAAAGAGTTTGGAAAAGAGACTTTTTAATTGGCCAAGTGTGAAAGAAAAGAGAAAAAAAAGAAAAGAAAACGAAAGCTAAAGAGGTCTACTACTAGTAATAGTACGCGGGAACGCCGTGAACGATTTGTCAACACAACCAAATGGGAAAGAAAAAAAAAGAAGCTTTTAAGAAAAAACGATCCATCTAATTTTACACATTTATTTTTAGTGTCATGATCTACCAACCAACCCTCTCCTTTAATGTTTTTTTATTTTATTTGTTACAAAACCACATTGCAAAACACACACACATCATATTAATAACAAGTGTTTTTTTTTTTTTTGGGAGATATCATAATCCTCATGAATATTAAGAAACGAAAAATGATTATCTCTTTCCCATCATTCAAAAAAATTTGCAATCTTTTAATAATGTTCACAATTGACAATATAACTTGATCATAAACATATCTCTCGTACTTGCATCTCTCTGTTTGACTTACCAAACCATCTACAATCGTTCTCGCGTTTTAAACCACATACATCTACTTGTCTCTCTCTCTCTCTCATTTGTTTTTAATGCAATGTTTTGGTGGGTGAAGAAGATGCAGAAGAAACTTTTAGTTGAAAACACATAAACATACAACGAAGAAAAGACGAAAACGGATTAGGATGTGGAGAAAAGTTGAACAACCAACTCTCATCTCTCTTGTTCGCAAACTTTGCAAGTCTCAGTCAACTTGTATCGTCTCTCCTGTCATCTTGCTTCTTTCCTTTTTTAATCGCATGCTATTACACGTTAAGTCTGGTAGGGTATTAACACATCACTAAACACATGACATAACCTCGTAATTTATTCCATTATGGTCGATATATCAGCTTTTATTAATTACATTAACATAATTGAACGTTGAATTTTTCAATTAAATTAATTTTGGTATGTGTGGACTAAAAAATATTAAAAGCTGAATAACAAAGTAACAAACATTTAGGAAAGTAAATAGCAGTGTGTGGGTTTGAATGTTTGGGATCATACATGAAAGTAGCAACTAGCAAGCGAGAACCAGAAAAGATTCTCTGTGGGGAAGCAATCCTCTTTTTTTTTTTATCTTTCTTCCTTCTCTTTGCTTCTTCGCTTTCTTCAATTAATGAGATCGGGTCTCTCACCCATCCCTCTACCACTCTCTTTCAACTACTACTACTACTACTAATCTCATTCTCAATCTCAATCTCAATCTCTCTCTTTCGCACTCTTCCATAGTCATTGTCTGCGTTCATGATCCCTCCTCCTACTCAAAGGTTCCTTCTTTTCCTCTGATTTTTCTCAAATTTTTCTTACACTTTTCGTTTGTTTCTCTCAGTCTTTGGTTGTGTAATCTCATTTGGCTTGGCTCGTTCTAATTTTGGTAGGATCTTTTCTGATGATCCTGGTCTGTTTGTTTTTCTCTGTTTCTTTTGGGTTTCCACTGTGCTCTTGTTTGTGTTATGGAGGAAAGTTATTGAATCTTTCTCAGATCCATTTATCTAATTCGGGTTCATTGAAAAAGTGAATCGCTTTTACACTTATAAACCCCACTTTTTTTTTTTTTTCCCTTTTGAGGGTTTTTCCATCTCTCTGTCCTCTACTTACAATGTCCAAATTCATGAGTTTTAGCCACCAATAAGGTTTAGTGCAAGAATCACCAAATCCCCTGTTTCTAGATATTTACCAGGGTTTTCACAATTAGGGTTTCGTTATGTTGCAGCATTGCTATACATGTCTCTGTGTATAAAACCCATACAAAAGTCGTCTCTTTTGGTTCATGGGTTTTTAGCTCAAACTACTCAGATAAAGCTTTGGAGATTTGTACTATTGATGATTTAAGGGAGTCACAATATATGAGAAACTGTGATTCTTGAAAAATCTCTTCAATTTTTTGCTTTTCTCAAAGTGAAGAGTTTGTATGGAAACTAGTTTTCATGTCGCAATTTGCCCCATAACAATTGTTTGGATTCATGTGCCTATGAGACATATTCGACTTATAGGGAAACTCTCTGTTCTTGATTTGTATGCTTTTTCTGTTTTCCTGTCTTTTGATTCTTTGTTTTGATTAAATTATTCGCAAGGATTAGTGAAAACAAAGGATGGTCTAATGCCAAACAATTAGGACAGGCTGTTTAGTAATATCTATATATTTTATTGCTAAAATCACATGCTGGGTTTTTCTTCTTTATGACTTGTTTGCGTCTGCTTTTCTTTTTTGGAACTTTGCAATATACTAATCACTAAATCATTTTTCTGCAATGTTTTCAGCTCACGGTCCATACATCATCATTGACCAAGATTCGAAGAAAAGGTTTTGCCCACAAAAGAGTATTTAATATAGAAAACTAAAACTTGTGTTAAAGCTCTTTGATTTGACCAAATCTGTTGCTAAAGCTTTTCCTTTGGGGGATCCCGGTTTTGGTACAAAAGGAGAAGTCTTTTTGTCCTTTTTTCACAATCTCTCTCCGATCAGATCCATAGTGTATGCTTGCATTGACCAATGGGGGCTTGTGTCTCTAAGAGTACGTGTAGCAATGAAGAGTCTATGCATCGACCGTGTCTTGGGATGGGATGTTGTGGGAGCAAAATGGGGAAGGGAGCTTTTTCAGACCGCATCGTTTCGCTTCATAACTTGGTCTCTATCCCGAATCGAATCATCGGCAATGGAAAAAGCAGGAGTTCTTGCATTTTTACTCAACAGGGACGCAAGGGTATTAATCAGGACGCCATGATCGTGTGGGAAGTAAGTTTCTTCTTCTTATTCTTCCTCAATGATGTTTATCAGAACTTTGTGTTCCCCCAGTAAGTAGTATTTGGTTTTGTTTTTTCATAGGATTTTATGTCGAAAGATGTTACCTTTTGCGGGGTGTTTGATGGACATGGTCCTCATGGTCATCTTGTTGCTCGTAAAGTGAGAGACTCATTACCTGTAAAGTTGCTGGCTCTCCTAAATTCCACTAAGTCGAAGCAAAGCGGATTCACGGGAACTCGGACAAGCAAATCCGATAGCCTAGAAGCTGATAAGGAAGAATCTGCTGAGGAGGATAAACTGAATATCTTATGGGAAGAAGCTTTCTTGAAATCATTTAATGCTATGGATAAGGAACTGCGATCCCATCCTAATCTAGAATGCTTCTGCAGTGGATGCACTGCTGTTACAATCATTAAACAGGTAATTTTGACAACAAAAGGACTCTTCTTCTTTTTTGGCATTAAAATCAATCTTCCTTGGGACTTCCATTGTGTTCCAAGTTTCGGTTTTGATGTGTTTTGATTGTTTCAGGGGTCAAATTTATTCATGGGAAACATTGGGGATTCTCGGGCGATACTTGGATCCAAAGACAGCAACAATTCGATGGTCGCAATTCAGCTCACAGTTGATTTGAAGCCTGACTTACCAAGTATTATGCTTTAACAACATTTTGTGATATTTGCTTCCATCTCAACTTTTTCATTTAGTCTGACATTTATTGGTTTGGGTCTAATAGGGGAAGCCGAGAGGATCAAACAGTGTAAAGGTCGTGTCTTTGCACTACAAGACGAGCCAGAGGTGTCACGAGTGTGGCTACCATTTGATAATGCTCCTGGATTAGCCATGGCTAGAGCTTTTGGTGATTTCTGTCTGAAAGACTACGGTGTGATTTCTATACCAGAATTCTCTCACCGTATTCTTACAGATAGAGATCAGTTCATTGTCTTGGCTTCAGATGGAGTAAAGCACTGAACTTTTATAGTGTCTTCTAAGTTCTAAGCATTATCATTATCAATATGAATTTATTTTACTGATGATTCCAACCTTTGTTTTTGATAGGTTTGGGATGTGCTAAGCAACGAAGAAGTGGTTGAAGTCGTAGCATCAGCTTCAAGCCGGGCATCAGCGGCTAGGCTCGTGGTAGATGCAGCTGTACGGGAATGGAAACTTAAGTACCCAACTTCAAAGATGGATGATTGTGCAGTTGTGTGTTTGTTTCTAGACGGCAGAATGGACTCAGAGTCATCAGATAACGAAGAACAAGGCTTCTCTTCAGCAACAAACGCAGTAGAATCAGATGAAAGCCAGGGAGCGGAACCGTGTCTTCAGAGAAACGTCACAGTCAGATCATTATCAACCGACCAGGAAAACAACAGTCACAGCAATGTGATTGCAGAGACTGATAATGCAAAGAAGGAGAAAACGACGGAAGGTGAACAGAACTGGTCGGGACTAGAAGGTGTTACTCGAGTGAACTCTCTTGTTCAACTTCCTAGATTCCCTGGAGAGAAACCGACGACTTGAGACATGGCTTTTGATTGTTTTCAGAACTGATTTTAGTCAAGGAAAAAAATTGTTTTCTGCTCAACATAGTATTCTCATTATTCTTAAAGTAAAAATGCCTGTCGAAGCATATGTAAATGTCTTAACATGGTCTCTGCCTCAAAGCCTGTGGTTTTATGAACTCTTGAAAAAGTATCAAAACTTCAAAACTTTGTGACATAAAAAAAAGGTCCCACCGAGACTTGAACTCGGGTTACTGGATTCAGAGTCCAATGTCCTGACCACTAGACCATGGGACCATTTGTCTCTAGTTTCTGCACATTCAAGTAAAAATCAAACTTGGACTGATTGTTCGAGTGCTATATGACCAATGTCGCTGCCGCACCGGCAGCGTAAAGAAATTACCGATGCGAAGATTTTACCGGAAGCCCTTTTCTGTAGCTCTTCTTCGTAATCGTCCGCATCATTCTTCTCAATCTCGCTGTGTGTATAAAAATGACGGCTTTTTGTTGGATGATTCAAAGTGCTTGCCTTTATCAAGCTCAAGGACGAGTGTTAGGTGGGTGTTCAATAGCATCTCGCTTCCTCCTCCCGAATGGGTAGAACCCTTTAACGATGTCTCCGATTTGGTGAAATCGAATCGTAATCTCCAGCCATCTCCATGGGTAAGCCAAATTCTCAACCTTTTAGATGGTTCAGACTCCATGGAATCGAATCTAGACGGTTTCTGCCGTAAGTTCCTTATTAAATTATCGCCCAATTTTGTTTCGTTTGTTTTGAATTCCGATGAGATTCAAGAAAAACCGATTATTGCATGGAGATTCTTCGGTTGGGCTGGTAAGCAGAAGAAATATTGGCATAACCTCGAGTGTTATGTCTCCTTGGTTGATGTATTGGCTCTGGCAAAAGATGTGGATAGAATTAGGTTTCTCTGTAGTGAAATCAGGAAGTTTGAGTTTCCTATGACTGTTGCTGCGGCGAATGCTCTGATTAAGAGTTTTGGGAAGCTTGGAATGGTGGAGGAATTGTTGTGGGTTTGGCGCAAAATGAAAGAGAATGGGATTGAGCCAACTTTGTATACTTATAACTTTTTGATGAATGGATTAGTGAGCTCGATGTTCATTGATTCTGCTGAGCGCGTTTTTGGGGTCATGGAAAGTGGCAGAATCAAACCAGATGTTGTGACTTATAACACGATGATCAAGGGTTACTGTAAAACAGGGCAGACACAGAAAGCTATAGAGAAGCTTAGAGATATGGAGACGAGAGGCCTTGAGGCTGATAAAGTTACGTATATGACAGTGATCCAGGCTTGTTATGCAGATAGCGACTTTGGTTCTTGTGTGGCTTTGTATCAAGAGATGGATGAGAAGGGAATTCAAGTCCCACCTCATGTGTTTAGCTTAGTGATTGGTGGACTTTGTAAGGAAGGGAAATTGAATGAAGGGTATGCTGTTTTCGAGAATATGATCCGTAAAGGGTCTAAACCAAATGTAGCTATATACACAGTTTTGATTGATGGTTATGCGAAAAGCGGAAGTGTTGAAGACGCAATAAGGCTTTTACATAGAATGATAGATGAAGGGTTTAAACCAGACGTGGTAACTTATTCCGTCGTTGTTAATGGTTTGTGTAAAAATGGGAGAGTGGAAGAGGCATTGGACTATTTCCAGACATGCCGGTTTAATGGATTTGCTATCAATTCAATGTTTTATTCTAGTCTTATTGACGGTTTAGGAAAAGCAGGTCGAATAGATGAAGCTGAGAGGCTTTTTGAAGAAATGTCTGAAAAAGGATGCACAAGGGATTCATACTGTTACAATGCACTGATCGATGCGTTAACAAAGCATGGGAAAGTCGATGAAGCGATGACGCTATTTAAGAGAATGGAGGAAGAAGAAGGTTGTGATCAGACGGTTTATACATACACAATACTCATATCCGGAATGTTCAAGGATCACAGAAACGAAGAGGCGTTAAAGCTTTGGGACATGATGATAGACAAAGGCATTACACCAACCGCAGCTTGCTTCAGGGCGTTATCAACTGGGCTTTGTTTGTCGGGAAAAGTGGCGAGAGCGTGTAAGATTCTGGATGAGTTAGCGCCAATGGGGGTGATACTTGACGCAGCATGTGAAGATATGATAAATACACTGTGTAAAGCTGGACGGATAAAGGAAGCATGTAAACTGGCAGATGGGATAACAGAGAGAGGAAGAGAAGTGCCAGGGAGGATCAGGACGGTGATGATCAATGCATTGAGGAAAGTGGGAAAAGCAGATTTAGCAATGAAGCTAATGCATAGCAAAATTGGGATTGGTTATGAGAGAATGGGTAGTGTTAAAAGGCGTGTCAAGTTTACAACTTTACTCGATGATACTTTTGGACCTAACTTTTAAGAATGGTTTGGGTTTAAATTTCCAAAACTATGGCCATGAATGTTTGGTAGTTTTTAAATGGGTTTTAGCTTATAGTTTTTGGTTTTTGTTTTTTTTTTAGTTTTGATTTTTTGCTGTAGATTTTAGCTTTTGCAACTCTTGAATGGTAATTTGCTTAGTTTTTGTTTTTTCATGTAATTATTTTTAAAAACGTTTTTTTTTTGTTTTATGATGAAAAAATAAAATAAATAATGATTAAAGAAAAAGTCACGAAATTTGTTAGAAAGCTGAAAAGGGGATTTTTAGATTTTATGAAGGAATTGTTAAAATCTTATAGAATCTGGTTTTCCTAAATTTAAGAGAATCCATTTTTGTAAAATCATGAATGACAATTTTTTTTTAGTTTCTTAGAATCAAAACCAAAATCGGTTTCACGAACTGCTGTCATTCAAGGCCTAAGTTTACGAATCTAATTATTTGGCACAACTAGTGTTATGTGAGGTTTTCTCAATTGCCAAATCAAATTCCATCAAAGTTATCGTCCAACCGAAACCTATATGATAATCACCACAGCACCATCACTACTAAGTTCACTATCCATCGAGTTAGCTCTCTATGATCCAAAGTTCAAACGAAACGAAACGATGTTGTATTTATTTTAAAGATTCGTAAAGAAAACCTTATATCCACACTTCACTGATAACGCACAGTATATGATTTGTTAATTTCCTTTTCCTTATAACGTATCGTATTATTAATATTTTTAAGTGATTGGATAATGATAAGTTAATTTCCTTTATATATTTATATATGATTGGATAATTTTTTTTTCTTATAACGTGTATAAAAAAGTGAATTTCCATTTATTTATTTTTGAAAAACATAAACACATCTGTTTGTAAATATTCTCAACATCTATCTATTTGAGAAAATCTACACAAACTCTTCTTCTTTGGTCTTCTACAACTCGTTCCATTTTAGGAGTTAAATTTTTAAATAATACACTAAAAAATATACTTATTTTTTTTAATAACCTTTAATATAAGATACCAAATTTTTAATTTATATCAAATTAATATTCAGATAGAGTGACTCACATACATAACTTTTATTTTTTTATTTTATTCAAATAGACTCACATACATAACTTTCATTTGTTTAATCTGGAATAGTATTGGGAAAAAAAAATTCAATATAATTTTGGGGGAAAAAGGCCTATTTGTATGTTACTATGTTTAATACCTCAGTTTTATTAGTTGGAAAAAATTTTAACTCTTTTTAAATATCATTGGTCTAAAAATACATCATATTTGAATTTATTTGTTAAAATATGGTGTCTGAATTCATTGGCATGGTCCGGTGGTAGCTTCTTTTTTGACTTCAAGTTTATCCCTCAACGAATAATTTTAATTATTTTATTCATTGCAGCATATTGCTTGTAAACATGTTAGCACGTTGAGCAGAAACATTATAGTGTTGATTTTTTAAATATAGTAAAAGCTTCATCATATTGTAGAGTTCTAATTTTGATAAACTAACAATAGAATGATTCTGTTACAAGCGGAGTTGTGACATGTGACTTTCGAGCCACTACTAACCGCAAAGCTCGCTAAGTCCAATTGAAGCCTTGGAAAACCGAATAAAATTCAGTAAACCGATCCATCAAACCAAATTGGAAAAAAAGAGCAATTTCCTGTTTAATAGGTGTTGAAATAAATATGCTGAACATAAACGAAGCGAGCACCCTTTAAAATGCCTTCGATTACTCTGGCGCCATTGATTTAGTCTTCTCTCTCTGACTACAAAGTACCCATTCGTTGAAACCATTTTCTTCCCATTTTCGATTTCTTTCACATTCCAACGACCTCCCAAAGCTCTTTCTTGAGTAAGTTTCTTGATCTTAGAACAAAGAATGGCACGCCATGATCCTAATCCATTTGCTGATGAAGAGATCAATCCTTTTGCGGTAAAAGAGCTCTGTTTCATATATCTTCATTACAAATTGTCTGATCTCTCTCTCTCTCTCTCTAGTCTTTATCTATTTTGATTATAATGTTGTAGAATAATACAAGTGTTCCTCCTGCGAGCAACTCTTATCTCAAGCCACTTCCACCGGAACCTTATGATCGCGGTGCAACCGTTGACATCCCTTTGGATTCTGGCAATGTACTATGTCCTCAATACCTTTTGCATTTTACCTTTCATATTTACTCAAAATATGGGTCTATGACACGGAACTTTTTTTCTGGTTCTGTTTAAAGGATCTTCGAGCCAAAGAGATGGAACTTCAGGCCAAGGAGAACGAACTGAAGCGGAAAGAACAGGTGATTTCTGGTTACCGAGTCTCTTGTGTCGATATCCAAGCTGATTTTGAGACCTACAGTTTCAATGTGGATTGTATCTAACGGTCTTCTTCTTCTCATTGTAATGCAGGAGCTTAAAAGAAGAGAGGACGCAATCGCACGAAGTAAGGCAATCTTTCTTCATATGTTTTACTACATCTTCCAATGACCTTTTACGAGGTTTTGTAGCTAACCTGATACTGTTGTTTGGGCAGCTGGAGTTGTCATTGAAGAGAAGAATTGGCCGGAGTTTTTCCCCATAATTCATCATGACATTCCAAATGAGATTCCAATTCATCTACAGAAGATCCAATACGTCGCATTCACCACGTTGTTAGGTATGTAAACCAGCCTTAGACCGCTGCTAAAAATCCAGACAAAAGTTAACAGGGTAAATTCTTGAACTACGCAGGTTTAATAGGATGCCTCTTGTGGAATATTGTGGCAGTAACTGTAGCTTGGATCAATGGAGAAGGTCAATGATTTTACACAAACGATCAAATTCATAAAGTTATTTGCTCTGAACATGTTTATTCATCTGATGTGCTCTGTTTTGTAATCAGGTCCCACTATATGGCTCCTCTCTATCATCTACTTCATTGCTGGGGTACCTGGAGCTTATGTCTTATGGTACCGTCCTCTTTATCGAGCTACCAGGTAAAACCAGCTCTCTTAGTATATACTGGAACTTTCTCGGGAACATGATGCATTGTGCAAGAATATATGACATCAGTTAATAACACAATGTGTGTATACCTGTTGCAGAACTGATAGTGCCCTGAAGTTTGGAACATTTTTCTTGTTCTATGTGGTAAGAAAAACCGCATTTCCACTGGTAGATTTCCTCTGCATTAAATATTTTCAAGAAGCCATGAGAAAATAAACCTGTGTCTTGCACTTTTCAGTTTCACATTGCGTTCTGCGGCTTTGCTGCGGTGGCTCCACCAGTCATCTTCCAAGGAAAGTCTCTCACGTAAGAGTATTCTTCTATATGAAAGCATCAGAATCAGCCTTTAAGTTTCATATTCTTTAATGATTCGTTCTTTGATGAGCTCCATCTAAATCCATGTATTTGTTGGTCTTGTGGACAGTGGTTTCTTGCCAGCAATCGAGCTTTTAACTACTAATGCTGCAGTCGGAGTAAGTAACCTTTTAGCCATTTAAAAGGATTTTACTTCGGACTGTGAGAGTCTTCTTACCAAAATTTTCTTCTTTTTTACCCTCACAGATAATGTATTTCATTGGTGCTGGGTTCTTCTGCATCGAAACACTTCTCAATGTCTGGGTCATTCAGGTTTCACAACTTCTACTCTAGAATTTATCAACACTGTAGATCACTCCAATCCATCTGTTTTTCTAACCCATGACGTGCAATACTCGATTTTCAGCAAGTATATGCATACTTCCGAGGGAGTGGCAAAGCTGCAGAGATGAAGCGTGAAGCTACAAAATCGACTTTGATGCGTGCACTATGAAGAAAATACTCTTCACCAGAAAATGTATTAATGGCGGCTTGAGGTTAAATCTTGAACCATCGACAAAACATTTGACGCAACCCTTTTTTCTGCAAAGTCTAGGCTGTCAACTGTTTTTTGTTTGATTTACTTTGTAAAGAAAAATCGCTTACATGGGGACCTAAAGGCAAAATTGTGTGGTTTAAAGTTGTCAAAACCATTTCTTCATGAATACTAGAGCAAGATCCGTAGAGGAATACAAATCTTTATAGCTTTCTAACGAGCATCAGTCCAGCTTTGTCCAATAGTCTTTGCTACTCCTCGTCTCACCATTAACCTACGAATCCTGAGTGCATCACCATGGCGACCTATGGCCTTGTACATGTTACTGAGAAGCACGTAGCTCATGTGGTACTTTGGTTCCAACTCCATCATTCTCTTTGCAATCCGCTCTGCAATACTGAAGGCATCTGCATTTGCAGCACAAGGTCCAAGCAATACTCCCCACAGAGACGCATCATTTTTACACTCTGCTCCCTCCAACAGATTCTCGGCTTCTTCAAACAAACCTGCACGTCCTAGAAGGTCAATCATGCAACTATAATGTGCAGTACCTGGTTTAATCCCATAACTCTTAGCCATCAACGCAAAGTAATTCCGTCCCTCGTCAACCAAACCTGTATGACCACATGCAGTGAGAACCGCAATAAAACTGATATAGTCAGGCTTTATCCCCTTTTTAACCATATCACTGAAGAAACTAACAGCTTCTTCACCTCTTCCATTTTGAGCCAGCGCAGATAGCATTGCGTTCCATGTTATCATATTCCTAAATGACATATTGGAGTACATGCGCCTAGCAGAATCAATGCATCCAGACTTCCCATACAAGTCAACTAAAGCCGATTCAACAATCACATTATCACAACATCCTCTTCTCACGTACTGGCCATGAATCTCTTTCCCAAGTCTTACTGCTGCCAAACCAGCACACGCCTTAAGAACAGTCCCGAAACAGTAGAGATCTTTCTCTTCCATTTCCATAAACATCTCAATCGCTTTCTCATGCTCTCCATTCTGACAGTATGCCCCGAGTAAGGCAGACCAAGATACTGTGTTCTTCTTAGATATCCTATTGAACACTTGCCTAGCTTCCCGTACTGATCCACATTTACCATACATATCAAGAAGACTACTCTCGACCACCACATTGCAACCTATCCCAGTTGTAATAAGCTTCCCATGAATCTCTTTCCCTTGCTTCAGCCTCCTCAGATTACCACAAGCTGTCAAAACCGTTCCAAATGTAGACCCATCAGGCACCAACCCTTTTTCCCTATGCATCGCGTAAAAAAGTCCCAAAGCTTCCTCATACAAGTCGTTCTTAGAAAACGCAGAGAGTACAGCTGTCCAACAAATAATATCTGGTTCAGGCATTTCGTCGAACACTCGGCGTGCATCTACTGGTTCTTGATTCACACCATACATGTACGCCAATGTGCTAGAGATAACATGGTTCCACTCGAACCCACGACTAATAACAACACCATGGAAGCACCTCCCTAACCTAACTTCTCCGAGCTCAGAGCAAGCCTTAATTGCCGAAGACAACGTAAACGCATTCGGCTCTAAACCAATAGTCACCATCTCCACAAACACCTCAAGCGCTTTGACGTGTTCTTCAACCCCAACGTATCCAGACATCATCGAAGTCCATGAAATCGCGTCTTTGACGAACATTCCATCGAAAGCCCTCCGAGTATGTCTCATATCAGGTCCCAACTTGAAGTACAGCGAGAGCAAGCTGTTCCCAACGTACCGGTCTGCTTCGATACCCAATTTGACGACATGGGCGTGAAACTGAAGGCCGTGGGTAAAGGAGAAGACTTTGGTGCATGTTTGTAGGAGAGCCGCGTAGAGATTCGGCTTCGCAGAGATCCCAGACGACTCTGTTGAGTTTAGAATCCGAATGGCATCGGTGAGCCGACCCGATTTACAGAGCTCCAGGATCCGAGACTGTGTCGACGCATAAGAAGATGAAATTGAAGGGCCGTAACGTATAGAGACGTGTTGACTCAAGTGGCGCACCATAATGCGAATCATCGGAGGCGCCACGATCACCGGTGAACAAATTGGTTGGATACAAGGGACAAGTAATTTTATTTTCTTCTGCTTATTTACTTGTGCTTATGTTTTTTACTACTACAGTTTTACATAAGCACAAGTAATTTTGTAAAACAGTATTAGTAAAAATCCTTTCTTCTTTGTTTGTGAGTTGTTTCATATAGATAGACAGATTACGAGTTTTTAAAGATTTTATGACTGATAAAGCTTAATTGAACTTCTCATCTCTTTTTCACAGTTATCATTCTACAGATTACTAATAAAAAGTTTCATCAAATTCTATAATTCTTTTAAATATTGTCGTAAGAGTTCTAACAAATGTATGTATATTAGTAATAACATTAAACCAAAAAAAATAAAGTACTGTATATTAGTATGTCGTATAAATTGTGTCATATTATGCAAATATACTATATATTATAAAATAAAATTTATAAGCATTGAATAAATAAAAAATAGTAGAAAAAAGGTAAAAAGGAGGGAGATAGGAACGGCTAAAAAACCCAGGTGACCAAAAAAAAAAAAGAAAAAGGAACGGCTAAAACCCTAATTTGGAGGCAGTGGCACCACCAACAGAGAGTACTTTGCTCTGCTCTTAAAACCCTAACGTATCTGCGATAAACCCTCGCGCGCCTTTGCTCAAAAGCAGCTGCCTTTATAACTTAGCCGCCGCTTTAACTCTCACAAAGTCATGTTCTTTCACTTTCTCTCTTCTTGCCATGGTTGGATTTCCCGCTACACCAGCTAAAACCGTTGAAGAAGAGCTACCTTTGCAAGTCTTAGTCGATCAAAACTCCAAGGTAAAAGCTTTCAAGGACAGTTTTGATTTCCCTTCCATCGACTCTTTTCTTGATTTCGAATCCGTCACTTGGTTGGGGAGTAATCGGAACGTTGAGGAGTTTAGCATTGAAGATACGGACTTTGATTTCTTTGAGGACACAATGGATATGGGTCACCAAGCTGTTGTTACTGTTAACTATGAGTCGATTGAGAGAAAGCCTGAGCTTTGTGATGACATTTCTGGCCAAGTTGCTGTGAGTTCGATTAGTTCTGAGTCTATGGCTGAAGAAAAGCCTGTGCTTTGTCATGTCCCGTCTGAGGAAGTTGGAGTGAGCTCAGATAAGTCTGAGCCGATGGTTGAGGTTGAGCCCAAGGTTTGTGATGACATGTCTTCAAACGTTGGGGATGAACCAGCAGTAAAAGATTCAGAACCTGTAGGTTCTGACAACTCTAGGCCTATGGAAGGGGAGACTGAGCCAGTTATTGTGTCTGATGCATCTGTTGCTTGTCCCACCATGGATTTGGATGAATCAGGGACTAAGAAAACAGATGAGGGTTTGGCTTGTTCTATTGAAGTAGGGTTGAAGAATGTAAGTTTGGCAATGGATGATGATGAGAAGATTGATGATGCGAAGGGGAAAACGGATTCTTCTGAGTCTGAGAGCGAAAACTCAAGCACTTCTTCAAGCAGTAGTGCTAGTAGTAGCAGTGAGCAAGAGGATAGTGATGAAGAAGAGAGTGACGAAGAAGAGAGCGACGAAGAGGAAAATAAGAAGGAACAGAAGTTTGAAGATCACATGGTCATGGGGAAAGAGGATGCTCTAGCAGGGGAACTTGAAGAGGGTGAGATAGAGAATTTAGATGAGGAGTATGGGGATGACGAGGTTGTTGAAGATGATGATGATGATGATGATGCTGATGATGACGACGATGATGAAGTGAATGAGATGATTGCTTGGAGCAATGATGAGGATGCTGACTTCGGTTTGCAAACAAAAGAACCTATAAGGTCAAAGAATGAGCTCAAGGTACACATGCTTCAGCTTTTCACATTTCATAGCTATTAGTGGTTGATTTCTGTTTGTCTCTTAGCCCTAGGTAATTATTGGTGGCTCCAGTTCTGAAGCTTTGTTTACCTGAAAGAATTACTAAGTATCCATTATCTTTGTAGAGTAAGAAGTATGTTCCATTATATTGTAGAGTACTGATTAAAAATTGCCTCAAGAAACCTATGTACCGTCCTCAAGCTATTTGGTGTTGCTCTTTAGACATAGCAGCCTTCTTTTTGCTGAGTAAATTATGAAAGCTCGTTTACCTTGTTATCTTTTGCAGGAGCTTCCTCCAGTTCCAGCTGTGGATGTCACTCTAGAACCACATCATGCCACACTTCCTGTTGGAGTTGTTCTTTCGGTAATATCACCATTACCTTTACTTGTTTGCAATTGCTTCTATGTTTGTTGTCTTGACAATCCACTGCTAAAAGTATACCCGTGTGATTTGTGAATTTACAGATAATGAGCACACAAATAATAGTCGAGGGAATGGAAAAGCATAGTCCTTTGACTGAAGGTTCTATCCTCTGGATAACTGAAAAAAGAACCCCATTGGGACTGGTGGATGAGATCTTTGGACCCGTAAAGTGCCCTTACTATATAGTGAGGTTCAATTCAGAGAGCGAAGTGCCAGAAGGTATTAGTCAAGGAACACCTGTCTCTTTTGTCGCGGATTTCGCTCAACATATCCTTAATATTAAGGAACTTCAGAAGAAAGGTTACGATGCATCGGGGGATAACGACGAGGAGATACCAGACGAGCTAGAGTTCTCAGATGATGAAAAAGAAGCTGAATACAAAAGAATGCAGAAGATGGAAAAGAGAGGGATGATGAATGACCAAAAACCTGGTAATACAAGAAACAAGAAGAAGAAAAACCGAGATCTAGGGAGGCCTACAAGCAGTTACTCAGGCGAATGGACAGAGAAGCAGGGATCTAGCTCTCTATCTTCAAACCATTCTGATCCTCAGATGGGTGGTCCAATTTCAACTCTTCATCCGCGTCCTCAAATGGACGGTTTTCCTCCAAACAATGCAGCATGGAGGCCCCAAAGTAATCAGCAGCACCCATATCAGTTTCCTCCTATACCTAGTCAGATGGGAATGCCCAATCTTGCCCCAATGCAGATACCTTTGATGGCTATGCAAAATCAAAATCAAATGATGTTCCAACCACAGTTCAACGGTGGTCAGATGCCAATGCCAGGAGGACCTGGAGGCTTAAACATGTTTCCAGGACCGGGTCCAGCGCCATGGCCTGCATTGGTTGGTCAAAACTGTTTCAACCAACCCTTTGGGATGGGTCGGGGTATTCAGCAGCAGCCATTACCAAATGAGCTGAGTTTTAATCTATTTTCTCAAGGTCTTCAGATGCACCGGCCACAGTCCCAAATGCTCCGGCCACAGTCGCAGATGAATCAGCAATTCCAAGTGCCACCACAGTTCCAAAATCACCCGCATCACCAAATGATGCACCCACAACAGTCTCCAATGAACCCGCAGTTCCAAATGCAACCACAATCTGATATGCGACCACCATTGCAAAACCCGCAGTCTCCAACTAACTCGCATTCCCCAGTGCAGGCACAGTCTCAAGGGTTTAGTAGCGGGCAGTCTTCTGAACGGGGAAGGGGGTTCCGTGGTCGTGGTAGGGGTCGGGGTCGAGGTCGGGGTCGCTTTGGACGTGGGCGAGGTCGAGGTAGGCAACAGTCGGTATGAAACTGTCTTTGTGAAGCATTTTGATGTGTGTCAAAAATAGGCTTTATTTAGTTTTGTATGCCAGTTTTTCTGACTAAAAAGAAACAAAAAAAAAAAAACAAGGTTATGATTTTTATGATCTTTTTTCAAACATTCTCTAATTGCTGACAGTAATTACCAAAATTTTGATATCCCTTCTTGTTACTGAAAAGTCAAACTGGCTTCAGACTGTAGTAGTCTCTTTCTTTAGCTAGTCGGCTATTTGCAAGAGTGAATTAAGCGCAGCAGCAGAGCGAAAAAGAACACTTCGTTTTCTCGCCGTTAATTTCGTTACTAATCAAACGCATTCATATCCGTTGATAATGCCACGTGTACGTCATCGCTTGTAGGTTGCGAGTCGTACATGATCATTAAAATCATGTCTACTGATTTTGCCAACAATTAACGCCACGAATTGTCTTATGTTTAAAATTAATTGATATGTCTCTCTGTCTCTCTCTCTGTATCTCTCTCTCTCTCTCTCTCTCTTTCTTTCTTCCCCGCGTCTACTTCGTATTCTCTCTTTAAGAAAGCTTTGAATCTATTGACAGTTTCATATCTCCCCAAGTTTCTTTTTCTTTAAAGGATTGAAATTTCATCTCGTCTTCTCTTGCCCACTTCTGAGTTTTTCGCAATCAGAAGTTTAAACTCTAATCCTGTCTCCTTCTGCTGCCCTAGTTTTTTTTCTTCTTTTTAGCTGCCGTCTCTTTCAGCAGACGTGTATTTGTCTCTTTAAGGTAATTCAAGACTTAAACTTGAAGTATCGTCTTCTTCTGCTGTTTTTTTTTATTTTTGGTGGAAATCAAATTTGAGATTAGATCTGACTCAGCTTTGGACTAAGACAAACCTTTTCTCTTTCCATTGGCTGCATGCCTAAAAAGGCAATTGCTTTCGGTTGCCGCAGTGGATGTTCTCTTTAATCTTTTCAAATATCTTTCTCTTTTTAAATCAATTTTGCTGAACTTGCCCAATTCTGAAACTTTGTTGCAATTGCAAATCTCTTCTTGGTCTCCGTTGTTGAGAGTGCTTTCTGGTAATCGTATCAACCCTTGTATTGATTTGAAATCAGACAAAGATTCGTGCTTTGATACTAATTTGGTATTCTAAAGACAACTTCGAACGTCTGTCTAAAGGTATCTGAACTGGATTTCTTTGTTGGGATAGGATAAGTAGTTAGGGGAATGAGAAAATTGTATAGGAAGCTGGTTTCATTCAGAGACCCATTTGCTAGGGTGAAGAGACATGTTAGTTCACAGTCAGGCTTCAGAGCGTTCAGTGACAGAAAATGGATGTTCCCTTTTCTAGCAAGCTTGATCATGTCTATTACACTCCTGATGTTGTTCATTTCTGGCCAATTCGACGGCTTCTATGCGGAAGAAAGTCAATTACCATTAGATGTTGAGGCAGAGTCTAATGAGTACTTTGTAGAATCAGGTTTTGAAAAATCTTTGAATTCGACGGCTGATGTTGTTAATCCAGAGCCTCCTAGGTTAGCTTATTTGATATCAGGAACGAAAGGCGATAGTCATAGGATGATGAGGACTTTACAAGCTGTGTACCATCCTAGAAACCAGTACGTTCTGCATTTGGATCTCGAGGCTCCACCTCGGGAACGGACGGAGCTGGCGATGTCTGTGAAGAATGATCCGACTTTCCGTGAAATGGAGAATGTTCGTGTAATGGCGCAATCTAATCTTGTTACTTATAAAGGCCCTACAATGATTGCTTGTACCCTTCAAGCCGTCGCGATTTTGTTGAGAGAAAGCTTACATTGGGATTGGTTTCTTAATCTTAGCGCCTCGGATTATCCTCTAGTAACACAAGATGGTTAGTAAATGATTACCCTTTGCATAAAAATACTCTTGTTATAATGTTTAGTAGTTTCTGATCTGTTTCATTTGCAGTTTAAGTTCCTTGTGGTGACTGCACATTCTTTTGAGCTTCACATTTAGTTGTGACTTATATAATTTGGTGGCTTTTCTTGCAGATTTGCTATATGTCTTCTCAAACCTGTCTCGGAATGTCAATTTCATCGAGAATATGCAGCTCACCGGATGGAAACTGTAAGTAGAACCATGCTTATTATTCGAGTCACACCGGAGTCTCAAAGCATGTCTACTTACTTGGACTTTCTTCGCAGGAATCAAAGGGCTAAATCAATCATTGTTGATCCTGGCCTATACCTATCAAAGAAATCTGACATTGCTTGGACAACTCAACGGCGACCACTTCCAACTGCTTTCAAGCTATTCACCGGTTAGCTTCTTTAGTCTCACAGTTCATTTCTTTGAGAAATTATGAACGACCTGAAGATAATCTATGTCTTAATTCTGCAGGCTCAGCTTGGATAATGTTGACACGGTCTTTCCTGGAGTACTGCATTTGGGGATGGGATAATTTCCCAAGAACAATACTAATGTACTACACAAATTTTGTATCTTCTCCCGAAGGATACTTCCACACAGTGATCTGCAACAGCAAAGAGTTTGTCAACACCGCCATTGGGCATGATCTACACTACATAGCTTGGGACAACCCTCCTAAGCAACACCCTAGATCTCTCTCCTTGAAGGATTTTGACAATATGGTCAAGAGCAAAGCTCCATTTGCCCGTAAGTTCCCCAAGAACGATCCTACCTTAGACAAGATCGATAAAGAGCTATTGGGCCGGACACACCGGTTTGCACCAGGAGGATGGTGTGTTGGGAGTTCAGCTAATGGCAATGATCCGTGCTCTTTACAAGGCGATGACTCAGTGTTGAAACCTGGACCTGGTTCTGAGAGGTTGCAGGAGCTTGTTCAGACACTTTCATCTGATGAATTTAGGAGAAAACAGTGTTCTTGAAATTATCTAATGTTCACGCCAAATATAACGTTGTATATTGTTTTGTTTGATTATAAATTTTGGTTATAGAGAAATTCCTTCGAAACACATGGATCAAGAAATTGCATGTGGAATAGAAACTACGACAACAAGAATAAGTGAAATGGGCTTTGATAAGGGGGACCGAGAATAGCCCAATTAGCTTTTTACAGCATACAAAAAAATCGCCGCTGCCGGGGATCGAACCCGGGTCACCCGCGTGACAGGCGGGAATACTTACCACTATACTACAACGACATTGTTGTTCATAGATTCACAGAGAAACTAAATAAACAGAACATATTGATATCTCTTGTTCATAGATTCACAGAGAAACTTAATAAACAGAACATATTGATATCTCTACTAATTGACCAACTTGTGTTATTCACGTTTGTTGCCGCCAACACCGAAAGCGCACTTTCAATGTCCTCATCGTACGCGTCGAACTGCACTAAATTAATCTCTCTCACAAAACAATTGAGCTCTTACGCGAACCAAGGACACCATGTGCAAGCTCTCAATCTCTTTCGCCAAATGCATTCTTCTTTCGCCTTACCTCTCGACGCACACGTCTTCTCACTCGCTCTCAAATCGTGCGCCGCAGCTTTCCGTCCTGTTCTCGGCGAGTCAGTCCATGCCCACTCCTTGAAATCCAATTTCCTTGCCAACCCGTTCGTGGGATGCGCGTTACTCGATATGTATGGTAAATGCGTGTCTGTTTCTCACGCTCGTAAACTGTTCGACGAAATTCCTCAGAGGAATGCTGTTGTGTGGAACGCTATGATTTCGCATTACACGCATTGTGGTAAGATTCGGGAAGCAGTGGAGTTATATGAAGCTATGGATGTGTTGCCAAATGAGTCTTCTTTCAATGCCATCATAAAGGGTTTAGTGGGTACAGAAGATGGGTCATATAAAGCAATCGAATTCTATAGGAAGATGTTAGATTTTAGATTCAAGCCTAATTTGATTACACTTCTTGCGTTAGTATCTGCTTGCTCAGCCATTGGGGCTTTTCGTTTGATAAAAGAGATTCATTCATATGCTTTTAGGAATCTGATTGAGCCGCACCCGCAATTAAAAAGTGGGTTAGTAGAGGCATATGGGAAATGCGGATGCATTGTCTATGTGCAATTGGTTTTTGAGAGCATGACTGACAGAGATGTGGTTGCTTGGAGTAGCTTGATATCCGCTTATGCACTTCATGGTGACGCTGAATCTGCTCTCAGAACATTTCGAGAAATGGAATTGGCTGAAGTACCACCCGATGACATAGCCTTTCTGAATGTGCTAAAGGCTTGCAGTCACGCTGGTTTAGCAGATGAGGCTCTTGTTTACTTCAAGAGAATGCAGGCTGATTACGGTTTGCGTGCAAGTAAGGACCATTACTCGTGTTTGGTGGATGTCTTGAGTAGAGTAGGGAGGTTTGAAGAGGCATACAAAGTGATTGAAACTATGCCTGAGAAGCCAACGGCTAAGACATGGGGGGCTTTGCTTGGAGCTTGTAGGAACTACGGCGAGGTTGAGCTCGCAGAGATTGCTGCAAAGGAATTGTGGATGATAGAGCCAGAGAATCCGGCTAATTATGTGTTGTTGGGGAAGATATATATGAGTGTTGGAAGACAAGAAGAGGCAGAGAGTCTTAGATTGAAGATGAAGGAGAGAGGAGTGAGGGTCACACCTGGTAGTAGTTGGTGTTTGTTCAAAGATTGACATATTAGTACCATGCAGTTGTCATGAAATTGTTGTAAGCTCGCTCATACACATTTTTAAAGTCAAGATTGTACAATTTAACTGATATATTCTTAAATTCTAAGGAAATTATATGCAAAAGTATATCCATAAGAAGTTTATAATTTGTGATCTTTTAACAAGTTAAGAGACATCATAGAGTAGACTATGGGGCTTGAATTTGTAAGCCGGTCATACTTGAGCTACTCACACATTTCACAAACATCAACCTTCCAGTTTAAACCAACCGGATATATACACACATTGGGCATGTTAAAAGTTAACCAGAAGGGGGGCAAATCGGACTTTTCGGTATAGAGAATAGAGCTAGGGTTTTGACCAGCCGCGTGCTATTTAACATAATCTTCTTCCAAGCTCTGTTTCGTACATTTTATTGATCTTTAGATTAGTCTTCTTCGTCTACAATAGCTTAGGGTTTTATGTATCGAGTATTATGGATAGCAGGAGCCTCCCGGGCTGATCTGATTACAAAATAAGTACTTGAGGAAATTAGCCCCAAAGCTCCTGCTAGATTGTTTTTTAGCCGTTTGTGTTGCAGATTCGCCTTATTCCTTAGGCTCTTCTGTGTCAAAAAAGCGGCTACATCTCGCTTTTGCTAGCAATGTTATTTATGTTTTTAGTGTTTTTGGGCGATGATTATAAACTTACCCGCGCTTCTGAGATGCTTCTTTAGGTCAATGAAGCATATAAGGTAAAATACATGGTTGAATTTCTTAATATGAGCCTAAGTCCCTGTTTCAAAGTTTTGTTCTTTTGGGGGTTATACGAGTTTTGTATTGGCAGTGATGATGAATTGTAACAGCTTGATACGCCAGTTCTGCTTCAGATAATTCTTGATTGAAAAAGCTGTATTCTTTCTGAGCCTAGAATTTTTCTTTTAACTGTTTCCTTTTGTAGTGTTTTTTGAATTGTCGATGATGATATAATCCAATCGTAATGAGGTGCAGTGGAGTCGAGACCCTGTTTTACAGGGAGAACCCCTTGGCAGAAACTGCAATTTCTATGATTTTAATGGATTTTACTGAGGCTTTTATAACATTATCGTTTTTGTATTTGGTTTTCTAATATTGAAATCTTTTGAGTTTCAACTATACACTTGCACTTGTTTTTTAGTGCTTGTAGTCTGAAAAAACTCATATATCTTCAGTGTTCTCATCAGCTTCGTCTCATCTTTATAACCATGAGGCTAGAGTTAAACAAGTACACTACATTATTCTCTCTTCCCAATTGACTTTTGAGTTTTATTTTTGTTTTCTCGAGTATGATGTTGCCTTTGTTCATGAGACATGAGATACAATACATGATTAACTGCTTTGGTCGATTAGATATTTCGTGAGACATATCGAGGTTGAATTTTGGCCGGTCTGAGTTTTTGGAATGATAAAGGTGTGCATCCATATAAAATAAGGGAAATTGAGATATTTGAACAAGTTTGAAGAGAAAGTGCATGTATTTTTCAAATTTCTTGATCCCTTGTTGTAGGATTTCATAGCAAAGGCATCCATTTAATTTTTCTCTAATGCTATTCCAACCTCAAATCCAGTTATCCAACCTCAACTCCTTTACTAGTGTCTCTGGACTCTTAGAATGAGTTAGAACTTCCTTTTTCTTTGTTGAAATCTCCACTTTGCATGTTTTTTCTAACCTAAAATCCAATTTATACATTCTCCATTTTGGATCTATTGCAATTGATGTTGAACAATTTGACATTGTTTTCTTGTAAGAAGAAGAGAGTCTCGGTGAATGGGAGATTGAGCCACGTGCAGTTGAAAAGTGGTAGATGAAACAGTACTCTTTGGATGAAGGATGGGATAGTTCTCAATGAGCCATAGTTAGACTAAGTTTGGAGGAATTGAGTTCCTGTGTATATTTTGATAATAGGATAATGTTTGTTAACCACGGGGAAGTGAAGAAGTTGCTTCCTGGCGTACTTTCTCAAGATGATTCAGAACTCAGACGCATTCTCATACAAAAGTTCCACACTGTATTGCATGCAATTCAGTTTTCCAGTTCTGTTCTCTATTGTTTCAGTTTGTTAATTTGTTTTTACGTGTGTACCAACGGTCCGCTTATATAGCCCTACAAAACTAAACTATGTAAAATAAAGTTAATTTAACCGATGGGCTGAATTGTTTATTGGGCTTTTTATAGTTAGTTAGGCCCAGTAAACAGAAATCCTGATCTCTGGTTTAATATATGGCATAAACGTAATAGAAAGACAGCAAGAATTTAACGAGTTCAGGCATCCAAAATGGAAACCCTACATCTCGCCGGGGAAATCCACTAGTTTCATCAATTTCTCCCGAGAGTAACACAAAACACTTAACACCATATTTAGTAATATTTGACCCCAATATTTCTATCTACTCTAATATGTGCCAGATCCTTCATCAACCCTAAGTTGTTCGATCAATTAACTCATAATTCCCCAACGTTAGGGCGTTATTAGGATTGTCAATCATCATCATCGTATCATCTTGGTCCACGAGTTGTCCCCAATCTTCTTGAGCTTGATAAATCGGTTGCAGCAGTTCACATATCTCTTGCTGTTGTTCGGTGACGTCGTCTTCGCCTTCCGTGTCTTTCATCAGGAATTCTTCTATGTCAGACACTTTTTGGTTCCACGCCATCATGTCGTCGTTGGTGTTGTTGTTCTGCATCGTAGGAGGAATGATAGGTATCTCTTCTTCTAGCTGTTTTTGTTGATGTTGAGTAACATCACACTCTTCTTGTCTCCCTAGCCTCATCGTCTTAAGCTTATCACCAAAACCTATTAGATGATCTGCGAGTTGGATCGACATCATATTGACTGTGTCATCGTTGTTGTTGTCGCCGCTCTGCGTCGGAGAAAAGATGAGCATATCTTCGTATAACTTTTGTTGTTTTAGTTGAACAACGCGGTCTTTTTCTCCCTTTAGCATCTGCATTGGCATATCAAGCTCATCAGCGAAACTGGTTAAATCAGCCTCTTCTTGCACTTGTTGATTCGTCATCATGACGTTGTTGTTGTTGTTGTTGTTGTCGTCGTGGATCTGCGCATGTGCCAGAGGAATAATTGGTATCTCTTCGTCTTGCTGTTGTTCAGTAGTGTCAAGATCTTCTTGTCCCTCTAGCATGATCGTCTCAGGCTCATCAGCAAAACCGGTGAAACCAGCCTCTTGCACTAACTGGTTCGCTAAGATGTTGTTGGTGGTATGCGCCAGCTGAGGCTGAGTCCGAGGGAATTGGTTAACGATTTTGTCAACTTTCGTCTTTGTCTTGTCTCGGATGTGACACAAGACCAAATCTTGGAATTCGTTGTCAGGTTTGGGAAGGAGATACTCGGTCATAAGCCATCCGGTCTTCACGTCTTTTCCATGCACTATGCTATGGTACGTAAGGGGCTGCTTGTGACCCATGACAAATTTATTTTCATCCACTACATCCACTTTCTTAACGCCACTTCTCCAATAGCCGCCTTCGCTTCCTCCTCTTGGAGGTACGGTCCGGCGTGGTTTATTTCTATGTCGTTTAGTTCTCGGAACAAAGTAGTACCACTCCTTTTTCTTGAAAAGAGGATTGCTTACGTGAGGAAGAAGCCACGGATCGGCTTGGTAAACGTCCAAAGTTGTTAAGAAATCGCTCTGCTTCCTCTCGACCATGTTGCGAAGATAAAGCCTCACCAGCCCTAGATCCTCTGGGCCAAACCGTAATCCAACCGGATGATCATACGGAGCCCTCATATCGTGGATTCGAAGAAGACCTAAAGGTATATAATTCCTAGGTAAGTCACCAGTTCTCTCTCTCTCAACCTATCTATCTATCTATATAATCTTTTGTCGTAATAAGTAACGAGTTTTGAAGTAGGAGGGTGCTATATATATATACCAATGGGCCTTCGGAATTTGTTGTTGTCCTATTGAGAATTGAGATATGACATGGATGAAGTTATTAAAACCTACAAGTATCAGGATAAATTCTATAAAAATGTAAACAAAAACGAATCTACTCGATTCTCGACTTACGTATCCACTAGGTAATATTTTATGCATTATCTTATACTAATAAAAATAATTTGTTATATATAACTAAAACCTTTTTCGGATTGACACAAGGCAAGGGCTTTTTTACATAAGTTAGTGAAACAAAAAATCTTGTCTTCTTTAATTTTTTTCCTTTTCTTAAAAATTCATATCCACTCTGAAAAACTTCGAAAGAGAAACAGAAGTAACAAGAAAGGAAGACAAGAAAAAAAAAAAAAAAAGTATTGTTATTAGAGATGTGTTTCTCAAGACCACCAAGGGCTTTTATCCGCCTGACAGATTTTTCAAACTCTTCTTCTCATTCATTTGTAGTCATCTCCTGCTCCGCTTTGATATGCCCAGGCCACGTAGTTACATGCTCCGGCCACATACGTAGTAACGTTTTTTTTCTTCTAAGAAATTAAAACTAGATCCGAATATAACAGTTTATATAAACCAGCCCATATATTTATAGAATTATCCTTATGTGTCAAACTCATATCCATTTGATTATTGGATCCACCGATCGATACATCCCATACAGAACCTCATATACTTCATACTTGGCATGCAAACTTATAATTCTAATTAATTAAGAGATAAAGTAAGTAATCATATCAAACACAGTTTTTGTATACGTGGTTTGGACAGAGATCTAAGTTCTATCACATGTTTTCGGTCGAGATCTGAAAAATTCTAGTTTTTTTTTGGTGAGTAGGCAAACTAGTACATTTTAGAAAGTTAATTATATAACTAATACATTTACTATTTATAATTAGAAAACTAGTACATTTTTACTATTTGATACTATTTCATTGACTTTTAAACACTCAGAAAATATATTATTTACAAGTTTGCCACTATAATAATTAAATAATATAATTTGTACATCACATTTACTGTACAGATGTACAAAAATATATTATCTGTACAGTTTATTATTGTACTACATAATATCATCCGTACAACTTATTATTGTACAAATGTACATAAATATGCATATTTTGCTATATTATATTAGTTGTATAGATAAAAATGTGTAATCTTTTATATATCCGTACACTTAAGAAACTGTACGGTTATGTATGTACGGTTATGTATGTACATTTAATCAGCTGTACATATACGTGTGTACACATACTAAACTGTACAAGTACGTCTTTACATATACTAAATTGTACAAATAAATATATATATATATGAAATGTATTTAAAATTAATTAAACAAAATGCATATCATATGATAGAAAAAAAAACATAGATTTTTTGTGTATCAAAAAAGTTTTTGAAAAAAAAAATTATAAAACCCAGTATCTTAGTTATTATAATTTTGGGGTAAAGATATTTAAAAGAAAAAAAACAAAAAGGAAAAATAAAAAACAAAATCGGTAAAGAAAAAAAAATACCTCCTTGGTCATTTTTTTTCTTTTCCTTTTATCTGTCACACATTGTTTCTATCTCACACCATGGACCCCACTGACTAGTTTGCTAATTATAAATAGTATATGTATGTGTTTTCCAATTATTTTCAAAAAATATATTAATTTGCCTATTAACTCTTTTTTTTTTCTATCAACAACATAGCTATATACTGTATTAGTATTTGATTAGTGCATGTGGTATTGTTTAATCATTAATGGCTAAATGTAATTAATTAACCATGCATGTGACGCACTGACTAACTAAACCAAATTATGCGCCGCAAATGCTTCGTTTGGGAACACCAACCATGTGATGTATTTACATTAATTATTAAATCAAGTTTAAAATAAATAAATTAGTCTTCCGAACTATAATTTTAAGCGTCGATATAAAACTTCTTTTTGATTAACAACAACACTGCTCCTTTTTTAATCATCATCTTCTTGATTCATTTGCAGACTCTTTCCCATCATGAGCGAGATGGTGGTGAAGCTTCCCGGACACCATCATCTTCTACTCACTAGAGCATTATTTTCCGTAACCTGTTTTGAGTGCGGTGAAGATATAGTTGCGTTAAATGGTTACTATTGCAAGATTTGTAAGGAGGGATGGCACACAAAATGCATGCCGACAACACCAGAGATCAACCACCCATGCCACCCAAACCATGCGCTCAAGCTTCTCATAGACGGGGCACCTGCTTACACCGACGGTAAATGTCATTTCTGTCGACAAGATTTGAAAACTGTTGTATATCATTGTTTTACGTGCAATTTCACCTTGGATTTGAGATGTGGGGCATCACCAAAGCAAGTAACGATAGATGAGTCCAAGTGCCACAACCACCCACTCACCATCATGGCGAGACAAGTTTCTTTCCTTTGCAATGTTTGTGGCACGCGTGGTGAGCGTAACCCTTATGTATGTACTGCCTGCTCTTTCATGGTCCATGAAGATTGCATGGATAGACCCCATGTCATAAACATTAATCGTCATGATCATCGCATCTCCCACACTTATTCGCTTTGTTTTGGGAATATGGTATGTCGAGTTTGTCGTCTGGGTATTGATTGGGTGTATGGAGCCTATTCTTGCTCAAAGTGTCCTGAGTTTGTGGTACATTCTAAATGCGCAACAAGCCAAGAAGTATGGGATGGTAAGGAGCTCCATGGAGTACCTGAAGAGGAGGAAGAAGAGCCAATGTTCAAAGTGATTGAAGAGAATGTGATAAATCATCAGATGCATCCTTCTCATAATCTAAGACTCACAGCAGATGGTGTTGTTCGTGATGAAGGCGTAAGATGTCAACTATGTGAGGGATCCGTCTATTCTGACAAATTATATAGCTGCATGGAATGTGACTACGTTCTTCATGAAACATGCGCATACCTTCCTCATAAGAAACGACATGGTTTGAGTAGGTCTCGCATTTCACTTAAAAAGGGGCCTCGTGATGGTGAGTACTTTAAGTGTCGAGCCTGTAGACAACTGTCAACAGGCTATAGGTACGAATTTTTAGATTACAACAAATTGGAACTAGATATGAGATATGACACAGTTGATCAGTTAGGCTACATGAAGGTGCTCCCTTATGGAAGCGTATTGGAACTAGATCTGAGATGTGCCGCAGTTGATTGGTCGTGTGACCATGAGAGCCATCCCCATACCTTATTTCTCACCAACTTAGCCAAGGACACTTGTGGAGCTTGTGGCAACAAAAAAGACTATGTGTTGCGTTGTGTTGATTGTAAGTTTAACTTGTGTTACAAATGTGCTACTTATCCAAAGAAGATAAAGCACAGGTGCGATGACCACCCTCTGTTGTTGAGCTTTGGCGATAAGGAGCAGCATGGGAAATACTGGTGTACGGTATGCGAAACAGAAGCTGATCCAAAAGAATGGTTTTATGAATGTGACAAGTGTGGGATCGTTGGTCATATTCGGTGCGTTCTTGGAGACTTTGCAAATGTTAAACCCAGTGTTGGGGTCTTGTGCGGGAACAAAAGTGGAGTGATCCGCAACAACAGTGTCACACGACCACATTGCCACTATTGCGGCATTTGTTGCCTGGTTCCTTTTATTTATAGAGTTTCTGAGCATTACTTTTGTTCTTTTGATTGCTTAGAACCTAAGTCAGAGCTTATGGAATCGTTGAAGGCCGAAGCCGCTCGAAAGAGGCGACTTGAAGAAGAGATAATGGAAAAAACAGAAAAAGTGTTCACTCTTAAACGGGAGTATCTTAGATCTCGTGAATCTAGAGAGTTTTGAGTTATATTTAACTATCCAAAGTTGTTGTTTTATTATTATTCACATTTTTGAATGAAATAATCTTCAGATATATGTATGCGTAAATGACCCCCCATACACAGCGTGACAGGGCAAACTAACGAACGTTACATTTTGGGTGGACCAAAATTTGCTTGAGGAAGGAAGCCATTTTGGGCCTAGTTTGGGTTTATATTAGTCGGGATATAAGCCTGATAAGAAAGAAAACCTGATCCTCTATGGCTCTCTGAGACATTTCAAAATTCAGAATCAAAAATCTTCGGTTCGACCAAATTAAATTGCCAATTTTAAATTCGTGTCTGGTTTTGGTTAACTTTCGGCAATGATAAATCAAAGTGGTTTTGTCGTGGACAATGGTTTTCAAGAGAAGAGAAACAATGGGACTTGTGTTTTTTAATTTGATTTTTTACCGGAGGGAGAGAGAGGTGGTAACTAAACGCGGTCAAAATCAGTGGACGACGACGACTTCTTATCATATAATATCTCTCCATCATCATCGTCTTCTTCATTCTTCAAACATCAAATCCAACTTCGGATCAAAATCATGGCTTCTCACTCTTCGACTCTCCTCTCTTCTCCTACCTTCGCTCCCTTCTCCTCTCACCGTCCCCATCATCCTCCCAATCTCTCTACTCTCCGCTTCTCCCATCCAATCAGGAGAAAACCCAATCTCGCCTTGCGATGTTCAGTCTCAATTGAGAAAGAAGTCCCCGAAACTGAACGACCCTTTACTTTCCTCAGGGATTCTGATGACTCCACTCACTCTTCTTCTTCTTCTTCTTCTTCTTCTTCTTCTTCCGTCAGGGCTCGTTTCGAGACTATGATTAGGTCTGCTCAGGACAGCGTCTGTGAGGCCATTGAAGCTATCGAAGGCGGTCCTAAGTTCAAAGAAGATGTTTGGTCTCGACCTGGCGGAGGAGGTGGAATCAGTCGTGTTTTGCAGGATGGTAATGTCTTCGAGAAAGCTGGTGTTAATGTCTCTGTGGTTTACGGTGTTATGCCTCCTGAAGCTTATAGAGCTGCAAAGGGATCAGCTTCTGATCAGAAACCTGGTCCAGTCCCGTTCTTCGCCGCCGGAGTTAGCTCGGTAATGAACCTCTCCCGACCTGGAGTTACGATTTAGGGCTTTTATCATGTTTCATCATTACGGCTTCTCTGTGATTTCTAGGTTTTGCATCCAAAGAACCCTTTTGCCCCAACTCTGCATTTCAATTATCGCTATTTTGAGACTGATGCTCCAAAGGGTAAGAGCTAAATTCGAATTGAGATTATAAAGTTCTTATCTTTTGTCTGGACAACAGCATTTGACTTTCCACTTTTTGATGCTCAGATGTTCCTGGAGCTCCGAGGCAATGGTGGTTTGGTGGTGGAACTGATTTCACACCTGCTTACATCTTTGAAGAAGATGTCAAGCATTTCCATTCGGTACTATGAAGCTTTCTTCCTTGTTCTAAAGATATGAGCTTTGTGATCATGGGGTTGCTTATATATAAATCTGTCTTTCTTGTTGTAGATTCAAAAGCAAGCCTGTGACAAATTCGACCCTTCTTTCTATCCCCGATTCAAGAAGTGGTGTGATGACTACTTTTACATCAAGGTATGTTGTGTTTTGTGAGATCTTATGCATTTGAATTTTTTTTGGAACTGAAGGGCTTAGTTCTGAAGTTGTATTTAGGGATGTTAGGGTAGGAACAGCTCAGAGACTCTGATAATCCAATTGTTTCTGTGAGCCCTTTGAAAGATGTTAGCACTCTTTGATCTTGCTTGCAGCACCGTGATGAGAGACGAGGACTTGGAGGGATATTTTTTGATGATCTTAATGACTACGATCAGGAAATGCTCCTGTCATTTTCCACTGGTAATGGGCTAACTGTCAATCCTTCATGTATCAAGGACCAGTTATTACTTATTTACAATGGGGTTAGTTTCTTGGTAGACTAATGTAGTAATTGGGGTTCACAGAATGTGCAAACTCAGTTGTACCGGCTTATATACCTATAGTAGAGAAAAGGAAAGACATGGAATTTACAGAGCAGCACAAAGCATGGCAACAGTTACGAAGAGGGCGATATGTCGAATTCAACTTGGTATGATAGTCAGACACTAGCTTTCTCTCTGTTTCGGTCCTCCTATCTTATGAACCTTGATCGCTAATGTATGTGTGTGATGATGGAAAGGTATATGATCGTGGAACGACATTTGGTCTGAAAACAGGAGGAAGAATAGAGAGCATTCTGGTCTCTCTTCCGCTTTCAGCAAGATGGGAATATGATCATGTAAGTTCCTCTTCCCATGAGTGAGGACACCAAATCTTTTATTTAATAGAATAGTCACAAAATGGTAATGGGTGATTGTGAGTGCAGAAACCAGAAGAGGGCACCGAAGAGTGGAAGCTATTGGATGCTTGTATCAACCCGAAGGAGTGGATCTAGATTCTAGGCTGTGTTTCCATTGTTTGAGATGAGTGAGTTTATTTCCATTATTTCTTGTAAGTTTTGAGCAACTTTAGATGATTTAGAATACCGGAGATGAGAAGGGAATGAGAGTTTGATAAGGTGCTGTTGTGAACTTGCATATATTTTCACAATCCAAATATCCAATCCAGTTAACATGAAGATATAATTGCAGAACGATTTGAAAATTGAGCTTTCGGCCTAAGAGAAATTGCAGATGCAGTACAGCTTGGTCCAATCCAAAACACGATTAAAGAAACACCTACTCCCCCGAATCAATTATGAAACTGAAACTGGATCAACAAAAATAAAATATAGTTTTGTCTAGAAAAATCTCTGTTTCTCAAAGGTATATAACAAGTTTATAGTAAATAAAACATACTTGTAAGCTAAATTGCTTTTATAACGTTAGAAATAGTAATATCAAATTTAGAATTTTAACTATGCTTTTGTAATCTATAAATAGTGCGAAATTGTGAGAGCATTAACGTCGAACTAGTCTATTTGAAGCCAGTATCAGTCGTCAGCATTAACATCCTTTTTTTTTTTTGATCAACACCATTAACATCCTTAAAATAGAAAAACAAAAACGATTCACTTGACTTATTGTAGAAAGAGCTATAATAAGAATAATTAATTGCTAAGAAAAAGAAAAAATAATAGAACTAAAAAAATGGAATGCAAAGTACAACCTCAACTTTGTTTTACTTTATTTGTTTTTTTTATATATATATAAAATTTGTCGTATTCATTACAGTAAAGCATGGAAAGAGTTTAATCGACCGTTGCACAGAAACGCCTTTTGCGTGTTACGCTCGGCACGGCCCACATGGCCTCATGGGGCCCATTTAGATAACTCTCGTATTTATCAGCTAAACATAATTCCCAAATTACCCCTGTTCGTAGGCTCCATAAATAGATCCTTGACTACACAGAGTATGATACTACCTTATAAGGCTATAAACATTAAAAATAAAAATCTGATTGTAGGGAGGAAATTAGTGCATAATATCCTCTAATACTTTAGTTTATGGAAATTTTGGATAAAAAATCGTTACGTTAAGAAACAAAAATTAATTCGTTTTGAGTAACAAAATCAAAATAAAAGAGTGATAGAAGGGGTGGGGTGAAAACGTCATTTAAGGAGATAAACAGTAGAGCATGCTGCCATGTCATCCGCCGCTCGATTTCCAGGGGTATCTTCGTAAATTACTAATGACTGTGTCTTCCTTAAAGAACACACGTGGCTACATGTGATTGGTTAATACGGTGATGTCAGTGATAAAAAGACCGCTTACTTCTCTCAAGTCTGAAGGAAAAAAAAAAACTCCTCAAAACTGCTCTACACCACTGCAACGAAGAAGGCGGAGAAGAAGAAGTTGAGAGAAACGGCGCCGTGAAAACGGAATTCGTCACTGAGGTTGGTACTATACTCTAGATGATTCAAGTTCAACGAGTGAGTTTTTGGTTTATTTTTATTTTTATATACAATAAATAACTGAAGAATTTTTTTTGCTGTTTTGGTAATTTGAGTGGAGAAAGCTATATAAATCAGAAAGAGTGATGGACTCATCAAAATGGTGGTGGATTGGAAATCACAACACTACAAATTTCTCTCCTTGGCTTCATTCTACTCTCTCTGGTATATATTTCTGGGCTTTTGTCTAGGGATCTCTTTTTCTGATTTTGGTTATGATAGTTGTCAAAATTCCAAGTTTTCATTTTGGTATATATGTGTGTCTATTGAATCCAAAGGTATTGGACTGTGTTTGTTGAACTTGGGTGCTAATAGTCAGTCTCTTTGGTATCTTATCTTCTGTTATGATTTTCTGTGACAATTGAGTAGTGATATAAGTGTTTGCTTTCATTGAGATTTTTGACATGGTGAAGTTTCATTGAGATTCTCTATGATAAAAGTTTTTGATTTTGGTCTATGATCTCTGTTTTGTGAGTCTTTACTTCTCCCTATGAAAAGTATTGCCTTTTTCCCGTTTTTTGTTGAAATTGGTGTATAGAATAGTCGTTAAGGTTTGTTGGAGAAGATGCTTCTGTTTATCACCTTCTTTAGACTAGATAGTAGTAGTGAAAAAAGTGTGTTATTTTATTGAGATCTTGACATGTTGAATCTGGTTTTGTAATTGAAGAGTTGGATGAAAAGACTAAGGAGATGCTGAGAGTGATTGATGAGGATGCGGATTCTTTCGCCGCACGAGCTGAGATGTATTATAAGAAAAGACCTGAGCTTTTAGCTATGGTTGAGGAATTCTATCGTTCACATCGCTCTTTGGCCGAGAAGTACGACTTGTTGAGACCTTCTTCTGTGCACAGACATGGCTCAGATACTCATGACAAGTCATCAACTTGTGATGTGTCTTCTTGGTCTGAGGCTTGCGAGACTCATGAGGAGTACGCAGAGTCTGAAGTTGATGACGGTGAAACAAAATGGGTCGATGAAGGTGAAATTGATGGCATTGTCGAGGAAATGGAATCATCGCAAGTCGATTATGGTGAAGATAATGGAGACTGTGAGACGATGAAGGAAGAGATAGAGAGGCTGAGAGAGGAGAACAAGGTTTACAGTGAAATGGTGGTGGAGAAAGACGAAGAGAAGAGAGAAGCTATAAGGCAAATGAGTTTAGCAATACAAATGCTTAAAGAAGAGAACTCAGAGCTCAAGAAACGTTTTCCTACTACTGTTGCTGCAAAGAACAAGGAAGGTGATAGTTCTCAGGGGAAGCAACAAATGTGGAAGCCGTTTGAGTTTAAGAAGACTAAGCTTGAAGGGTTGTGGGGGAAAGTAGCAGGAAACTGGGTTCTCCCAAACACAGATTCAACTGCAAGAGAGCTCGTGACTCTATAAACAGAGTGGTCTATGTGATGAAGAAGAGAAACTGAGGGCTTTTCGTTAAAGGTTAAACATCTTTTGAACTCTGTAAGAGAGGTAGGGTATAATCAAGTAGTAGTTAGTGTGTAAGGTTTAGTTATAGGCTTATCGCCAAGTCCATGGAAGTTTGTTTTACAATATCTATGTAGTTGGTTTTTTGTTTTGCTTATTTAATAGCTGTTCTTTCTTTCAAAATCAATTTTTTTTGTTCTTTGAATATCTCTGTTGTAAGTTATTTTTCTGTGTACTAGAATGGTTATAATAAGTTGTTGTTACAAGTTTTGACCATTATTATTTGTATCTATTATGTGAAATTGGATTTGTAGGTATATATGTGAAACGTATTATTTGTCTTTGAGACTATGAAGAACCCAAAAAACGAACAATATGAAATATATCACATGAAACAGAATAGAGCCGTTTTCATCTATCAACAGACATGACCGCCAAGTCATAACTTAGGACTTTTTTTCAACGGTGCAGATTCTTCTTCAATTGAGAATTGAGAATCTCTTTAAGATGTTGTTTTTGTTCCTATAAATCTAAAGATATATTTGTCGTCGGGTCGTATAAACAATGTAGAAATACGGAGAGTATTTTTGGTAATAAGAAGCTAATGTTTTTTTTTGGTCATAGAATGGGTAACACGCTAACGATGCGATCACAAACCAATTAGTTGAAATTACTCTAGTGAATACAATGTTATAAATTTTAATATGCAATTTTGTCGTTTCAGTCGACCGGGATCTGAATATTAACAGCACACATTACGTTCATAATATTTTTTTTATAAAAAAAATCTTTAAAATATAAAAGAAATGAATTAGAAAAATAGTTTGATGACAAAAAAAAAAAAGAATTAGAAAAATAGTAATATTGAAATGCCATAGACTCAGCGAGATAGAATCTATCTTTGTTTTCTTACGTTATCTAGACCGGATAAAGATTGATCTAACAATATATACTATTTATTAGTACAATGGATATGTCAAAACAATTTCATAATGTAAGTCTTCGTAATAAACAATAATGGTTTGTCTTTCTCTTCTTAATTACTCTATTTACGTGGTGGTCTTAATGACCGATTCAAACAAATCCGATTAAACTGAGCGACCAGTGTTCTTTTTGTTTAGTTGCCGTTGTAGGCTTTGGCAAGACAGTCTGTCATCTTTATGTTTTTTTTTTTTTTTGCCACATTCGTATTTTCTTCTATTTTCCTTTTTATTGTTTTACGACTCTACTCTATGGCCTTGTTATTATTATATGACGTTGCCCGTTTTGCCCTTACACTTGTCTTGTTGATCTCGTTGTCACTGAAAATGACCTCTCGTTATGGATATAAATTCCACGGTCAACTTGTATACTCGTATTTTTTTTATTACTCCATTTACTTCACTTTTTGTTTTCATTGGATTCTCCGTTCCTAAACATATATATAAAGTATATTTATTCAGTTTTTTAGTTAAAAATGACAAGAGTTGGTTTCGGCTTGAAAATATCCAACCCCTTTTTCTTTTCAACTGCTAATATGAATAATACTGTTGTCTAAAACTAAATATATATATATATATATATATATCTATATATTACGTAGTAACAAATTTATATGCAGAAAAGATTATAGAAGATTTGTGCGGCTGATTTGGACCTGTAAACGAACCATGATTTTCTTTTAATTATCAAAAATCAAAATGAATAATTAGAGAATTGGCATTTTAACATTGCTTTAGTCGTTAGCTACCGTTTGAAAAAATAAATTAATCATCAAAGAAACAAGGCGGGTAAAAGGAAGGATAATACAGTAAATTTAGCTAAAAATCGGACAAAACAAATCCGGAAGTGTTCCCTGGCATCCCACAGGCTCTCGCCTTCTTATTGTAAACAGCTGTTCTTTTCTTATGGCAATCTCGTAGTTTAGCTATAACAACAACAACAACAACAACAACAAGTCCAGATTTAGTCACGTTACGTATTTTAATTTTTAACTAACTATTTCTCTCTCTCTCTCTCTAGTCTATACCTTGTGTCTTCTTCCCCATTTCTTTTTTTCTTTCTTCATAGTTTATGTTTTTTTTCTTTTCAAACAAAAAAAAAAGGGTAAATAAATAGATATATATATATTCAGGAAGAAAGAAAAAAAAAGCCTGTAAGAGAGAGAAGAAGAAGAAGACGAGGACGAAGTCAATAGAGAGAGAAACAATGGCGGAGGAGACGATGGAGAAGGAAGAGAGGGTGAAGCTGTTCGTCGGACAAGTTCCCAAGCATATGACGGAGGCTCAGCTCCTCACATTGTTTCGTGAATTCTCCACCGTCGATGAAGTCAACATCATTAAGGAGAAGACAACACAAGCTTCCCGAGGTTTTCTTCTTTCTGCTTCCTCTGTTTTCTCCATCTTCCTCCTTTAATTTATAATCCTCTTCTTTTTTTTCATATTAAGAAGAAGAAGAAGAAGAAGAATTTTTTTTCTCTGTTTTGGGAATACTCTGAGCTGGGTTTTTTGAATCGTGTGATTTTTGTCTTGATTTCTGGATTCTAAAAAACAAAAACCTAAATTTCTCTATGCCTCCCCTGTTTTCTCCGTCTTCCTCGTTTCCCCTGTTTTCTGATTGCGCGTGATTTTTCTTCTTTTGATTTATATTTTTGTCAACTCTGAAAAACCCTAATTTCACCTGGAATTTGTAGGATGTTGTTTCCTGACATGTCCTTCAAGGGAAGAAGCAGACAAGGTGGTCAATGTTTTTCATAACAAGAGGACATTGCCTGGGGTCAGTCTTTTTTCTACTATTCTTTCTAATACTAGGAGCTGTTTTGCTTAATTTTCTGGGATTTCCTGATACTTGAATGTGATGTTTCTGTACCTTGAAACTAATTGATCTTGCTTGCACAGTTTTTTTAAGTTGGTTGATATCTCGAGATTGCTTTCTCTTCTTTTTATCCGTCTCAGTCTGCATTGTGCTTGATTTTTGTACCTGCTGTTAATTCTGGAGTTGGTTATTTTAAGAGTTTTGCATGTTGTTGTTATACATTAAAAAAATCATGTAAATCTGTCGAGGTATAATTATGCATCTGATTCTGCTGATCAGAATCTGCCTCATTGCTTGTTGGAATCTGCAGACGCTAGTCTCACATCCTCTGTAGTTGATTTCTTCAAACCCAAGAAAGCACATCGATTCACTATAGATGCATGTATGGGCTTAGGAGATCGAAACGAATATAAACTATTGTTTCTGTTTGCTGACTTATTGTTGATTCTGTAAAATATGTTTAGCCTTTTATGGTGAGAACTTGATTCATCTTGGACAACTTAGGATACATGGTGAAAGCTAAAAAAGAATGTTGTGTATACCCTTGGTTCTAGAGATCTTACTGTGGCTTGTTTCTGAGTCATTCCATCACAACATTCACTCTCCTTTTCATGTTATGTTCAGGCTTCTAGCCCGTTACAAGTAAAATATGCAGATGGCGAGTTGGAAAGACTAGGTACGCAAAACGTTTCTGAGTGATGTGCCCAATTTTGTTATTTGTGTATATATACACTATCAATTTGATGATTCTTCTTGCAATCCAGAGCACAAACTCTTTGTCGGTATGCTTCCAAAGACTGTATCTGAAGCTGAGGTCCTATCCTTATTCTCCGAATACGGGACCATTAAGGATCTACAGATTCTAAGAGGGTCTCTACAGACTAGCAAGGGTATGTCCATCACTTGATTTCCATTTTCTTATGGATTCTTTAGCTCTCTGTACCAAAGTTTTGACTGACATTTGATTTATTTTAGGATGTCTGTTTCTAAAGTATGAGTCTAAACAACAAGCGGTCGCAGCTATGGAAGCCCTCAACGGAAGACATATAATGGAGGTGTGTGTACTTATTACAACTTCTAGAATATTAATTAAGAAGGACTTCCATGGAGACTGTGACAAATGTTTCCTTGATTCTTTTGTTTCTTTCAGGGTACGAATGTTCCTTTGATTGTCAAATGGGCAGACACAGAAAGGGAAAGACAAGCCCGAAGACTTCAAAAAGTTCAATCTCATATCTCCAGTCCGCAAAACCCCTCCATGTTTGGAGCATTACCTATGAGTTATGTTCCTCCTTACAATGGATACGGCTATCATGTAAGCTCTTGTTCTCTCATCTACTTTGCAAAAGTTCTGGACTTGTTTTTCAAACTTAGTAATAAACATCAAGATATATCAATTATTGTCCAAATTGTCACTTGAGGAAAACATTAGAGATTTATCCGTTTGTATTGGGAACTCTGATTCAGAAGTTTGAAAAACTCTAGAGACTGTTGTCTATTGGTTGCTAGATTTTCTGATTCTATCTGTAAAACTGTTTACTCTATAACAGGTACCTGGAACTTATGGGTACATGCTACCACCTATCCAGACTCAACATGCATTTCACAATGTAATTTCACAGAACCAAGGTAATGGAAGCGCATTGCAAGGAACCGCTTTGACGGAGTCTGTCCCACCACGTTTAGCCGCCCGTAGAAACTTCCCAGCGGCTCCTGGAAATTATGGTTACCATGGTCTTCAATATCCTATGGCATTTCCTAGAGGAGTGATACCTCCTCGCCTTCCTCTAACCACAGTTTCACCTGGAATATCTAACAACGGCGCATTGATACCTCCCTCGATACAAACGGAAGGTTTAGTTAGTCCTAAACAAGAACAAATATGAATTTGATTTGAGGAGTCAAGTTGTTATGTGACTAATAATCTAAAACACTTTCTTTGATGTTCTCAGGACCAGCAGGTGCGAATCTGTTTATTTATAACATACCTCGGGAATTCGGGGATCAAGAACTTGCGGTTGCATTTCAACCTTTCGGTAAGGTTCTAAGCGCCAAGGTGTTTGTAGACAAGGTCACTGGTATAAGCAAATGTTTTGGTAAGCTCCTGTGCTTTCGTCCTCTATCACCAATCGTGTTTTCCCAATACTCGAATTAACGGGTTATGCATCCCTTTTGTTGCGCGGCAGGGTTCGTTAGTTATGAATCACAAGACGCTGCTCAGAAGGCTATTAACACAATGAACGGTCGCCAGTTAAGCGGTAAGAAATTGAAAGTCCAGCTGAAGAGAGACAACGGACAACAGCAACAACAGAGTAACAAACCGTTATTAAACGGTTTATTAAACTCATAAAAACGACTGACCCCTCTTCAGCAGCATTAAGAGTTTGCGGGCAAAACCCGGTTAAGACATTAAAGATGGGATATTGATGGGGATGGTGTGGTGGAACTCTTAAGTACAAACATTTGTCGGCCGTTATTGACACATTTGACAAATCCAAGCAAGTCTCATATATATGGTTCAGAAAACTCTCCATCAGGTCTTAGAAAAGCTGTAATCTTTTCTGCAAAAGAATTCTCTTCCACATACCCACTTTTATTTTTTCCTCTCTCTAAAATTCGCTTCATTGCAATTTGTAATTTATTGTGTCATTGAAAATTTCATGTATAAATGTTATCATTATTAACCATTTTATAAATTCATTTATTAAATAAATATATTGGACTTAAGTAGAAATTTTAATCGGGATTACCATCTTGTAGATAGAGTTGGATTATAATGATTATATGACACGGTAATAACATTAACCGATTACAAACTTCGTTTTTCAGTCTCTCTCAGATGCATGCTTATAATTTTAAACGGTTCATATTTCATTATTTTGTAATAAAATAAGTTTTATATTGTTGACAAAAAAAAAGTTTTATATGAAAATTTCAAACAGCTTATATTTGGTCATTAAAATTAAAGGTCTACAATTCATTTAAATTTTTAAAATATCCAAATAAAAGGTCCATACTTCATTATTTGACAGTTGTAGTTAATTATATTTTTATCTGATATTTATTTACTAAAAGGTCCATAATTAATATCAATGACTGTATATATAATAATTATTATTTTATGATAATCAATATTAAAGTTATATTTAGTTAAGAAATTTCAGTGGGAGGTCCATATCTCGTATTCAATATTTAAGATTCGTATCCAATATTTAAGAGGTTAAAATGATTATTTTTTCATTACTTTTACTTTTATTTATCTCTTTAAATAAATTACAATAAAATATAAATTTTAATTAATAAAATAATTGAATTTTGGGAAAGAAAGTCTAGTCATTTGGAAAATTAGAGATAGATTAAAGTATTTGGAAAATATTGCTAAAACCTCAGATGTTTCATCCCCAGTTTGATATTTTACTAAAGCGAAAACAAATCTAACTAGTATCTATGTTAAAAGACCTAATTTGAGCAAAATTAAATAAATAGTTAGATAATAAATGTATAACAACAAATTGCATCAGTTTTATTACAAAGACATTAATTCATTCCGGTCCGGTCGATAAAACTAAATATCCCCCCCATATCTGGAGGAAACAAAAAGTGCTATCGAACAACAATGTCAATGAGGGAGAGTGTGCATGCCGCGCGTTCCTTTTATTTTAAATCGCTTAATATATGCTTTTACTATTTTGCACAGTTGAATTACGTGGCAACAAACCCATTCAGAGACTATAGAATGGGTATTTTCGTCATTTCATATTTATTGCTTAGGCTTTGCCCTTTGCACGCTACCATTGCCATACAAACATAATTTCGTGGGACTGTTTTTGCTTACCAAAAACTAAAAAAAAGGTGCTCTCGTGGCAAAAAAAAATAAAAATTTGGGTTATAAAACGGAGACGAAGGCGATAGGATTTCACATACTTACTAGCAGCCTAATCCCTCCACCACAGAATCCTAATCCCCAAAATCCCAATCTCCAAAACCTGTGTTGAGCTATGGCTTCTCGTCGCTCGTACCCATACCCATCTCCTTATGCGTATGGTTCCTCACGGACCTTTCCCAGCTCCGTTGCTGCGTGTCCGGGACCTAGGTGCGGCCATACTCTCACTGCGATTGCCGCCAACGTTAACGGTTCCCAGCTGCTTGTCCTCTTCGGCGGTAGTACTACTGCCGTCGCCGCCCATGGCTCCTTACCCAATATAAGTAAGCTGGATTTTCACCCGCTCTGAGGGATTTTGAGCTTTCGATAGTTTTAGGGTTTTTGAGATTTCGAGGCTTAATTTTTGTGATTGTTTTTTTCTCTCTAGGTTTGGAAGGCGTTACCAATTCGGTGCATTGTTTTGACGTTTTGACCAGGAGCTGGACAAGGTTATTTTATTTTATTTTATTTTATTTGGTGCTCATACGTTGACCTCTTTGTTTTAGGGTTTTGTGATATTGATGATTTGAATTGGTTTTGTTGCTGATGGATCTCTTATGTTATATAATTTTTCGTATTTATGTGTACAGGATTAATCCGACTGGTGATGTTCCGTCTCCCAGGGCTTGTCATGCTGCCACTTCACTTGGCACTATGCTGATTGTTCAGGTGATTTTAATGTTCCTGGCTGTGCAAGAGCATAGAGAGATCTGGAAAGATTTTGTTTGGATTTGATTTGTCATATAGCATCTTTCCTGGTTCCGTTCATGTTGTATATATATATTTGGTTATTACTTGAATTGTAAAGAGGTATTAACATTGTTTGGTTGCTAGAGTCATGGCCAGATCTGACACATGACCATTGTTGTTTCGCTGGCAGGGTGGGATTGGTCCATCCGGGCCTTCTGATGGAGATGTCTACACGCTTGACTTGACTAGAAATAACCTCAAGTGGCATAGGTGAGTTCATTTATCTTTGCTGGATCTACTTCATTACTGAATATCTATCTAAAATTACGCAATTAATAAAATATATGTTCATCAGGTTGATGGTTAGCGGGGCGGCTCCAGGCCCTCGATATGGCCATGTTATGGATGTAGCTGCTCAGAGGTGGCTTGTCATATTCGGTGGCAGGAGTGGTACGTACGATTACTAGCTAGGCCAATATATATATGTTTGATTTTGTTGTCTCTTTAGATTTTCGTAACCGTTGCTTCTGCTAGTCTTAGCATATATACATCATGTAGTACATGACATATTTCCATCATTGAGTAAATATCATTATTATATTTGATTTTTTTTTTAATTTGTTACCTTTTGTCTATGGAGTAGGAAATACAATTCTCTCAGATACATGGGCACTGGACACGACTGGACCAGTTGCGTGGAACAGATTGAACCCATATGGCAGTCGGCCAAGTGCCAGAATGTTAGTAATTTTGTTGATTTAAGTAAATATTATTTTTTGGTTTAAGTTAACTCTTTGATCATTGTTTAATATTTGTTTGCTTTAGCTATGCTTCTGCTAAGGCTCGAGAAGATGGCGTATTTTTTCTCTGTGGCGGAACAGACTACTCAGGGATGGTATATAATATTTCTTCCGTGGATTAGAGAAATTTATCAACTTCCTTTTTAATAAATAGCCAAGTGCAAGAACGTTTCTTGTTTACTATACAATAGCCAACGTCACTGTTGTTTCTCTATTTTCTTTCAGTGAACATTAATTAATTCTGATTTCTGGTATATGTACACACTCTAATGCTTTCCTTTTGCAGCCATTGGGAGATACTTACGCGCTGGAAATACAAAGTGTTGCTCGGTGTGGTTGGACTCGTGTTCCAGGCGTAGCTCCTTCCCCGAGATATCAACATACAGTGGTAAGAACCAGTATATATATATATATATATACACTGTATTGGCACTGTCTCCAGTTCTATTCTTAGCAAAAGCTACCTAGCTAACCTTGTCCGTATCTCTTATTAGGTTTTTGAAGGTCAAAGAATGCATGTCATTGGGGTGTCACGAATGGGGCTCGCCTAATCGACGGTGACGCCATTGTTGCAGGCAAGTACTTTCTAATATTCCATGTGACTGCTTTGGCTTTTGTTTCCCTATCCTTTTTTAGGCTCTTTAATTAACCAGTAGTCACAGTTTGGGTTCTCCTTCATTTATGGAATCTTTTTGGTTGCAGTGCTTGATACTGGGGATAGCAAATGGTTGGATATAACTGGACCAGAGACATCATCTACCAGTGGCAGCAATAGACAAATTCAATATCAATTTATGAGACGTTTTCACCATGCTTCTGCATCGGTTGGGAGCTACATGTACGTCCATGGTGGGCTCAAAGAAGGTAATATAATCCTTCTAAAATATTAGATTACTGTCATTATAACCAAAGGAAATAATATATTATATGAATTTTCTTTCTTTGCTTTTCATGAATGGATTTTTCATATCTTTGCACTGGTCAGTAATTGACTTGGTAGAGGTAAGGAAAAGTAACAATCTTTATGACGATATATTGCATTCTCGTGTAGATATCCTGCTCGACGATTTGCAAGTGGCTGGAACATCCCAGCTGCATTTGATCAGTCCTGAACCAGAAGAACCAGAAGACAATCCTGAAAATCGTAAGTTACATTTTTGCTCAGACGATACTAGCTATATATACAATTTTGCTTTCCTTATAGAATTAGCCCTATGGATTTCGCATATCTAAGCACTAGTCAAGTTGACTTTTACGAAATTTTGCAAGAGCTCTTCCTTGAATTAAAAGTAACAATTTTTTGACGCTTAATAATATTGCTTTCTCGTGTAGACATGGTTCTAGACGATGATCCTGAAACATCAAACCCTTCAAGTTTTGACCCGGAACCAGAAGTCCCATCCTTGACGAGGAGGAGGTCTATATACATACTCTATCCAGCCACTTCTTTAATTTCACTATTTTGATATGTGCTAGCTTAATTATATATATCAGCCCTATCTGTAATTAAGTTATTTAATTAACTAACGCTTTCTTTCTTCCATTATGACATCAGTTCAAGCGAGGGTTCGCTGGAGAAAAGGACAGTCGAGGAATACAACTTACCATCTCTGGAAAATGCTTTCTATGATTGTAGTGAAACTGAAGGATGTTTTCTAGTTCTAGAGACAGCCGTATGTGAAGTTTCCTTTAATTTATAATATTCATTAATTCACTCTTTTTTTCTTTGTTTATTTGCTTCACATATATAGGACTATTGTTATAATAATAGTACTGGTTGTGATAATATAGATGGACGTTGGGAATCCACGTGACTTGGGAAGGACGCCAAGCTTGGATCACTATCTGTACCAGAGCCAGCGGGATCAGTTCGGCCAACATAATTCTTCTCATCCGCTGCATAAAAGGGTATTGATCTTTCTCGCTTTTCATCTATTATATATTTTACCATCTCCCTGCAGCACTACACCTTACTTACACCTTACTTTGCAGGTTATTTCGAAGCTGTTGAAACCTAAAGACTGGGAAGCTCCTGCCGACAGAACTTTTTTCTTGAGTCTTTTGGAAGTTGAGACTCTGTGCAATGCTGTGCATCAAATATTTATTCAAGAACCAACGGTTCTTCAGCTCAAAGTTCCTATCAAAGTCTTCGGCGATATCCATGGGCAATTCGGGGATTTGATGCGCATATTTCGTGAATATGGGTCTCCTTCACTGCGAGGAGATATCACGTAAGTTCAACCAGAGATGTCTTCCTCCTCATAACTGTTTGTTTAGTGAGTTTTGCTCTGGAATATATATATATATATATTGTCAGTACTGAACCAAATGTAAATATATATATGCCTTCAGGCATATTGACTATTTGTTTTTGGGAGATTATGTCGACCGAGGAACACACAGCTTGGAGACCATCATGTTGCTGCTTTGTTTGAAGGTTCAGTTTCTGATCTGACATCACCTATATAAATGTTACTAGCTAGCTTTCTTCTCTTATTGCTTAATTTTTGATGTTTATTGTGTTCTATCTTTCTAATGCGTACGTGTCTCTTATCTATGCAGATTGAATATCCAGAGAACATCCACTTGATTCGTGGAAATCATGAGTCATCTTCAACGAATAGACTTTATGGTTTCCTTCACGAATGCCAACAAAGAATGGTACGTATTCGGATGTTGATAGAAAACATTTAATTTATCCTTGTCCTTGGCTAATGCGTGGAAGTAATGTTCTCGTTATGCATGTACCATATATATATACCAGGGGGAGGCAGATGGGATACAAGCATGGTACAGGATTAATAAGCTTTTTGGCTATCTTCCACTTGGTGCCGTCATTGAAAAGAAAATTTTATGTGTCCACGGAGGAATTGGGAGAACAGTTTCGGTCGAAGAAATAGCAAGTATCCAGCGGCCAGCATTCCCGGATTCTGGATCAACTGTCTTGAAAGACACGTTATGGTACTTATAAACATCCTCTCTACTATTTCTTCTTACCTTTTTTGGAAACTCTCCAAACTTTTTATTTTGTTGGTTTATACAGGTCTGATCCAACAGTAGGTGATTCTGTTATGGGTATAACTTCAAATACTAGAGGAGAAGGTGTTATCTCGTTCGGGGTTAGGCCTTCTAGCTATATATATATATATATGTTTCTTCTTTGTCTTGATTAATTATTACTATATGATCAAGCTCGATCAGTAATTAATACCAAGTCTTGTATATGTGCATGCAGCCTGATATCGTGAAAGAGTTTTGCAAGCGAAATAAACTTCAAATGATCATACGAGCACACGAGTGTGTTTACAATGGCTTCGAAACATTTGCCCAAGGACAGCTTATAACTGTGTTTTCCGCTACAAACTACTGCGGTACGTTTTTTTTTTTTTTTTGTTTAATAAAACTTAAATTCATATATAGATATATGGGTATATATGTGCATGAGAAAAACAATGTGATGAAATGAACAGGAACTGTAAAGAATGCTGGAGCAATCTTGGTGATCGGTAAAGATTTGGTCATATATCCAAAGGTGATTCATCCTGACCCTCCTTCCATCTCTTCTTCCGAAAGCTCTCCAGAAGACAATGCATGGATGCAGGTACATTCTCTTATCTCTACCACTTAGAGCTTATGTGTTACTGGTAACTAAGTTTTTAATAAGTACGTATACTGGTTTTGTTGCGTGTGTGCTGGGACTCAGGAGCTGAACATGGAGAGGCCACCTACTCCGCCTCGAGAGGATTTTTAGGTGTAAGTAGAGAGTATTGTTGAGGAATATATATATATGGGATTTATTGAGTAATCAAAGGTGTGGTATATATGATGATACTCTTTCTTTAATATTAGGTGCGTAGATGCAGCGATTTGGAAATAGAGAGAAGCATGCGGTTGAAGAGGTGAAAGTGTTTCAATTGCAAGCTGACACCTGAGTGTACCGGAGACTCATCTATTTTCGTTGTTGTCCCTTCCCTTTCTTCGAACCCCTTTCTTTTTTTTTCTTAATTTGGTATTGGTGGTAAAGAACCATTTTTCAAAGTATCTTTCTTTAATAATCTTTAAATCATTGAGACTTGATTGGTTTGTCCGGTTTTGGTTTATTCGATTAGGTTTTTAATAAAAATTATGGTTTAAATTTGGTTTTTTGTCAGTTTTGATCAATATGCTCAGGCAGTTCAGCTCTTGTTTGAATAGATGACAAGGTGGGCCGAATATTAAAAACTATTGTATATTTGGTGTAAACAGGACATCAATTAAAGCCCAAATGTCCGCCTTCAAATTTTAAAATCAGTAATTAAAAATACACTCTAGTAGAATATTATTATCCTCACATAGCCACAGATGATCCATCGACATTAAAAATACACTCTAGTAAAATACAATCTTTTATTTTGTTTTATTTTATTTTGGCCAGTGTTAACATCGACATTGAAAGACTATGACATTAAAGAGATTTCAAGTCGAAAGTAAAAAAAAAAAAAAAAACAAAAAAAAACAGTGAATTTTGGTTAGCATTATAAAAGTATCATCAATCCTAAAGGACAAAAGAACCTCGTCCCCTCCAAAGTTATTAATTATTGACAAGCTACCAGAGACCAAAGGCCAAAACCATCACATTCAATTTCCCCTTTTTTCTTCTTTCTTTCTTTCTTTTTCATTTTTCCTCATTTACATTTTCTACTTTTATTATAATAAAATATCTTTCTTATAAAATATATGGCTCTTAGGTTGAAACTTAAAAAGAATATATTCCCACTCCATTTTATCGCGATTTTTGTTCATTTATAAGAAAATTCTTATTTCTAAAATTGATTACTCTTTTATATTCGTATAACCCGACAAAATTGTATAGTTAACCATATATTTTCACATCTTTCTTCTAACATAAAAAAAAACAACATATAAGTAGTTTGTCATTTTCAATAAACTGTAATTTAGCAACAATATCATTTCGTGAAAATGTTAATGAACATTCTTCGATAAAACAGAACCGTCATTTTCCAGTTTTAATTACGCAAACAAAAGATAAAAATAGATGGACTTCACTCATGCTAATCCTCAGCATCACGTATCAAAATCCTTTATTCACTTCTACACAACCAACGAATAACGAATCGTCTTTTTTTTTTTTTCCTTTAAACGTTTTCTTTCTTTTTGTTTTTTTAACACATCGAAACACTGTGAGTGTGTGTGTCCCTCAAAAACTATTACAAAATATATATTCTGAAGAAATAAAATAAATTAAAAAACCCCCAAATTATATAGGAATGCGTAATTTACGATATTACCCTCGCCACTCGTTGCATTGTGTACTGGGCCTAGTCTTTTGTGGGCCGGCCTTAAGCGGACACGGCGTCTGCAACGGCGGTACCATACAGTTATACTGCAGACACAGCGAGCTGCTCACCGGGATCTCCGCCGCGGGGCTAATCTGTATCCCCGTCAAAAAGTTATGCTGCAGGTACAGCGTCTGTATACTCGCCGATAGCAAATTCTCCACGAAGCTCGCCGGCACTTCACCGATGAATCGATTGCTGTTCAAGTAGAGGTTCTCTACGCTCGAGAGAAGCGGAGATATGCCGCCGGAGAATCGATTGTAGCTGAGATCTACGGTCGAGATCGTCACTTGACTCGCCGGCTGAATCAAACCGTAGAAGAAGTTGCGTTGTAACTGAAGGTTCGTGATGGGGAAGGCGAAGATTCGACCGGGGATTGTACCGGTAAACCGGTTCAAGCTGAGATCGAGGTAATTGAGCTGGTTTAACCGGAGTAAAACCCTGTCTACCGGTCCGGTTAACTGATTCCAGGCGAGTGAGAGGTATTGCAGGGACGGAGGGAGAGACGCCGGAGAGACTGAGCCGGTGAGGCTGTTACGTTTTAGATCGATTCGGGTTAGTGTTTGAGAGAGGAAGGGTGGGATTGATCCGGTTAAGTGATTGTGGCAGAGGAGCAAATTGGAGAGCTCCGGTAAGGATCCGATCGACGGGGAGATAGTTCCGGTTAGCTGATTGTAGCTCAAATCGAGTGTTCTAAGACGGCGAACCTCGCCAAGACTGGCCGGAATCTCACCGGAGATGAAATTACGGCTGATAGCGAGGATACGAAGGTCTTTGAGCTGTGAGAGAGTTGGCGGTAAAGCACCCATGATTCGACCGGGGACAATGGAGAGGTCAGTGAGAGAAGAGAGCTTGCCAATAGCCGGGTCGATCCGACCAGATAAACCTGGTGAGCCGGCGCGAGGATCGCCGAGATTGAGGATAACCACTTTATCACCTTGGCAGTAGACGCCGGCGAAGCCGCAGGGATCAGAGGTGAAATCCCAAGACTCGAAGAACTTGGAACCTGGCAAATCATCGAGCGACTTACGAATGGCTTGCAGAGCCAAGAAATCAACTGGGTCGAGAATGGCCTCCGTCAATCGAAGCAGAAACATCAAACACCATAACAACTTGGCAAATCTCATCATCATTGTTGAAACACTTTGCCGTTGAAGGTTCAAGAAACAGAGACTATATATATATATATACACACAAAAGAGAAGAAGAGAGGAGACAAAGCTGTAAAGCAGAGAGCAAATGGGGTTTGGTATTCCGATATCTCGTGAGAGGAAAAGTCTGGTTTTGTGTGGTGGAAACAAGGTGGTCTCGTGGGAGCTTCCGTGAGAGCTTTAATGGCGGACTATTATCATCAAAGGATTGGATTGAAAAAGAAAGGCTTTTTCGAGAGAAGAGAAAGAAGAGTAAACAAAAAATGGCTTGACAAGGAAGCCAAACATATTCCTCGTCTGTTTCTTCTTGGTGGAATAAGAAAGACAACTACTCTACTTAGAGTATTTTGTAATTACTTTGATATTTGATTTAAGATCGATTCACTTGTAAATGCAGCTATATATTGATTATGATGCAATTACACAGAGAAAGACGGTTTTTGTGCTTTTTCTTACCAATTATTAACATGGTATTAACATAAGTAATTACTAGTAGTTTCACAAAATAATAATTTATATCACTTCTTTCTTCTTTCTTCTTTGTTCGTTTCCCTTTTTTTTTTTTTGTTTGTTGTTGGTGGCTTCTGATAGAAGACAGAACGATATGAAACAAAATTAATGAAGGACGGACAAAAAAAGACCTTGATAAGAATACCTAAATTAAGAAAGGTTATACATTTGGGTTGTGTCTAGCCCTGGGCATTCGGATTTTCGGATCGGATCGGATCGGATTATTCGGAGTTCGGATTTTTCGGATTGGGATATATAGAATCCGATTTGAATCCGACTGGTTTTCGGATCGGATCGGTTCGGATTTTTTCGGATTCGGATCGGTTTTCAAATTTTATTACAAATCCGAGTTTAAACCAAATCATATTTCGGATCGGTTTCGGATTCGGATTCTACACTATAAATCCGAAACTTACACTCTAAATCCGAACAATCCGACGTAAAAAAGAGGTTTGAGCGTTGAAGTACAAAAACATAGAGATTATATGTATACTATGTGATGTATTAGACCATGTGTATTCGGGTTAGCAGATAACCGATCGGATTTCGGTTCGGATCGGTTTAAATCCGAAATCCGAATCATGTTCAACATAAAATCCGATCGGTTTTTACATAGTAACTGAAACCGATCCAAATCGGATTTTTCGGATCGGTTCGGATCGGTTTTTTCGGATCCGGATTATATGCCCAGGGCTAGTTGTGTCAATAAATTTGATTTATAACAAGTGCTAAAGATGCATGAAAAGTGTTTAGATGTGTTGAGAAAGACTTGTTGAAATTGGGTCCCAAACATATAGGTTCGGATGAGCAGGTTAGGCTCGGTTCGGTGAGAGAGTTTGTTTGCTAAAAGAAAGAAAGAGCCATCACGTGAGTTTTGTGTGCGTGGTTTTTTAGTATCACTGTGTTTTGAGTTTGACAGCTTCGACGACGAGCCAGCGAGACTTCCGTGACACGTCAGCTTTCTGGTTTACTTTCTTCTTTCTTTTACTACTAAATAAACCCACCTTACCTTACGTTTAATAATGTTTTTTCTTTCCTAAGAAATATTATAATGGTCAATGAATGTAAAAGATGCAAGCTTTAGTCAAAAGAGGTTAAACGAATCCTCTCCTCTACCATGTTTTTATAATGCGTTTTCCGTTAATATTCTAGATAGGCTAAATCTTTACTGTACTATCCACTTCCAACAAATCTTGCGACCAAATGTGTGTACTGACAATAAATATTGGTTTTGCCATAGTGTTGTTTATGGGAAAGAAAAAAACTGTTTCATAGAAAGTTCTTTTTCCAGTAGTAAAAACTAAAAAACCCCAAAGAAAAGAAACAGGAAATATGGTAAGTAAAAAACAGAGACATGTTATATTTTTTCTAGTTTGTCTATAAAATGAGAAATTGTATGAATCGAAGAACACAAAAGAAAAAAAAAAGAAAAAAAAGGAATAGGAGCGTGGACCACAAGTCATTGCAATGACACACACACACATGCATTGCATAAGATAAGATGGTCAACATTTAATAAACGCTTACCCAATTCTCTCCTTCTAACATTTGTTTCACTACATACACAAAGCAACAAGTTAGCTCTGATGTACACCAAAGGCTTTTGCCATTTGGGTATTTTTTTGCCTTAAGCTACATTACACTGCTCCTCTGTCATCTCTACTTTTTTCTACATTTGTTTCACTCCTTATTAAAGTGTTACTTCACTTTTCTGACAGTAATCAAAGTCTCAAAAGCCGTGGATTGTATTATACGTTTCAACTTATAATTTGGCTACTCATCACTCATATACCGAATTACCAACCATTGCATAATTTTATTAAAAGACGATGATTTACTACTCATTCTAAGAGACTAGGGTACTAGTGGACCAAATTATATTTACGATAAATAAAACTGGCCTTGCAAGAAAGCCAAAGCTATAGGTTCCAATCACTATGAACAAAATATATGAAAAAAAAGTCTAACCCTAGAAGGTCAAGGTCCCACCATGAGACAATCTAACACATTCGTTTTGGGACTCTGTGTTTGTTTTGTGTCTGGTCGAATCATCATCTCATCGGAGAAGGTAATGAACCGATTTTATAAGATTTGCGTTTTGACTTTTGAATCCGGATTTAGTATTTTTATATATGTTTCAGACTAATGAACAACCATCTTATTGATATGGATCCTTACAAGTATATCTAAAAAAAATCAATTAAGAAACAATAAGCTACGAATGATGAAGAGGGATAAGATAAAAATGATGGCAAGAGGGAAAATCTTCGTTGTTGTCACTGATCGCCACCATGCCATGCCTTCAATTGAATGTTACGTTGGTCTCTCTCATTTCACACATTTTTATTTTATAAATAATGCTTTCAAGTATGGCTTCACATTTTGATTTCACTTATATAAACAATCTTGTATGATTATTCTTCTGCATCTTCTATAGTATTTTTTTTTTTTAGAGATTTCATTCCTAGTTATAGGTTCGGACATTACATATTAAATACATACCTAACAAGACATGCCCAATCCATTCTCAATCTATTGTCACAATCATGTCCTATATATAAGCCCTGTAACACAATAAATTTGATAAAACGAGAGACCATGTACATTATTCATATTTCAAAACAAATCATTGTTGATTATTCCTCACATACGTATAATCAAATCGCCAATAGTGTGCTAATTAATACCCTTTTCCTTTACGTCTCCAACCAAAAATCATGAAGCCCACTTAAGAGTAGATCAGATCCAGAATGATGCAAAGAGTTAGAAGTCACGTTTTGGTAATATTCAACCTAATCCAGCAAACGGATCCCCTACAAGTTGAAAGATCTACAAAATCTTGGGTCACAAAGTCACTAGGGATCACGAAATTCATGCAAAAGTAACATAAACAATCTCCAATATCAATATTGTATCAACATTGCCATTCATATCTGATTGGTCACAAAACACATCCTGAAGCCAGCATATATATGGTCATATGGATATGTCTAGTTATTAACTTACAATTACTCTTATAGTTATAGCTCAATTAAGAGTCTAAACAATACAAGATATTTGGCTAGGGATAGTGTTGCTGAACCTCGATCTAAAACACATTCACACAACAACAACAACAACAACAACAACAATAAATACTTCAGAGTGTCGGTATCATCATCATGTCTTTAGACTTCAGCCTTGAGCATTTGCATAAACGAGAAACGCATCAGTCTAATTTATATCCACTTGAGGAATTTTACCTCCAGCTTGGAGGATCTGTTGCTCTAACTGCAACACCATTACATAACAGAAACAGAACTATGGTGATTACAGTAGCAAATGGCTCAGTAAAACATTGCATAAAAAGAAAAAGAATTCACAAGCAGAACAAGTAGGTTTCCGCAAAGTTTAGAACTCACATTAAACAGATCCTGAAGTTTGGTCTTTAGCATCTTATATTCATAATCCACCTGCTGCAAACACCTTAAACACCTGTATCACAGTATAAGATAACTAGAAGTACAGTTTCTCATATAATAATTTTTAGAATTCAAACAGATCCAATATTTTTTTTGCATCGAGAAGCTAAACAATGCATTGGAGAAAAAGTGAAAACTAACACTCACCCTTCACGGTTCTGAACATCGCAACATTCCTTGAAAGCTATACACACATTTTTAACCCTCCTTGCACCGATACTGTGTACAAAGCAGAGGCTGGGCAGTTAAAAATCAATGTGGTTTGGTCTCTTAAGACAAGATAAGTTTTATGAACAAGTGTTCACCGCATCGTAGAAAAGGCAATGATTATTGGATCAGGGGAACAAAAGAGAAATCCAAGACATTGTGATATACCTTGAGCTACTACCCTTGAGTTGATGCACCCCTGAATCTACCTGTTTGAAATCCACATTATCTGGCCTGGCCCTAACGCGATAATAAAACTCATAAAATGCTGCCATGAAACCCATTGGTCCAAGGAAAACACCTCAAAAACGAAGGTGGATTAGAGACAAAGTTCCAGAAAAGAAACGGTGTACATTAAGAAAGACAAGGCAACAATAAGAGTTAGAGAGAGGAACTTACAGTGATCTAGACATGTTACTTATAAGCTTAGCACAGTCGTCAAAGAAGAGAGAGACAACCTCAGCTACAAAATCAGGGGTGCCTTCATCTTGCAATTTTCTCAACTCAGAGAACTGATTATCAAGATATCCCTTCAAAAACATACCACTACCTCAATTTCAAATGCACACACTACAACTACACCTTAAGCTAAGCTAAACCTGAAACTATTTGGTATTAACCCAAGTCTAATATATAACAACATGAACAAGAACGGAAGGCTCAGAAGAAAACCAACAATATTGATTAAGGCAGAATCTAAAACCCAAAAGATTTTGACTCGAGATTCGACCCCATTTAAGGAAACTAATCTAAGGAAGAAGAAGAAAAACCCTAAAATTTTTTAGAGATCACAAAAGAGGTCAGTAGATAAGTCTGGTGAGCAAAACCAACCTGTTGATACAGAGAAACGATGTAGTCTTGAAATTGTCTCTGCAACTGCGCAACGATAGTGTTCATAGCTAGTAATCCTTGACGAGATTAGCTTCAACAGTCAAAAACACACTACTTCGATCGATCTAAATCAGGGATTCTGACTAAGAGAGTCGAAAATCCGAGGTGAGCTCGTCGAGGACAAACCTGAAAATCTGATCGGGGAAGTTTGATTCACGTTCCGTTGACGGGTTTTGACTTGTGCCTGCACTTGAAAACGACTATGTGCGTTTGATGGGCCTGCTGGCTGATGTATTGTGGACATTATTGATTATTATTACAAATCTCACAATTTGTTTTATGGGCCTTCCTATTATGTATAAATGGGCCGAGTCCATATATGGTAGAAATATTCTGAACAAATAAATAACGTTACGATTTTTGTTGTTCGATTCTCTCTATAGTCTATACACATCCAAATTGAGTGAAAACTAATTCAAACATACATCTCTTCGTTCCAAAAGTTTGGTGCAACCAACTAGATGAGTTCCACATATGAAAAGCATGATTAAACAACAAGCTCCATTGATTATTTATATTTTCATCAAATAACTAAGATCGAGCATCTATATATATTTGGTTCACTAGTTTGTTTGATTGAGTAAAAAAGATCATAAAAATGAAATAATAATATGTTCCAACAATCCAAGTCTACAAAACTAATCCTAACATATTTTTCGTTTTTTTTTTTAATCGTTTTGAAATACTAAAATTTCATAATATATTGATCACATAAGTTCATAACATGTGTTTAACTATAATAAACTATAAGTAAAATTCGTTGGTAATCCAAAAAAAAAAAAAAAGAGTAAAATTCGTCGGTGCCTTAATTTTACTTATAGTGGGTTGTGTCATAATTTTCTCTTTGTCGGGTGGTCAGTGGTGCTTTCTTTTGTTAATTTAATTGGAATTTGGATAACTACAGTTTTAGCGAGAGAGATGTGCATTATTAGAGAGACATAGAAAATCCAAAAGAGCAGGGTAAGAAAAAAAAAACACAAGCAAAGAAGAAGAAGCAATGGAGTCGAGCGATCGTTCAAGCCAAGCAAAAGCTTTCGACGACTTGAAAGTCGGCGTGAAAGGGCTTGTGGATTCAGGAATCACAGAGATTCCGGCCATGTTTCGCGCAACGCCTGCTACTCTAGCAACCCTGAAATCACCACCACCTCCCAAGCATCTCACCATCCCCATCATCGATCTCAAAGGAGGAGACGTGGTGGAGAAGATTGGAGAAGCTTCTGAGAAATGGGGATTGTTTCAGGTTGTGAACCACGGCATCCCCGTGGAGGTTCTGGACAGGATGATTCAGGGGATTCGGAGCTTTCATGAGCAAGACCCTGAGGCCAAGAAACCCTTCTACTCTAGGGATCACAGTAAAGGCGTGGTTTACTATACCAATTTTGATCTCCACAGCAATACAGACGCAGCCGGTTGGAGGGACACGCTGGCTTGTTATGCCGCACCACAACCTCCTAGACTCGAGGATTTGCCCGCGGTTTGCGGGTAAGGATAATAATCATAGCTAGACTGACACTTTACGTAATATAATTGTGCAAATATTAATTATGATCATGTGGCAGGGAAATTTTGATGGAGTATTCAAAGGAACTATTGAATTTAGGTGAATTGGTCTATGAGCTCTTATCAGAGGCTTTGGGGGTTGACTCTGATTACCTTAAGGACATGGACTGCGCCAAGTCTCAGTTTATAGTTGGCCAATACTACCCACCTTGCCCTCAGCCTGACCTTGCTATTGGCATAAACAAGCACACCGATAGTTCCTTTATCACCATTCTTCTTCAGGACAATATCGGAGGACTTCAAGTTCTCTATGACAGCCAATACTGGGTTGATGTTTCTCCTATTCCTGGCGCTCTTGTCATTAACATTGGAGATCTTCTCCAGGTTAAGAATTTTTTTCCTTTTATTTTTTGGTGTGTGTGACTTCTAACTTCGGTTGATCAATGGTTTATTAAGGTTTGATCCTATTTTGTTGTGCAGCTTATAACCAATGATAAGTTCATAAGCGCCGAGCATAGGGTGGTAGTAAATAGCTCTTCTGAACCGCGGACTTCAGTGGTCTGTTTCTTCAGCACGTTCATGAAGGCGAATACACGAGTGTATGGGCCAATCAAAGATCTTCTGTCTGTTGAAAATCCTGCCAAGTACAGAGACTTCACCCTCACCGAGTACGCAACCATCTTCAGGTCCAAAAAAATCGATGCTTCAACGGTAAGCCATTTCAAGATCTGAGACGACATTTGGGGTACGGTTCTTACCTTTTGTCTCTACCACGATCGTTGGTGGTAATCTATCAAACTATAAGTGTTCCTCTTAAAATATTTTGCGTGAATCCATTTCTTGTTTCTCATTATTTTGTAACATTCGATCAAGGTACACAAAAGAAAAACTACTCATGTATTTTATCTTCTTCTTTCTTCTTTTCCGTTTTTAGTTACAAAATACTACTTAGTTTTCAATCCATGCATGGTAACGTACATTTTGATTCTTATGCCCTCATGAGCATCAAGCCATGATATTTGCTGGGTGATGCACCAAATTAATAGCCAATCTATATGCACACTTGCAACCTATCGCTCACCTAAAAGGCTAAACTAAATTAACCTTTTTTCCAACTATCATTGGTATTCTTATAGAAGTGTGTGTGTGTGTGTTTTTTAATATTTATGTGAGACCGTTTCTTTCTACGTACTTTCACAAAAGGCAGATGGATATTTGCGAGATCGATATCTGAAATATTCGAATAAGGTAGACAATTCATGGAAACGACTAGATACGATCGATAACGTTCACTTTGAACAATTGAACCGTCATGATCATTAAATCTTGTACATATATTCGAATAATAAATTGCTGCGAGAGATGAATTTATCAGGAGCATCAAATCTGTTACATACCCTTCGTTAACTGATTTTATAAAACTTAAATACCTTCTTGACGACCAAACAAAAAACATTTTAGATATATTTTTTTGTAAATATTTTTTTTCTTTAAAAAGGGAAACAAAATAAAAAATAGGGATAGAAAAACACCAAATACGTAATCTGTGGTTGTGATTCATCACTTTTGTCCTCTTCTTTTCTTTTTTTTTTTTAAAAATTGAGTTTTAGTAATACTGTACAATATCTTAATAATTGAGACGTAGAAAACAGAAAAAGAGAGAAGAAAAAAACAGGGCAGAAGAAGCAATGGAGTCAATCGATAGTTCAAGTCAAGCAAAAGCTTTCGATGAAACGCAAATCGGGGTGAAAGGCCTTGTGGATTCGGGAATCAAGGAGATCCCTGAGATGTTCCGCGCAACGCAAGCTACCCTAGCTAGCTTTAAATCTCCACCACCTCCCAAGCATCTCACCATCCCCACCATCGACCTCAAAGGAGGTAGCGTAGTGGAGAAGATCAGGGGAGCTGCTGAGAGATGGGGACTATTCCAGGTTGTGAATCACGGTATCCCGGTGGAGGTGCTGGACAGGATGATCCAGGGGATGCGCAGCTTTCACGAGCAAGAACCTGAAGCCAAGAAACGCTTCTACTCTAGGGATCATACTAGAGACGTGATTTACTACAGCAATTTTGATCTCTACAACTCAGAGTCCGCCAGTTGGAGAGACACGCTTGGTTGTTATACCGCACCCGAACCTCCCCTATTAGAAGATTTACCTTCAGTTTGCGGGTAAGGTTAAAATCACTGCATGTGTTATTTTTGTTTAATGAATTTGATTTCACATATAGCTGGATGCTTAATTAGCATAAACAATATTAATTCTGCAAATATGGCAGGGAGGTTATCTTAGAGTACTCAAAGGAAATTATGAATTTAGGTGAATTACTATTCGAGCGTCTATCAGAGGCTTTGGGGCTGGACTCTCATCACCTTAAGGACATGGGCTGCGCCAAGTCTCAATATGTGGCTGGCCAATACTACCCACCTTGCCCTCAGCCTGATCTAACTATAGGCTTAAACAAGCACACCGATATTTCCTTTATCACCATTCTTCTTCAGGACAATATCGGAGGGCTTCAAGTTCTCTATGACGGCCAGTATTGGGTTGATGTTACACCTGTCCCTGGGGCTCTTGTCATTAACATTGGAGATTTTCTTCAGGTTTTAAAATCAAAGAACAAAAACCATGTTGCTATACAATCAACTGGCTTCATCTGATCTATATATGGAGATTGGGGTTGATCCTTCTTTTTTTTGACTTTATTGCAGCTTATAAGCAATGACAAGTTCAAAAGCGCCGAGCATAGGGTGATAGCCAATGGATCTTCTGAACCGCGGACTTCAGTGGTATCTGTTTTCAGCACGTTCATGAGGGCGTCTTCTCGAGTATATGGGCCAATCAAAAATCTTGTGTCCAAAGAAAACCCTGCAAAGTATAGAGACTTCACCCTCACAGAGTTCTCAACCATCTTTGGGTCAAAAAAGATCGATACTCCTAAGTTACACCATTTCAGGATCTGAGACCGACATTTGTGTATTTTTCCTTTTTTTGTCTACTACTACCAATGCCATAGTAATCTATCAAACTCTCTTATAGCAGTTTTCGTGACAAGGTGAAAAAATATTTGTAATAGTCGAAATAAGGTAGACATGAATTAAAGCTGCTACAATTCATCTTAATTGAAGCCATGATATAATACAATAATGTTACACTTTGAAGCTTAAGGCATCCACAGATCCACCTATGATAATTTATATTTTCATCAAATAACTAAGAGCATCTAGCTATGGTTCAACCTAGTTTGTCTGACTGAGTTGAGAACTCCTCATGCATGTGATGTACAAAAGAAAAACAGATTTGGTTCTCTCTTGGAATTACAAATTAAAAATACAGTATTTGGCTTTCTTAAAGGCTTCAGAGATTAGCCGTCCTGCTTATGTATACTTGCTTATGTATAATTAAAAAAAAAAAATATTGCCAATTTTACAACAATCCAAGTTTACGAAACTATAGTTATATCTGTATAGTAAAAAAACACAAGAAATTTGTCTTATTGATTATTTTCAACAACTAAATTAAAATTCATAATATATTAATGGTCATATATTTACATAAGTGTGTGTTATACTAACTATCAATAGAATTAAATAACATAAAATTCGTCGGTGCCTTAACCTGCCTGCCTCTGTGTTTGTTAAGCCATCGGGTAGTGGTGCTTTCTTTTTGTTAATTTTTAATTCGAATTTGATTATAGCTGTATAGCTTTAGCAAGCAATGAATAAAGATGTTCATTATTGAGGAGACGTAGAAAAGCGTAGCAAAAGAGTAAGGGTTAAACAAGCAAAGAAGTAGAAGAAGAAGCAATGGAGTCAACCGATCGTTCAAGTCAAGCAAAAGCTTTCGATGATACGAAAATCGGCGTGAAAGGCCTTGCGGACTCAGGGATCACAGAGATACCGGCCATGTTTCGCGCAACCCCTGCTACTCTAGCAAGCCTGAAATCGCCACCACCTCCCAAGCATCTCACCATCCCCATCATTGATCTCCAAGGAGGAGACGTGGTGGAGAAGATTGGAGAAGCTGCTGAGAAATGGGGATTGTTTCAGGTTGTGAACCACGGCATCCCCGTGGAGGTTCTGGAAAAGATGATTCAAGGGATGCGCAGCTTTCACGAGCAAGACCCTGAGGCCAAGAAACCCTTCTACTCTAGGGATCACAGTAAAGGCGTGGTTTACTATACCAATTTTGATCTCCACAGCAATACAGACGCAGCTAGTTGGAGAGACACATTGGCTTGTTATGCCGCTCCACAACCTCCTAGACTCGAGGATTTGCCCGCGGTTTGCGGGTAAGGATAATGTCAGCGAGTTCTCAGTTTTTGTTTGGCAACAAGACACATGTGTTATTCGTACTAATGATTTCACATACATAAGGATAATATTAATAGCTAGACGAACGCTTACTTAGCATAATAAATTCTGTGTAAATATTAATTATGATCATGTGGCAGGGAAATTTTGATGGAGTATTCAAAGGAACTACTGAATTTAGGTGAATTGGTCTGTAAGATTTTATCAGAAGCTTTGGGGCTGGACTCTGATTACCTTAAGGACATGGACTGCGCCAAGTCTCAATATATGGCTGGCCAATACTACCCACCTTGCCCTCAGCCTGACCTTACTATTGGCATAAACAAGCACACCGATAGTTCCTTTATCACCATTCTTCTTCAGGACAATATCGGAGGACTTCAAGTTCTCTATGACAGCCAATACTGGGTTGATGTTTCTCCTATTCCTGGCGCTCTTGTCGTTAACATTGGAGATCTTCTCCAGGTTAAGAATTGTGTGTATGACTTCTAGCTTCCGTTGATCAATGGATTATTAAAGGTTTGATCCTATTTTTGTTGTGCAGCTTATAAGCAATGACAAGTTCATAAGCGCCGAGCATAGGGTGCTAGCTAATGGATCCTCTGAACCGCGGACCTCAGTGGTTTGTTTCTTCAGCACGTTCATGAAAGCGAATGAACGAGTGTATGGGCCAATCAAAGATCTTCTGTCTGATGAAAACCCTGCCAAGTACAGAGACTTCACCCTCACCGAGTACGCAACCATCTTCAGGTCAAAAACAATCGATGCTTCAACGGTAAGCCATTTCAAGATCTGACACGACATTTGGGGTTCTTACCTTTTGAGTCTCTACCACGATTGTTGGTGGTAATCTAATCAAACTAGCTACAAGTATTCCTCTTTTAAGTATTTTGCCTGAAACCATTTCTTCCTTCTAAGGATATTTTGTAATATTTGAATAAGGTACACAAATGAAAACTACTACAGTTTTATCTTCAAGCCATGCATGGTATAATATTATAAGGTACTTTATGGTCCTGCATGCTCATCAATCATCATCAAGCCACTATATTATTTTTTTCGTAGAATATTCTTATAAACTCTCATCACAAGAATTAGCTGAAAGCCAGAATTCCCCGTACAAACACAAGTCACATTATTCATCTTTAATTTGGCACATCTTGTTTGTTTTCCAATATACATGTAGAACCTCCTTCATCGATTTCACCATGCTTGCTGGATGATGCACCAAATAAATAACCAATCTATACGCAACAACCACACCTGCAACCTATATCGCTCACCTAAGCCAAACCGGTTTATCTAATTGAAATATCTCTACAAATTCTCCTCCAACTTCCGCATGCATGTGTATTGGTGTAGATCAAAAATGGATTCATGTGTCCAAGAACTTCAATTCTCTTACCTCCATATCCCAGTCACCATCAAGAACAAATTTCTTGTACATCCTTCAAGCCCAACAACTGCAAATCAATCTCCTCACCATAGTCTCTATCTATCAAACCTAGATGATATAATCGGAGCACGAGTTTTTACTCCCTCCGTTTACTTCTACCGATCAAGCAGCAGCAATCGAGAATCTTTGTTCCTCAAACGGCTTCAAGACGCTCTTAGCGAGGTTTTAGTTCCGTACTATCCACTCTCTGGTAGGTTAAGAGAAGTGCAAAATGGGAAACTGGAAGTTTTCTTTGGAGAAGAGCAAGGTGCGTTAATGGTGTCGGCTACTTCTTCAATGGCCTTAGCTGATCTTGGAGATCTTACAGTGCCAAATCCAGCTTGGTTACCATTAATCTTTCGACACCCTGGAGAAGAAGCATACAAAATCCTCGAAATGCCCTTACTTATAGCTCAAGTCACTTTCTTCACCTGTGGTGGATTTAGCCTTGGGATTAGACTCTGCCATTGCATCTGCGATGGTTTCGGAGCTATGCAGTTTCTTGGCTCGTGGGCAGCTACCGCAAAAATGGGGGGACTTGTTACAGATCCTGAGCCAGTTTGGGATAGAGAGACTTTCAAACCAAGAAATCCTCCTATGGTGAAATACCCACATCATGAATATCAACCAATTGAAGAAAGATCGAATTTGACAAACTCATTGTGGGATACGAAGCCATTGCAGAAATGTTACAGGATTAGCAAACAGTTTCAATGTCGGGTTAAAAGCATAGCGCAAGGACAAGACTCGAGCTTAGTTTGCAGCACGTTTGATGCAATGGCTGCACATATATGGAGATCATGGGTCAAAGCACTTGATGTGAAGCCACTGGATTACAATCTCAGGCTCACGTTTTCTGTCAACGTAAGAACAAGACTCGAAACCCTAAAACTAAGAAAAGGGTTTTACGGCAATGTGGTATGTTTGGCCTGTGCTATGAGCAGTGTCGACAGTCTCATTAACGACTCTCTCTCTAAGACAACACGTTTGGTTCAAGAGGCGAGACTTAGGGTTTCAGAGGATTACTTGCAGTCTATGGTGGATTACGTTGAGGTAAATAGGCCAAAGAAGTTAGAGTTCGGTGGGAAGCTAACGATAACGCAGTGGACCCGGTTTGAAATGTATGAGACTGCGGATTTTGGATGGGGTAAACCGGTTTATGCAGGACCAATTGACTTGAGGCCTACGCCACAGGTTTGTGTGTTGTTGCCTCAAGGAGGAGTCGAATCTGGCAACGACCAAAGCATGGTCGTTTGCCTTTGCTTGCCTCCTTCTGCTGTTCATAATTTCACTCGGCTTCTATCTTTAAATGATTGTACATAAAGAAGTCAATCATACGAAGTTACAAACCAAAAGGTGTATTAAAATATCAATCACATATGTATTACATAATTATGATTACTTGTAGCTATTACACTAAAGAGCAGTTGATTTTATTCCAACAACAAGAAATATCAAAAACACATCTCCAACCAAAACAAGTCACAGAACTATTGACCAGAGAACGAATTATGAATTCATCTTAGTCAATAAAAAGAGAAGGAGATACCAAAAATAAAAAACATTGGTGAAGGTTTAGGCCATAGTGTCGATCTCCACATGGATCAAACTGTACATAGATTAGGGCTCACTAGTAGGGTTTAAAACAACATGGAAACCCTAGAATCGAAAAATTTTAGTTCTTTTTTTTCTTCTTTTCCGTTCAAGGTTTCAACCACGCCCCAACGACACCCATATTTACCAAACTCCCATCTATACACAAATGTACATAATTTTTGGCCTATTTGAGCAGCCATATTATATAGAAAAGAAAAAAGGGACAGAAAAATTATTACCACCAACTCGGAGGAATCTTTATATACATACAAACTCCAGAAGCCTTCAGGACTTTTGAAAACTATTTACCTGTTCAAACACACGATTAGGGAGAGAGGAAAGATGTCAGTCATTACTCAATTAGGCTCTACATAATCATAAAGGTGTCTGGAGGATTCACCGTAGAGAGACATGAGACTCGAGGCCGTGATTGCAGTTACGAGAGAGATTTTATCACCTACACAGGGAAACCATACCATATACCATTTCATCTTCTCGTAGTTTCTCTGTGTCGTTGTTGATGTCTAGATGATGACCATTAGTAACTTCATCTAACTTTCTTTTCAGGTGTTCTTCTTTAGGATCTTCTACTGCTTTACAGTGCTCCTCATGCAAAGAAAAATCAAAGCCCATAGGAGGATTTCCTGTAGAAAGCATCTGTTCATTGACCGTAATATCGGTGTGAATAGGAGGTGGTGTGGCAAAACCATTAGTGGTCCGGGTTTCGTTGAGATTACAGTGTTTGGCTGTTACGGATTTCTCAATCCACACATTTGTGTCTGTTTCCTTGTAGATCCCATTTACTGTTGGTAAAGAAGACTTGAATGAGTTGTTTGTGTGATCTGAATAATGGAGATTCTCCATCTGTTTTGATGAACCTATTTGCATTAAACCAAATGGTTACTTCCACATGACTTGAAATGAACGACCCTAGATTTTGACCTCCCTCAATAACTTAAGAACTGATAAATAATTAGTTACTAGGGAAAGAATTAATAATTTACCCTCTTCAGAACTTTCAGCGGACACAACTGATCCTGGCTTAGAGTGACAGTTGATAATGTCTTGACATATTTTTCCGTTAACTTGATGAGATCCCGATGCGGATATGTGATAACATTTCATTGAAAACCTGTGTTGAACATTTCATGATTCAAAGCATAAGATATGCAGATCAGAGAAAATTTCTAGGAATATACAAGAGAATATGGAAAAGAAAATGCAGAGGGTGTAAATATGCACACGTTAGAATTCTTGTCCACAAAGACAGCAAGAAACTTTCATCAGGAAATGCACTATCCGCTAACACAGCAAGATAGATGCACAGATTTTTTTCGTCCAAAATTTGGGAATACCTGTCTTCCAATGTTTCTTTGGTGCTGTGGAAATGGTCAAAAACTGGCAGCAGCTTTTTCTGTTTTATTTCAAGTTCATGGGCTGGAACCTTTTCTATCTCAAACTCTCCCCCAGTGGAAGTACTATCCCTTGGAGAATCCATAACATGAAAAGAAATCTAGCAACACATCAAGAAAGTAAAAATCAAAAGACAAGTAAAGCTATATCAAAGACAGGACGATCTTTTGACCAAAAAAGTACCTTTGAATTTTGCCACACTGGTAGCATCCCTGAGGTAACTTTTACCTCAAAGTTAGAAAGATAGCAATATGATCTTTCAGGGGGTTTCTCAGAACAGCTTTGCATATAATTATCTTCACCAAAGTGGTTGTTGATGTCAAGGGAAAGACATGCATCCTCATGGCTTGTCAAGTTTTTTGACACTGTCTCTAATTTATATTGCTTTTCAGTGATACTTTTGGGAAGTCGTTCCTCTGTCTCCAGCCAGTCAGACCTTCGACATACATCCCACCACTGAATAGGCTCAACTTTGACCCTTAAGTCATCCTCTTGAACTTGAACATGTGATGTTCTTTGCAGTCTCGAACCATTTTCAGGTGATTCTGTGCGAACAGATGGTAGTAGTTCATGCTGTACCACATGACCTGATGGAGTATAGACTAAGATATGCTCCAATGAGTTAGTCCGGGGGTTCTGTTGAAGGTCATGAGTGATGGATTTATGAAAAACAGCAGCCACAGCACCCGATGGTACAAAAACTTTTCCACCTGCAGTGGTAGCAGCATTGCTTACAGTGTTAAGCCACCCAAAACTGCTGTACTTGATTCTGCTTACCACAGAAAGGGTGACAGCGGGTGGTGGCGGTAAAGAATGCTGATTATTTGACAACGATTGAGTAAACCACCATGGCAAGGATAAAGCTGGAAGTCGGGCAGGCTCCTCACCCTCGCAAGGTTGAAACATTGCGTCGCTGCCAGACGGGTTTAAAACGAAAATATGGCAAGTACCCTTGGATGAGATAATAGCCACCCACTGACTGTGCTGACTAAAGCAAATGTCCTGGACAATCTGTTAAAAAGAGCAGAAAAAAATCCAATCAAGAAAAGAGAACACTGAAAGGAAAAGGATATATGTCAACTTAAAAGTATACTAACAGCAGAAGTGATCCCTCTATGCAGCTTGTAGAGATGCACATGAGAAGATTCCCACTCATAACTTAGGTCATCAAGTGCACTATGTGAACGAGATGGCATGATCTGAAAGACATTGATATTGTTCCCACACACTGAAGCAGTAACCAATAAAGTTCCACTAGGATCAAAACAAAGTGCTGAGATAGGACTCGTATGAGCCTTAAACTGTGATATTACAGCTCCGGAAACAAGATCTTTAACAGCAACCTGTTGAACGAACATTTAACTCATGTCACAATCTGGCAATAAAACAACACTAGCAACTCAAAGCAAGTTACTATTGATTAAAATCTGTGCCTGGTAACACATCTAGTGTAAGAGAATAGCATGACTCAAGAATTGCTCACAATGATCAGATCCAGAATAAAACTAACCATTCCAGCATTTTCTGTATCCGAGCCAGAGACCCCACCAACTTTCCAGATTGAATTTGGTGATGCTGGAGAAGTAGATCCATCAGGGAGCATATCTTGGCAGTATTTTGACAATGTTTTGTATCCCATGTCCCCCAGGTTGAATAATCCATTGGCTAACTGCTTGCTAGACTCCATGGCATAACGGGCCATCAAACTACTTCCACCTGATGATGAACTTGGGCTGAGACTGGGGGAAGAAGTAAAATTTTGGGGGCTTAGACGCCCTGTTTTCAAGGACATGGAACTTTTGGAAGCATATGCAAGCCACCTTGGACCTACAGCCATCGGACCATAGCCAACATTAACCCTGGTTGTCCCTTGTCTCACTGGCTGAGGAGCAGGATAGGTGAGAACACTGAACTTATTCTCCAGAGTAAGTGCGTCAAAACAATATATCTGCACAAACCAAATAGAAACCATCAGTTGACGGAAGAAGAACAATAAATAAATCTGTACACTTAAGTATAACTTTACACTCTGCATTTAAAAACTACCTTCAATACAAGGAATCAGGAATGTTCAATTTGGTCTGAAGACCAAACACCAAACATGTACTTTGCCAATCATATATAACAAAGTACTATTGGTATAAGAATTTAATCATAAGAGTCTGAATATCTTGAACCGAATTAGTACTCACTTGATTTGCAAGGCCAACAGCAACTACTCGGGAGCTGCATCTAATCATGCAAACAGATGACCGAAATCTCAGGACGTAAACGTAACTGTGGGACCTAAGGGAGTAAAAGCGAACAGTGGTTGGATAATTGATGGCATCCCCGGCTTTAGAGTCTGAATTACCATCTCTTGGTAATGAACCATTCTGGGAAAAACTGTGAGCCAAAGGAGTGCCATTTGTGTCATCTCTAGCAACAACCAGTAGAAGTGGATGTGAGTTCCCAAAACCCTCATGATCACCAGACCTTGCAGGTAATGGCTGCATCTGTAAGAATGAAACAGGACCACCTCGTCTGGAGACCAGCTCATTAAAATTAGAGGCGTCCTCAACATCAAAGACTTGAAAGCCATTCTGATAGCCGAGTAAGAGAACATGTCTGATGACATGTTGAGCCAGTTCAAGAATGCCAAAGCCAGCCCATGTCACCTGCTCATGAAAGCAAAGTACAGATGTTTGAGTGCAAAGTATACACTCTCGAAGGAAAGTAGGAGTTGTTGACTCTCAATTAGAAGAAAACAAGGGAAGAAAGTGACTACAAAAACCTCTGAAAGAAAGATACAGAAAAAAAAAAAAAAAAAAAAACATAGGCTATTCAAGTTAAGAAGCCTAAAAGAGAAAAGATGTGAAGCAGGGTATACAAGTATATATCTACTTTTGTAGCCTAGAATTGAAAATAGAGCAAACCCAATTATAATGAGGAACTAGACACCTAAATCAGCAATAAACCAACCACAACTAATAAACCCAACACATAATCTAAGATAAGAAAGAAGCACTACTAAGCCTATGTATCTCAATCCTTTGTGGAGACAGTGGCTAAAGCTAGACTATGTACCAACAATGAATTCACAAAATGTTTTCAAAACAGGAAAAAGTCCCAAATACGTCCCTAGCATATAAATGATATAGAACAAAATAGCAAAAACAAAAGTATCCAAACAGTCACAGGCAAAAAATGAAAGGACCTCATCTTTATCATCTTCAGAAGAGGAAATAGAAGCAGCGACAGAGGCTCCGGCGGAACGAACAGAAGAGGCAACTATGGTGGCGTTGGCCGATACAGTTTTGAGGCAAGAAGATATAATCTTAAAAGAATTCGGTAACAAACCACTGTTCTTCCCTTTCCCCTTCTTCATCATCATCTTCTTCTTCTTCTTCTCCTTCTACTACAACCACACACCTAATAGACGACCAGCAAACTCACAACCAAAGGAAAAAAGAAAAAAAAAAACCGAACATGGCTCAAACGATTTTGAACAGGATCATCAACCGCCACAGACATCACCCACACAAAATCAACCGCGGAGCATGTCCTCCGATAACCACCGACGAACATCCGATGGATCTATCTCTCCAAAATCCGATGTAAACAACTCGGAGTAGTGTTTGACTTGGATCAAAAGCTGATAATTTATATATCTCAACAGGAACAGCTCTCTCCCTTTCTTAACTTAAGCAAAAAAAGTTGTCTTCTCGTCTACTACTCTAATTCTCTTACCCTTTCGTCTTTGTTTTTCCAGAGAAAGCGATTTTCACCCAAGCCGTTTTTTCCGCCTTTTTTTTTTTTTACAGACTCTCTCTCTCTCTCTGCGTTATCATTTAATTAAATATAATATATTTGGTTGGATAATCATCAGTCTCTTAAATTTCCTTTTTTTATTCAATTTTATACATCCCGACTTTACAAATTCCTTTCCTTTTTTATTTTCAACAATCTCAACAATCTCACCTCACACATGATAAATGGAAAATTTGTATAACTTATCGCTATACCAAAAAAAAAAAAAAACAGTTGCAATTAAATCTGCGGCGTAAACTTATCGTAATTGGTCAAATCTGGGTTACCTGTAAGTACTACTTTATTGCTCTTCACATACAATACAAACCTCATTACAGTTTATGTTGTTAATGATCTACAAATCAGTTAACATTAGAATTATCCCTAAAACAACTAGGCCGATGTGTATCATATCTAGCAATTTTACAAGAATGCTTTAGACTAGAGAGCATCAGCTTCCAACATTTTCTACTACAGAGCATATCAACATGACAACATAATCACAAATTCTTGCTTTATTTTTACTACAATACAATACAATTCGAACAACAAAGAAACAGTGATGGCACATGATGTAAAGAATCAACAAAGTTTCACACACTAGCAATTCTTAACTAGAGCTTCGCCTCCATTTACACTCTCTCGCTTCATTTTCGCTACTTGTGTGTTGTGTACAAATAACATACCTCATTTTCAAGCTGGAATGAGTTCACTTCGTGTCCTCCATTTTCACACCAAAGGCTTTTTTATATATTATGTTCCTTGCTGCTGCTGTATTCCTTCTCCAGAAATCCAAATGTCATCTTGAGCCGATCCTGCAGATTTACTAGGATGTTCTTTGTCACCCTTTTCTGATGTCTGGTGCTCTTTAGCCATTCTATCCCAAAGTATACTCGCACATATGTTGTCTTTGGTTTTGACGCCGTTTCTTCCATCTGGTATCTAAGATGGAGATTAAAATAGTCACCCAGTGGAACTCCATGCAGGGTCATCACCTCTTCCACCAGCCATCCATTCTTCTCTGGCACAAGCGACTTTTGCTGTGTACTTGTTACTTCTCCTCTGTAACGTGATATCCGCTTGTCTCTGTAGTATGTCTGCCTCTCGTACACATCAGCCTTCTCTGACTCCCACGGGCTGCAAGAATAGCTTTGGCAACCTGCTCTCTCCATAGCCTTACGATCCACTTCACCCCCACCAAACAACTCCATAAAGAAATTTACCTGGCGTTATCAGAATGATGTGTTAGACAACTTCAAAACTCATATACATTTCCAGCCAAAGTTGCTTTTACAAGGAAAGAGAACAACTCACCGGAACTGGGAGAGTCAAAGAGAAGACCTCAGAGAATCGCACGTCATCAATACCCAAGAACAAACCACTCTCTTCACTTTGGAGTTTCTGCTCTGATTCCTCTTCAACCGCTTGCACTTTCTGCTCTGGAGTCAAGGATTTTGCTTTCCACAGAGCCATTATCGTCCTATAAACAAAATTTAAGTTCAATGCTTGTGTCTTATCATAAAAGATGTTTATTTCTACTACAGGTACAGCTCTTGATACATAGTCAATAGGCGTCCACGTCTGAACATGTCTAAGAAACGCAGTTTGTTCTACAGGAATGTACCAATTTTTCTTCTTCAGATGGGAAATTGGGCATATCCAAGTTATGGTAAGCATATTGATTGAGTAAATAAAATTTAGGACGATAATAAAAGCAAGCACACAAATAACAAAAAATCCATCGGGGAAAGAGGAAGACTCGTTACTTACTTTTGAGCCACATTGAAAGACACAAATGAGTGGAAATGGAACTTAAGCCTGCCTTCCTCATCATGTGTCTTTGCGCCTATCCTTGCTTCGTTACCTCTACCTGGTCTGAGAGTCATGACGATAATGGGACTACCCATCGAGGCAAGAGTGGGAGGGAGCACTTGAATATCCTCTATATCTTCCCACAGGAAAAAGAATTTTGTTTTGTTACCAAAAAGGCTTGCATAAAAGCCAACAATTCTTGCAGAAAGGAAAAGACGACCCTGCAGGAGCAAAACTAAATTAAAGAGTTATATTCTCTCCATTGCAAAGTATTAAAAAAAAAAAAATGAAAAAGGATGCAGTTGAATACTAATAAACATGTGATGTGTATCAAGATCTCGTCACCTGCAAAGGCATTTTTCGTTTTAAGTGACATGTAAAGTCATTGATTAGAAATTCTTCTTGTGGAAGACCAAAGAGCTTCTGAAAGGCTGAATTTGTTTGAGGAGATCGCACATTAATCTGAAATTTCCATTCGGCAGATAAGATACACACACTAACACTAACAGTTTAAGTGTTGACTGAGAGAATCAAGTGGTAGCCACATACCTTCTTGCCCACCTCTTTCTCCATCTTATTTAAATAGTCTCTAACAACATCTCCACCTCCTGTATGATCCAAGAAAATCCTCAAGTGCAGCTTGGATTGGCATGCCTGAGCCAGCTTCCCTTGAAGAGGAACCCAAACATCCGCTAGATCAGATATATTAGATCTCACAAAGTTGATCTCGGCCTGCCCCAATGAAACAGCCTCGTCAAACGGTCCATCGAAATCGAAAACTTCAACATTCAGTACAGAAGGAGGATCAGCCATCGCATCGAATTCAAATATTTCTGCACAAATCAAATTCCAACCCTCAAAAAACTGATGATGACAAATCAAAGAGTTAAAATATTTAAGAACTGAAGCAACAAGTGAATAACTAGACCTATGCTACCACTAAGATTACTAGTATAGAGAAACCATTTACCATTCCACTGAGGATTAGATTTCTGAAACTTGATGGAGCTAGTTCTTGTCTTCCCATTGGAAGTAAATACAATATACGGATCACAATGCCCGCTTGGATCTACAGCTGCTAGATCAACCCCCTCAATTAGAGCAACAGTTAGCAACCAACCATCTCCATGCGCTTTGATGCCATGATCACTACCTATAAGTGGATTTGACAGTTAAGGATCAGTCGGATACACACACCAGGCAACCAAGCAAGAAAGTATATGAACTGTATCTTCATAAATGTTACCTTTCTGTTTTCTTGCTTGCATGAAACGGGAAATCAATTGCAATACTCTTTCGCACTGAAGAACTAAAACCCCACTAACAACAAATTCCCCAATTGAATCCGGTAAATCAAGGCCATTAAACTCAAGCCCTTGGATTGCACTGGGTATGGAAAACACAATATGGACAAATACATAAATACCAATCAAGAAAGTGGAGAACACAGTAAAATTAGCAAAATATTGTACTGCCAATTTCCAGTCTGATTGAGGCTCAGCTTGCAAGGAAGAGAGAGCTTGCTCCTTGTTCACCCCAATATCCTTTGAATCTACAGGCTTTACATTTTGAGCCAGCAGATTGGCATACTGTTCGAAGTTGTCTTTCAGACCTTGTCGGGCTCCATTCTCTATCATACCTTTCATCATTGTGCTCTGAAGAAAATTCAATCTCCATGAAACAACCAAACGGGAACACTGCTCCCCAGATGGCAGCTCAGGTCCAGGAGAGATGCAGTAAAGCACTTCAACCTTGAAGGTACTTCCAAATGGGACATCTGGAGTGGCAACACTTGCTAAAACTGCGTAAACCTCTCCGTCCGCTTTGAGATATGTCTGCTCCTCTGTGCCTTTCACAGCCTTAATAAGTTTGGTTGGAGCCTTGAGGTAACTTACAATCCGCTTAACGCTCTCGCCTTCATTTTCTGCTTTCCATGGTCCTATCTGAACTTCTGTGGTCCCTTGCAATTCAGTCAACGATGTGTAGAAACTTGAATCCGATGAGAAAAGCAGAATGTTAAGATCTGATGGGGAAATCATAAACAACTGGTCCACAAGGATCCCACCAGGTAGATTACTAGGAGGTTCACTTCCCTGATCTTTTGACTTCATCGCCTTCATAAGTTCCTCAAAGGAAGCAGAAGATGACTCATCCTCAGATAGCTCAAGGGAAAAGACTGACCTAGAGGTCTCAGATGGGTCAGATGCGTCAATGCTCCTACTAACCGACTGTGTAGGTGAGGCAGCATTAGCATTCTTCTGAAAAATCTGAGTGATTCGACCGGCAAAAGTTGTCTGCGGGTTACATTTGTCGTCCTTGGAAGAGGAAGCATCATCTGACCTACAAGGAGAGGCGCAAGTGGAGGGATCCATAGGAGATTCAAGTCTCAAGTCAGGGCTCCTCGAAGCAGAGGCTTGATCGCCATTAGAATTCAAATCAAGAACCGAGTTCTTCTGACTGAAACATATCTTGAGAAGTATCTCACCTGGATAAGATGGGATCAACATAACAATGAAATTCTCAAAAGATAAAAGAAGAAATAAAATCGAGGCATGTAGTAAATGAAAGACGTACCACAATCCTTTTTGGAACTTTTCTTCTTAGGATTAAGAGGATACCAAACAGTGCCAAGAGATTGATTCTCAGCATCGAAAACAAGGGAAACGGGAACTCTAACCTGCCCGACGAAGTCATCATTGAAGTATTTATCCTCATCAAGAACAGAGACGACGAGTTCGTCATTCAAATCATCGACGCCGAAACTGAAATCATCAGCCCATTTGGGGTTCAAGTTCTTCTTCACTACTTTGGTTCGTGACCTCTGTTTTCCCAGCTGCAATCTCACGTAGGGGTCGCTAAACCCATTGAGATCCATGGCCGGTAGATTCCTCGCTTCTAAGACTCGGACCTGAAGCTTCATCTCGCCGCTGATGAACTCTCCCCCACAGGGGATTTACACAGTCCAATTTACGATCGCGAGAGTAGAGGAAACAACGGTCCCCAACTAGTTCCCACAAATACAACGAAATGGGGAAGAAAACCTCGAAAACTCAGCAATGGAGGAAGCCAGACAAATCCGGAGAAAAATTTTCAAAATCAGAGGAGACGAGGGAGACAACTTTCAAATGCAAAGAGCATGAAAAGGGGGATTTTGGCTGGGAAATAAACCCTAATTTGATTCGAATCGGAAGAGGTGACATTAACACCAACGATAAAAATCCACAAAGTCCTCAGGCGACCAAGTCTTCGTTTATGTCTTTTTTCTTTCTTTTTTTTGTTTTTTGTTTTTGGTTTTGTTTGGTCAACGTTAATGTCTTTTTTTGACTTTTCCATACATGAAACTTTCAGTGAAGCTATCTCTGTCTGTATATATTTTCCTTTTCTTTTTAACATTGCCTTGGCGCGCTTCACAAATTATAAAACTTTGCTTTTCGCCCTCATTTGATCGAATCTGATCAAAGTTAAAAATCTCACCCAAGTTTCAAAATAAATCGAAAACGAAAATCAAGAAAAAGAAAAAACGCAAAACGAAACTGAATAATCACAAAAGTTATAATCAAAGTATATTACGTTCACGAGTTGGGGGTTTTCTCGAGTGATCAAAATATCACAAAAGTTTTGTTGGTAATACTTTTGGATGGAATCGTGGAATATTCCCTGGACCAAATAAGAAAAAAGAATTTGCGAAATATCGTAATATAGAGAAATTACGGGGAGCAAAAACTTAAATACTGTAATTACCACGAGGATAAGCCACGTGTACTCTAAATTGGCTTGGTGGTATTTAAAATCATTCACCTTTCAAACTGGAAAAGCAAAAGCCAAGATGGATTTATTTAACCAAAAGCTGTCTTCTTCATAGAGAGAAGAGAGACTGTACTATAAGTTTTAAACTGATAAGAAAGCTTTCACCCGCCGCGAGCAAAACGAGCTTGAATCCTCCTCTGGATTGTCCCACGGCAAGACGGACAATCCATCATTCCTTCTTTCTCATGAAGCTGATTGCATTTCAAGCAAAGCACTTGGTGAGCACAAGGCAAGAAAATCACACTCATCTCTTCAGACAAACACATCACACATTCTCTTTCTCTTTTCACTTTCGTCATCCCAAGATTCTCTCTTCTTGTTGCCTTCGACTCACTGCTGCCTTTCTTCAGTGCCACAATTCTCGAGTAGTTTGATTTCAGTTTCAGCTCTGCCATCTCTGTCTCAAGTCTCTTGATGTTGTCTGTGTAATATTTCACATCGGTTTCTGCTTTCACTTTTATCCGCTCTTCTTCCACTTTCCCAAGTGCTTCAAGTTCCTTTCTCTCTTTCTTTATCAGCAAAGCCTGAGCACAGAGTTTCCCTTTTGCTGTTCTTTCTTGCTTCAAAGCAGCCTGCGGTCGAATTTTCGTTAGTTCTCTTCATCAACTCATGTACCTAAAAACAACCCTTTCTAAACTTACAAAAGCTATATAGATAGTTAAGAAACATCAAGTTGCAATTAACAAAAAAACTTTTGATATTGCTACACTTCATTACCAAAACCAGAAGGATGCACTAGACTAAAAAAGAATAACAAAAACATTTTTCTTCCTTTTTCACTTGGATATAGCAATATAAAAGCCTTACATATTTAGCCAAACGAATAAAATCATTACCAGAAAATCAAATCTGAAAGAAAGGGACGTTAGCAGATGAGAAATATGGTGAATTGCTGGTAGCTAACGATACACACCAAAAGACAAGACAACCTAACATATGTCTACAAACATAGCTAACCTCGATTTGATTCTGGCGATTTTTTGCCTTGGTAACTTCTTTCTGTAGCACTGCCACCTTATCCTTTTGACCCTTGAGCTCTTCCTGCAACAGAATTTTCTGCCCTTCCCACAAGTGAGTATCCTTCAGTGATTTTTGCCCTCTCTCTTTTGCTTCTCTAAAGCTCTCAGCAGACTCGGCAGCTTTGATCTTAGCAGCTTCCATCTCTTTCTTCAGTATGGATTGTTCCTGCTCGAGCCTGCGAGCGGTACTGTGAGCTTTTTCCAACTGGCTCGTTGAATTCCTTAAAGCAAAATCCATCTCAGACAGCCTTTTCCTAGTGTTTTCTTCCAATAACTGCTTCTCTTTTTTATACTGTTCTGCCTCTCCTCGCTCTTTCCTTAGTGCCTTAAGCTCTGGTTGGTCCTTAAGAAGTCTACCAGTTGCTTCTTTTACTTTCTGATTAGCCCAGTCAGTCCATACCTGCAATTCATTCTGCAGATCATTCACTCGGGGAACTAGCTTTATAATCAATTCGTCCTTTTTATCCCGGGGAACATATATACCCAAAGATGCATCATACGGTATTCCAGCGTAGTAATCTGGTGCTAGCTTTTCAGACACAGACGCCTTTTCTTCAGACTCAGAACAAGACTTCTTTTCTGAAGCTGATGGTACCAAAGAACGAGGCTTCTTTTCTGTAACAGATGGTACCAAACAATCAAAATTCTTTTCTGAAGAAGATGGAATCAGAGTTGCAGTCTCAGAACCAGACTTCTTTTTTGAAGCAGATTTAACCGAAGTGGCAGAAGTAGCAGGTAAGGCAGTTATATAACCCTTTGCATCTACCATTACCACAGGTGAGTCCAACTTACTGCTCTTTCTTACAAAACAGCCACCATCCTCAGTTAATGAAACTTTCACCCCAATCTCTGCTGTTATCTTTGATGAAGAATTTCTTGCCACAAATTCAGAAGATGATTTGACTCTTTTCTCCAAAAGGAAGCTGCCAACAGATGCAAACTTTGCCGCCTTGTAGCCACTGCATTTGCTGTAAGTCCTAATCTTCTCCACACATGATTTTTGCCGAAGCATTGCTATCTCTTTTTTAGTGCGGCCTTTTCGACAAGATATTAATTTCTCATCAGAGACTAGAGTAAAAGATGTACTTTTCATGCCTTCGCAGGAAACAGTGCTACATGAGGATACTTCTTTTCCTAGTGTTGATCCACTAGACAGAGTTTTTTTGGAGTTGGGTAATTTTGGGAAGTTTCCGAATTTGAGTGCTTCACTCCGATTGGTCTGAGCATTGGATTGTGGAGGCTTTGGGTTTTCTGGGTCACTAGAATTTGGAGGATTACATTCAGCACCAAGAGATTCAGAATCAGATGATTTACTTGAACCCACCAATCCATCACCTTCAGCTTCAAAGGCTTGCAAGACATTCAAGTCGCACATCAAAAGCCTCCACATAGCTTCAACTGTTGATAGGGACGGCCTAACCTCCTTAACAAGACTTATCATCTCTATCAACGTATATGCAACAAGCTGTTGTAGATCCTCAAACACATAGTCCCTTAAACCAGCACCTTCGTTTCCATTCTTGAGAACACTCAAGGTGTTATTGACAATGTTTGACACAAGATCATTGCCTCCGCAGTAGAGCCTACTTCCTGAGATAGCTTTCATAACATCGTCATCAGTGTAACCAAGATCAATAAGCTGCTTCATTGCATTAAGGAAGAGCGTGAGCAAATTTGATGACAACAATTCTTCAAGATGACAGGCAAAGGGGTCATCCCATTCGACAGGTTCAGACTCTTCAAGTTGCAGCTGATCAGAAACTTTCCCAACCGAGTCATTGCCGCCCAAAGGGTTCTGAGATTTCAGCAAAGGTAACTCATATGGAGGGAATTCGGTGAGAGAAGCAGCACTTGGTTGAGAAGGATCAGCTAATTTTCTCTTGTTTTTCCTTCCTTTTTCCTGAGGTGACACTGTAAAAACTTCACCTTTGTCACCACTGAGGGCACAACCATTCATTTCTTCTTGCTTTTGAACAATACTCATCACCTTTTCATCCAATACGCAAAAATAATTAAAGTTAACCACACAGAAAAGCGTATAACATACATGCGATATTGTGCATAATGCAAAAAACCATTAAAGCAACAAAGATATTAGACCCAAAGTCGTACAAATGATTTATACAGACACAAACATCAGATGGTATCCTCTCCTAGTTGTAACTTTCGGAAACGTAATTCCAGAAATGCAATCCCAGAAGCACGCCAAAAATGCAATTTCTATTTTATTTTTTTATCAATCTAGTATACGTTTAGATATTCCTCAAATCTAAAGCGTACTACTTTCTGATTGAGTGCTAAATCGTAATGCAATTTAGAACCGTCACTGAATCGAAAAATAAAACCCGAAAATCCCATGATCATTCAACCAAAAACAATCACGAGCATCGCAAAAAGGGTTAAAGTAAAAAAAAAAAAAAAAAGACTCAAACTGACCTTCAACGAAGACGATAACGGCTTCAGGAGAACGGCGCCGGAGGAGAAATCGCGGTAAAGAGAGAAAGACAGAGAGTGAGATCGAAGAAGAATATTGTCGGTATTGAGAGTGTGCAGAGAGAGAGAGAGAGAGAGCGAGAGCGAGAGACTGAAGAAAGGGAAGAGAAGAGAGACGAAGAAACTGGCCGTAAACACTGTTTCGGAAAGGAAAGGAAACAAGAGAAAGAGGTTTGGTAAATTGTTGAATTACTTGGATTCTCCTAAAGGGTATTCCCGTCATTGCACATATATTCTTTCGCCGAGCCTAATATGGGGAGAGAATCTTTTGATTATTTTGTTTCTGCATCTGTAAAATCATTACAACACGAATCTTAAGCTACGAAAATCTATCAAGCTAAAATTTCTAGATAACAAACAAATCCATTCATACTTATATCCCAATCAGGTTTTCAGTTTCGAGATTTCTAATAGAAGTTGAGTCAAAAAACATAGTCTCACATCATCTGATACAAGTTCCACAAGTTCTCTGTTTAATCAGCCACAACAAGGGGGTGATGAGTTCACTTTTTCCTCCTCGTACGTCTTCTTTCAGCTTCATTCTCTGCCACCACGACGTGAAACTCTGATCCAAGCATGTCGTGTATATCGATATTCTTCGAGTTGCTGAGGTTAACAGTCTCCATGATTATTTCTAGGGTCACGGTGAAGCCTAGATTAGACAAGACCCGTATCGCATTCCCAATTCTGCATATGGTTTGTCGAGTCTCGAGTAACGTATGGCTTTGCTCTTTTCCTGTGCTCTCGGTGGAGGATGAGATCATCTCCCCATCTTTCTGATCATCTATCGCCATAGGATCTCTCACTTCAACATGTTCTCCAACCCATATTAAACCATTGCAGCCGATAATCAAATCAATCCCAAGGCTTTCGATGTAATGAAAGTGATGTTTGCTTCTTTTCACCAAGTAAGGATCAACCTTCAGAAGCTGTCCCTTCTCGAGCTGTAGTGATTTAAGGAATTTAGTCAATGTTTTAAGAGGGAGAGACTAGCAAAATGTATATTAATGATCATGTGACCAGATCAGAACCAACCTTGCCATACTTTTGGCTTCTGGCTTGTAACTGCAAGCTACCGTCATGCTGAAAGTTGCGGACTTCAGCCTAAAGAGTTTGTTCAAATCAAAGAGGGAGCCTTTTCTCAGGTTGGCTTATGCGTTCAGAGATGAAGAAATGCAAAAATGGAACATTATCATTCACAGAGACTTACGCAAACAACATCATGCTCTACAAAGATATTCCGCATATTGAGTTCATCCACAGAAGTTCTCCGCCTCTGCCAACAACAATACACTTATATCACTGAAGCCAACATATAATGTGGAAGAACAAGGTAAGCCAGCAATCAATCAAAATAAAAATAAAAAATTTGTACCTGAATACCATCAGGCATGTTCATGGAAGAAAGCATTAGTACTCCATCCTGATTAAAGTTGAGCTCCACTCTCCAACGCTTTTGAGCAACCTGAAGCATTAAAACTTAATTCAGCGACTAGGCAATGTAATTGAAACCCTAGCCCTTGTATTACTCCCTCAATCCGGTTACAAAACCCAAAACACCAATACAAAAATCTACCTCAATCACACGGCCTACCACAATATCCCCAACCTCAGGCTTGTACCTAAAGGTAAACCATCAGTTCTACTTAAATCTCAGAGTAGATGGTCAATTTCATTCACAATTCAAATTTGAAGAGAAATCACATACCTGGCTCGCAAGGTTCGTACATAGACAAGCTTATCAACACGCTCCACTACTCCACAGACCGTCGCGAGCAACTCACCATCGACCTCAGAAGTTCCGTGTCCCCTTCAATTAAAAAAAAAAAAAAAAACACAATGGTGAAACTGAAGTTTGACAAAATTTCAATCGCGAGAACAGATAACGAGATGGAAAATTACTTGAGGAAGGCATCATCGTGGTTGACGGGAATAGAATCGGTGACGATAACAGAAGCGTCAGAGTTTGCCGTCGACGACAGTGATTGAAGCCGCTCGATGGCTCTCTCAAACCTCACCTTTTGGGTCTGGCTTAACGGTAACTGTAGCTTTCTCATCACCATCACTGAGTCTCTCTCTCTTTTTCTCTATATCTAACTCCAGCAACAACACAACAATGGCGATGGCAAATCGCAGTTTGGGAGAGAAGCGCAAAAACCCGGACGTTGGCTCGCTTGAATGATATCTAGGGTTTTGGGTTACTTGTTGGACTGACAAATTCAACTTTAGGCCCATTAAGGCCTTTACGGGTTTTCTGAATATTAATATTAATTAATCTGATAATTGACGTCAACATGATCCCATATTTATATTTTATTTATTAAAAAATAATAAAACAAACAATTGACGTCTCTCCTGCGAAGAAGCTTCAAGTATTGTGAATTGTGATCTTCCTTTTTCTGACGCAAATTCGCATCCTTCACTTCACCGATCAAATTGTTTGAAACCCCTAATTTAATTGGGTAAGATCTGAGCTTTTCCGATATGAATTTCTTCAAATCCGTCTTCGAAGACGACCCAGATCCGCCAGAAACCGAATCGGAATCCGATTCACCGAAACACAGCGAAGAGCATGAACATCCAGAGCAATCGAACCCTAATGATGACGGTGGATGGAGCTTCGGTGGTCTGATGAAAACTCTAGCCAGCAGATCCGAATCCGTGATTGAAACTTACCGACGAGATCTTGAAGAATTTGGTACAGGTTTGAAGAAAGAGATCGAAGTGGCTCAGGGATCGCTTGGTACTGTGGGACATGCGATTGATGAACTTGGGAACACTGTGCTAAAAGGTACGGCTGATATCATTGCTCAAGGTAAGGAAGCGATCTTAGCCGCTGGTAATGAATCTGATTCTTCTGATAACAATAGTAGTCAGAGTTTTGGTCGTCGTGATAGCTTTAGTTCGAAACCATATAGTCGTTTCGATGCTCAGATTCGTGTTGTTCAAGGTGATCTCAACACTTACTCTGAAGAGCCTGAGGATTCAGTTGATTTCAAAAAGTGGGAATCTGGGTTTTCTCTGGATGAAAAAGCTGAGGAGATGGAGAAATTGTTGGAGGATAACGGAGATATGAAAGGAGTTTATAAAAAGTCTGTTCCCAATATGGTTGATCATGAGACTTTCTGGTTTAGGTATTTCTACAAAGTTCACAAGCTCAAGCAGGCTGAGGATTTAAGGGCTAATCTTGTTAAACGAGCAATCTCTCTGGATGATGAGGAAGAACTGAGCTGGGATATCGATGATGAAGAGGAGAGCAGTGAGAAAGATGTTGAAGCCACCAAGGAAGTTTCAAGATTGAAACTTGAAGGGAGTGATGGTACGGATAGTGGAGGTGTGAGTGAAACTGTGCAAGATGATGTGAAAATTGCAGATTCAGTGGCTAAAGTAAGTACACAAGATGAAGTGACAAGTGCAGATTCAGTGACTGAAGTGAGCAATGATGGTTTGAAGACAGATGGAGACTCCGAGGAAAAGAAGGAGACTGATAATGAGGAGGTTCCAGAAGCAAAACCAGTTGTTGATGCTGCTCCTCCTGCCTCTGATGAGGCTCCAATCGAAGATTCAGTCAAACCCAAATCTGATGAGGCTGCTCCATCCGAAAAAACAACTAAACCAGATGTGGCTGCTTCTTCATCAGCTCAACAACCACCTGAAGAGGATTTGGGGTGGGACGAGCTCGAGGATATGAGTAGCATTGATGGGAAGGAAGTAAGTCGGTCTGGTGGTAGTCCAAACAGAGCTGAGTTGCGTAAACGTCTGAGTGCAGCAGAGGAAGATGAAGATTTAAGTTGGGACATTGAAGATGACGAAGAAGAATCATCGTCATCCAAAGCTTAATGTTAGTTTTAATTTTTAAAGATGGTGTGCTTTTTTCTCTCCTTTTACTTGTTTTTATAAGTTTCTGGCGATTTGCCTCCATTATTCAGTTGTTTCTCTCTTCAAACGTTTCTATATAAATTGAATTTGAAGATATGCTTTACATTTTTATTTCATCTCAAAATTTGGACAATAGTAGTTCCGAAACTGATCTGCCATGACCGAGCCTAATATGTTGCTCTAATAAGTGAATTTGGTTGCGAATTCGGGGCTTTGATTGTTTCAAAATCAAACGCAATGTTATCTGTTGTGAAGACCAAAAAAAGGATACAAATTGAGGCCCATTACTCGTATTATGGGCTTACGGGTCGGATTCAAGAGAAACCCTCGGGTGACTGGGTGAGTGATTAACCCTCTCTTAAACCCCAACCAACCAACCACCATTTCAAGGCGAGAGAGAAGCAAAAATTTCGATCTTTCTTTTTCTGTGGCTCCGACCAATTCAACCCCAAATGGCTTCCGTAGCTCTTCGAAACGCTAGCTCGAAACGCCTTATTCCGTTTTCTTCTCAGATCTATCTACGATGCGGAGGTTCCGTCCCCTCGATGTCACATATCGTCGGGGGAGATGATCGTTGTTCTCCAAGTTCCGCGACCTCGTGGTGGAGATCGATGGCCACTTTCACCCGAACGTGAGTACATCCACTCGTTAGATCTCTCTCTCTTCTTCAGTGTTATTTTGGAATTGGTTTGAGTTACTACTACTCTGCTTTTCCATCTCTCTGTTTCTCTAGTGAAAGAGTGATGCGGGGGAATAAATTGGTTTTCTTAAATTTTCGAATTTACTTGTAACTTTGTTTATTTTTGGCAGAAAACCTCATGTAAATGTTGGAACAATCGGGCACGTTGATCATGGGAAGACCACTTTGACTGCTGCAATCACAAAGGTGTGGTTTTTGAGCTGCCTAAATTACTTCAAAATTCATGACCAACTATAAAATACAAAACAGTTGATCCGATTTGTTTTAGGTGTTGGCTGAAGAAGGTAATGCTAAGGCTGTTGCGTTTGATGAAATTGACAAAGCTCCTGAAGAGAAGAAGAGAGGAATTACGATTGCAACGGTCATGCACTTAATTTACTCTCTTATCTCCATTCTTGAGTGCAATCGAAGTGGTTTTAACTCTAGACAGTACTTGGTTCTGTAGGCTCATGTGGAGTACGAGACTGCTAAGCGTCATTATGCTCATGTGGATTGCCCCGGACACGCAGATTATGTTAAAGTAAGATAATCTACGTAATTGATTAGTGGAGTAACATGGATCAATACATGGGTTGTGTATGAAATAATTTGATAAACTCTTGTATCTCATAGCTTAAGTTGCTGATTGTTAGAATATGATTACTGGAGCTGCACAAATGGATGGTGGAATTCTCGTGGTTTCAGCACCAGATGGGCCAATGCCTCAAACTAAGGAGCATATCCTCCTTGCACGTCAGGTTTGCACTGTTACAATCCATTGAACAGGATAAGATGCTCGAACAAGTTAAGTTGGCCACGATCCAAGATGTTAATGTTCCACAGGTCGGTGTTCCATCACTTGTATGCTTCCTGAATAAAGTTGATGCTGTTGATGACCTAGAGTTGTTGGAGCTTGTAGAGATGGAACTGCGTGGTTTGTATAAAATCCTTATGTCATGAAGTTATATATTCAATAATTTTTCTTATGACGTATAAAATTTCTTACGTCAACCGCTTTGTTGGCCAGAACTTCTCAGCTTCTACAAGTTCCCCGGGGATGATATTCCCATCATTCGAGGATCTGCTCTGTCTGCATTGCAGGGTACAAACGAAGAAATTGGCCGGAAAGCAATATTGAAGCTAATGGAAGCTGTAGATGAATATATACCTGACCCTGTTCGTGTGCTCGATAAACCTTTCCTGATGCCAATTGAAGATGTTTTCTCGATTCAGGTATAACAGTTTACATCCTTGTTTTTTTTGTTGTTCGTTCTCTCAAATGTTTTTTTGGAAATTTTATTATCGATTCCTTTTTCTATGAAAGGGACGTGGAACTGTTGCAACCGGCCGTATTGAGCAGGGAACCATTAAAGTAGGTGAAGAAGTTGAGATATTAGGGTTAAGTCCGGTGAGTTAGTACTGGCCACTATTACAATTAAGCATTGTTCTTGTAACTTCTGTAAATCTCACTGCGATATATAATTTCCAGGGACCTGCACTGAAATCCACAGTAACTGGCGTTGAGATGTTCAAGAAAATTTTGGATAATGGACAGGTAAAGGAAATTTGTAGAGATCTTTTCCTTAATGGCATGGGATATTGATAAAAAAATGTCAAATATGTTAGGCTGGTGATAATGTAGGACTTTTGTTGCGTGGGCTAAAGAGAGAAGACATTCAACGTGGAATGGTAAGCCCAAGATCCTTGTGATGTAGAACAGTGATAGACCATATTGTGAAACTAGCTTTACTGAATTTAACTTTGTTTTGTTTAGGTAATTGCTAAGCCTGGTTCTTGCAAGACTGCCAAGAAGTTTGAAGCAGAGATTTACGTGCTCACGAAGGATGAAGGTGGCCGTCATACCGCTTTTTTCTCTAACTACAGGCCTCAGTTTTATCTGCGGACCGCCGATGTCACTGGAAAAGTAGAATTACCTGAAAATGTGAAGATGGTTATGCCCGGTGACAATGTCACTGCAGTTTTCGAGCTGATCCTCCCTGTCCCACTTGAGCCAGGTTAGATTCACTGGCTTTAGATATCTCCACTAACCCACCAAGTTTGATTTTCTAAAAGTTTCTTGAGTAATTCAAGTTGTTTCTATATTGTGATTTTAACAGGTCAAAGATTTGCTCTAAGGGAAGGAGGTAGAACAGTTGGAGCCGGTGTGGTATCAAAAGTGATGAGCTAAGTCGCTAAAGCAGATTCAAAGTTCTTCAAACAAAAAAAAAAAACAAAACACATTGTTCTCAGTTTGTTCTAGTATCTAAATATTCATCTCTCATGGGATTTCTTCTTCTTGGAGAGTTAGAGACTTAGATCAAATAACAGAGAGATTTGTGTTTTACAAGAAAAGCTTCTCCTAAGTCCTAATTAATGTAATATCTTCACAGTTTTTTTTGGCTTTGCAAGTTAAGTGGTTTGTGTTAGTATAAAACTCTTTACAAAATCCCTTTATCAAACCTTACAACTACAAACTAACCTTTAACAAGCCATCAATGGAGTTAGAAACTTGACTCCAAATCATCAGCATTTCGATATTCAACCAAACCTAAGTGCAACCATGGCAATAACTGTCGCCGCTCTGAAGTAAACTTCCTTGATTCTTCTTTCCACTTTATTCTTGATTTCTTCTTCCTTGATTGCTTTCCTATTGGCATCAACAATGGCCTTCCTAAGTCTACTCACCGACCATGAGAGCAATACCAAACTCAAACTCAGTGCACTCTCGAAGAACTTGTTTGCACAAAAGGGTACCCGTCTGGAAGCAACAGAGAAGAGCACAGCGATACCAGTTCCAGCAATGCCAATTGAAAACTGAGTCAAAAGCGCCAAGAGTTCTCCACGTGATTTCTTTAGAGATAGCATAGTGGTTTGTCTATGTTGGTCATTGCCTATCATCAGAGAGATAAGGCTCTCACATGCATAAAGATGGTTTCTTTTGTAGAGGTCTTTTTCCGTATCTCTTATCTTCGGATTTTGTTTCTTTGGTGAAGGCTTGAGCTTGGTTTTCTTCGGACTGTTAAAAATCAAAAGAACCTTTCTTTAAAAAACAGAGAATTACCAAAAACTAGTTAATGATTTCAAATACCTCTTGAGAGGACCTAGTGTAATTGCGTCAGGTAGGTGCAGAGTGTCTATTAGTACTTCACTGTCGAATCTGCTAAATGAGAGAGAGCAAAACCTTAATGTTAAACCCCAACGGATGAGATTTGTTGTGATGAAGAACTAAGTTGAAATGAAAAATAAAATACCGCTGAAACTGCGGGACAAGCCGTGAGAGCTTTCTCCATCTTGTTGAGTTCCTTCGTAACTTAGGAATCTCAGCCACGGTAGAAACCAAATCATTCAACTCAGCTCTGTTACTTGATAACAGAACGTTACCATCCACCATGAGATCCAAAAACGACTTTGAGGATTCTTGATTCAAGTAAAGAAGAGAGGAGGACGCATGTGGTAGCTGAGAACTTGATCTGAAAGCATCTAGACCCATCAATTCAGACAGCATAGAAAAACTGAACCCTCCTTCTTTGAGTTCTTCTAATCTAGACAAAAGGAACTCTATCATCTTCTCTTGTCTTGCAGACTGCTCAGTGATTCCCAAGCCTAAGCACAGAGGTTCTGGTCCGGCCTCTGCAAACCACACATCAGTTCTTTTCAAAAACCATGACAATGTGGTGCAATAATCAATTTACAAATTGATCAAAACTCTAGCCAAAGAAAGGATAATGGTGAGACATACCATGAACATCCATGAGCCTAGGCTTCATCATAGTTGAATTACACTCCACAAAATGATTAGACTTGCTCAAAGAACAAAAAGGTTTTAATGGCTCCAAGAGATGTGGTCTCAGGTTAAAGGAGCTTTCTAGTATTAACTCATGTTTTCTCCTCCCAGGATTCACAAGACAAGTCTGGCTCTTCTGAATCACTCAAAGACATAAGAATCAAACAAGAGAAGAAGAAGCATACAGAACCAAGACAAGAATATAACGAGAGATTCTAACAACTCAATTTCTAAAACAGAGGGGAAAAAACTCACTTTGATGGTTTCGTTGCTTCCTAACTCTTGAAGAAGACTAAACCCAAGTGTTGGATAGCTGTGAGAAGCCATTAAACAAAGTTTGATAATCCAACCTGAGTTCGTCTTCTTCTTTTCTCCTTCTTCTTCGTCACAAACCCGTAGAAAGCTTATCGTCAGCAATCACCTATATATGCGTCAGATATCATTAGATTTATGTTAATCTTTCCTTTTTATACAGTTTTGGCTGGTGACCAAAAACCAAAAAGGTCCAAAACATACATGAGATTCTAAATATTTACTTTTAGAGACCCTTAGTTTTCAATAATTACATAAATACCGCTTCTGGTTCATATACTTCATTTAGCAACATCATACCCAAACTTTTGAATAATTACAGAAATACCGCTTCTGGTTCATATACTCGAAACTAACCCAAGGATCATTAGGGTACTCTACTCGAGAGAGAGAGACAGAGAGAAGTTCTAAAGTCTAGAATCCCGCTAAAGTTTCTCACCTTCTTCGTTGAATTTGCGAGCAGAGGAAGGAATCAGCAGAGAAACAATGGTAAATTTGAATGCTTTCTCCGTCTTTCCTGAATTTGGGTGTTGGGATTTTATATTTTTTTTTGGTTTGACCTAAGTCTAACAAAGGTTCCTTCTTCCGTCGGTTAGTTTTCTTTAAAGCGATTGGCTCTAGGGTTTCTCGTGATGGGTCTTATAGATTTTTGTTTGTCCTGTGGTGCAGTTGTTCTTTTCTTACTTCAAGGATTTGGTTGGACAAGAAGTGACGGTTGAGCTGAAGAACGATTTAGCCATAAGAGGAACTCTTCACTCAGTTGATCAGTATCTGAATATCAAGCTCGAGAATACTAGGGTTGTTGACCAGGACAAGTACCCACACATGGTAAATTCTTTTTCTGTAAAACGATTGAAAATTGGGAATTTAGGGTTTGTTAGAGTAGTCAATGGTTTTTTTTGTTCACCTAGACAATATTTTCTTTGTTGTATGTGCTTGAATTGTTCTTTAGTGGTTTATCCATCCAGTTGAAAAAGGTGTGATTTTTTTATATCTCGCTTTGCATTATCTTCAGATGTAACCACTGGGTTTAGTCTCTCTGGCTAGTTTCTTGTTACCCTTCTGTTGCTCCCTGTTGCAAAATATCACTTATGAAACTGATGAATTCGAAAGCTTAATGCTTGGCTCTTGCAAATGTGTTTAAGCCATCACTCTTTACTTATCTTTCCTACTTATATATACTATGACCAAGCCTGTGAGGCTTTAAGGTGATATTGATTAAATTTACAAATTGAAAGGGACAATTTAGAGTGATAGGTTTGTAACTAGTGTGGTGCTGAGTACAAATTTTATTGAGATTGCTCCTTATATACTGCAATTTGTCGAGTTTACTCTAAATTACAACAGATTGCAATCAAGTTTTCAGTGCTTTTAAGCTTTTCTATTGGTTTATGTTTGGCACTGTATTTCTTTGTCTTGCCACATTTCAAAGAGTACAGAATTCGCTAGTATCTTTCCTGGTGTGGTTATTAACTTATGGATTTGTGTGCTGTCTTGTGTAGCTTTCAGTGAGAAACTGTTTCATCAGAGGATCTGTGGTAAGGTATGTGCAGTTACCTCCTGATGGAGTCGATGTTGATTTACTTCATGATGCCGCTAGAAGAGAAGCTAGGGGTGGTTAATTCTGCAGAATCGTTGTACCTCCAGACTTGGTACTTTTCATTTGGTGTAATGGCTTGATAATTGAATATTTCCCTGATGTAGAGCCCGATGGTTGGCCATGAATCTTGTTACATTATCTTTATCGAAGGATCATTTTTATTGTTACTCTTTGATGATAAGCTTATAAAAAACTACATCGAAACATCTTATCATCATATTTTAGTTTCTTCTTAACACATCGAAACACCTTTTAACACATTGAAACACCTAAAATGAAGCAAACATATGGAATCATTAAGAGGAACTTAGATAAAGCAATAGGAGTAATTGTCTGCATAGGTGGTGTAACGCTTCATGGGATTAGTATCCATATACGGTCTGGTTTGCCAATAGGGAAAAGGAGCAGCTGCAGCCATAGGCGGATATGGTGAAATGTGGACACCATTAAACATCGTGGCATGAGGCATGTATTGGTATGGTTGCATCAGACCACCAACACCACCATATGGTCCATACATTGGTGCCATCGGAAATGGGGGTGTCATCGGAAATTGGGGATAACGACCTCTTGGGGCTGCGGATATGGGCCACAGGTTAGAAGGGTTGGGTCCACCATGGTGCATCATCGACTTAGCTGTGTTACAAGACAGGTTAACACCAACTTTCTCGCTTAACAAGTTTTTACCACCATCCTTCTCTTTCTTTGTACTCGAGTGTTGCCATGTAAGGATGCCCTTCTTCTTCTTATCCTTATGATCTGAAGTTTCATGTGATCCTTTTTCTTCTTTGGAATCTGTTTTTGGATCCTCATTCTCTGCGGCTTTCGGTTTTTGTTTCACATCCTTTTCGTCATCCTCCTCTGTTCATGTTCATCAGAAAGGTAGAAACTTTCAGATTTTTGAAGATAAGTAAGAAATCTTCCTGATAGGTAAAACAATTCACCTTCGATTTTCTTCGAGTTCTTCTTCTTCGTTGCTTTATCTTGACACTTTGAGCAGCAATCGTTGTTCATTTTTCAGACCACGTTCCTGCTGTTTTCAAAAACAAAAGAGAATACAACTCAGAAACTTGACGAACTTTGAAGGGTTTTCAATTTGTAAGGTTAGAAACCCTAAGCAATCCATATCTTATTCTATCTACACAAATTGCATAAAGATGATATTTTCTTTCCATATAAACAATGAACTTACTCTTTCGAATTCAAAAAAAGGCATGTTTCAGCACCTCGTATCAGAACTAATTAATGATCACTGATTTGAGGAGCTCGATATTAGTCCTTAAGATATTAAGCTTTGGATACACGCAAAAGGCACGCACAACGGCACAAGTGATGTTATATATCAGATATTGTGGAAGTCCTTGATTTAATTGAATATTCTTATTTGGTATATGACAACACAATAACATATACAAAGATCATAACCTTGAGTCCTAAGCAGTAGAACTGATGGTTTCAAAAAGGGTACAACTGTATGGCTTCATCTCATACACAACCAGTTGCTGCATCTGTTCTTGTGCTACAACGGTCTCTCCTTCGACAGAGAAAAACCCTGGGAAAGGAAGAGCTGTGTCGACCAATCGCCTCCATTTGCTTCCATCAGAAAGTGAAGGTAGGATTACACTCTCCGGATGATCACTTGCATTGAATCCGATGAACAGATCACTGCTCTTCTTTGGCTCGGTTGGCTCAACCAATGACGCAGTCTCTTCTTCCTCTGCCTCGGCTCTGATCCCCAATGCCAAAAATTTGCAAGCAGGGTCTTCCCAATTCGGAGTTGTTTGGTCATTTGCATACCAAGCAATGTTCTCAGGTTTCAAAAAGTTTCTCCTTTGAAACACATCGTGTCTTCTTGCTCTTACTGAAGTCATGAAGGAGATGAATTGTGTGATCTGCGTACCGAAAGCTGAAGCTATCATGTTCCAATCAAAAGATTTCCGTGATTCCAACAAAGGCGAGCCTTTTGTTGAGATACCACATTCATCTCCCATGTTAAGCACCGGAATTCCGAGTGAAATGTACTGTATAAACAAGAAATTTCGGATTTGTTTTAGCCTTCTTTGAAGAACAGCTGATTTATTTGTTGCTCCTTCTTCCCCACAATTCCAACTTAGCTCTGAAGCTAGCTCAGGGCCACTGAAACTGACTAAGTCAACAAGAGAAAGTCCTGAGTTTCTGGAAATGTAGTTGAAGGAGAAAGCCGGACCTCTTCCATCAGTAAATATATCACCACTACCACAAATCCTTGTCGCCAGATCACTTAGAACGCCTTTCCCTCTCATAAAGTTCCTTATATTTTGACAATATCTTGTATTGAGTTCTGCCCATCGTTTCCAATGCGGGAACCGTACTTCTTTTGGCATCATTTCAAGTGGATCCCAGCAATCTGCGATTAGTTTGGTCTCCGCAAGAAGTGGGTCAAAAGCTATTGCTTCAACCAAGGGAGGACGAGAGAGCTGTTCACCATGAACACCTCTCAAGAGGGACGAAGCATTTATGAAACAAAATCCATCTATATGAAACTCAGTTACCCAGTAACGCAAGCTCTCCAAAATCAACTGCTGTACAACAGGATAGTTACAGTTCAAGTAACTTTTCGAATCTAGATCGTTGGCCCTTCCCTTGTAATAATAAGAACTGTCATCGATTCCGCGAAGAGCTCCAGAATCAGCAGTGTGTGTAAAAACTACTTCCAAAAGTACCTCTATTCCCTGACTGTGCAATTTCTTCACCATCTCTTTCATTGACTTAACTGCGGATTCAAAGCCATTGGAAGGTCCATACATATCCATTGGTGAAAAGAAATGAACTGGAAAGTAAGGCCCCTTTTGCTCGGAGAACGAAAATATTGGCTCCAAGAGGACAGCGTTGATTCCAAGGGTCTTCAAGTGGTTAACTTTCTCAGCTACACCAGAAAAAGTCCCTGTTACGTTACTAGGCAACTTGCTGGATTTGTGTTGTGTAAAACCCTTCACATTCAACCTGTAAACAATAAGTTTCTCCAGTGGTATGTTCGGAGACACATCTTCTCCCCAATCAAAGGAAGGGGTTTTTAATAAACTTCCAAGAAACTTCTGAGAGAAAGATTTATCAATGACTGTGGCATATGGATCCAAAGCAACTGGCTGAGCTTCAACATCTTCATCTTCTTCTGACTGAGCCATCTCCTTGCAACGGTAGCCATATCTCACAAAATCCCATGTATTGTCAACTGAAGCATGCCAAACATCGCCAGTTCGGTTTACATAAGGATCTAGATCAAGCTCTAAAGCAGGTTTATCGGTTGTGCTATCATCATACAAACATAAAACCACGCTCGTTGAATTTCTTGAAAAGAATGCAAAATTCCAAGTGTCATCATCTGGACCAGAAGAAAGGCCTAGCGGCAATGGATGACCAGCAGTAAAACCGACTGGGACACAGAAGTCAGTATCCCTGTGTGTCAGTATTTCTTGACCGTCTGGATCTTTTCCTGACACTAACTTCAGATGAAATGATAGAAAGAAAGGAGATTCTTTCCCATCAAACTCTAGCCCTAGCATTAACTCTGACGAGGAGCTTTTGACAAATGGAGTTTCTGTTGTGTGGGTGTGTGAGTCTTGGGAAGAGTTTTCAAAATCCAGAGGCAAAAAACACGAAGAATCAGACCTGTATACACCCCAAACCATGACCAGTCTACTCTTGTCATCACCACTTAGTTCCAAAGATGAGACATGAACCATGATACTGTATTTTTCTCTCTTCTTTTCAACTTTAACTTTAACAAGGGCACCAGACTTCGTCCTGAACAAATACGATGTTACCTTCTTTGGGTCATATACCTGAGCTCTTCTAGTAGACACTTGATCTTGCAGCTCGACAGATGTCCTCGAAGCACAAATTTTACTCAACTGATAACTTTGCAACGCGCTTGTACCCAAATCCCCCAAGAAACGTTTTCTTGTAACTATCAGTGTCTCGGATCCAAGTTTAATCCTATTCTTACCAGTAAAAAACCTTGGAGAAGGAAACTTCCAAGTTCTAGTGATGCCATTATGGAGAGAAAAAGATCCTATCCCAACTGATGGTGACCAAGCAGCCATTATTCAAAAAAAATCAGAAAGCTTATCTCTTTCTCCCAAAAATTTAGCAATCCAAGTGATCAATATCCCTGTTAAGAACATAGATCAAAGACCAAGGCTCTTTATTAAGACTGAATAGAAGAATACACTCTATGAATTTTACAAGCGAAACTACATCTCTAAGGAAATAAATATGATAGAAATACTAAGCAAGGAAAGAAAATAGAAACATCCTAAACAGTCTTGAATAAAAAATCAAATCCTTATCTATAAAGAATAAGGTTTTCAAACAATTGATCTGATATTCAACTAATTTTGGATAGACACAATTATCAGCAGAAAATAATCAGGAAAAAAATATCTCAACCTTAAACCAGATGTAGCAGAATGAGCTCAAATTAGTTAAAGATCCAACATAAACGACTCGTTGAATCAGCTAAAATGCCATCTCAAAGCTATAAAATCAAACAAAACCAACTTAGCAAAGTGTTCCTTTATCTTACGACAGGCATTTTCAAACTCAAGCACATTAATTAAGATAGTGTAGTAGAATCAACAAGAAAAAAAGAAGTCAATAAAATCGAAACACTAAGAACTAAAAGAGAGAGAAAATAAGGAACATAAAGAATGAGTAAAGAAGAGACAAACGTCGAATAAAAAGTCGAGCTTACTGTCGAATAAGCGTCATCAACGCCATCGAAGCAAAAATCAAGCTCTAAGATGGAGAATTTCACAATGATTAAAACAGAGACATCTGAGACTACCCATCTTCTGAATTGAGTGTGTGTGTGTGTGTGTCTGTGAGTTTGTGATTTGATTTTTTGGGTTGAAACTGAAAGGTTTTGTCTTGTTCCCTTCATAAACTCTCACCCTCACCCCACGCGCCTATAGAAACGTCTTTCATGAAAAAAACGTAGACACGCGCGCAAGGTGCGTATGGGGGTGAAATAAGAGTGATATTTTATGGGGTGAGCCCATCAGTTTTATCAATTCTTTATAATGGACTATACAATAGGACTGAACGAGCCCAATTATTGAACCAAAACAAACATAATTTGAAATATACGACAAAATTAATAAAAGAATTCAAAGACAGAAGTGAGATGAGATGAGCTGTTTTCCAACTTTCCAGTCTTGAGAGTTGAGAGTTGAGAGTGGAGTTTTCCGTTTTAAAGTGTGTGTCTGTGGAAGAGGGAAAAAAGGGCGCGTTTTTTACAATCTTTGCTTCTAGGGTTTTGCTTCAGAGCCGAAAACATTGGTTTTGTTTCTTTCAATGGAGCAATCGATTTTGAAAGATTGTGAAGTAGAGATCTGTTCTGAAGAAGAAGGCTTTAGAAACGCTTGGTACAGAGCAGTCCTTGAAGAAACCCCAACGAATACGATTTCGGGAAGCAGAAAGAAGCTTCGTGTTCGTTATATAACGATGCTTAACGAAGACCGTTCGTCTCCTCTGACGGTGGAACAGGGGTTTATACGACCGATTCCGCCGGAGAATCTGTACAGCGGCGTCGTTTTGGAGGAAGGGTCTGTGGTTGATGCTGATTACAAAGGCGGCTGGTGGACGGGTGTTGTGATTAAGAAAATGGAGAACGGGAACTATTTGGTTTACTTCGATCTTCCACCAGAGATTGTTCAGTTCGAGACAAAGCATTTGCGGGCACATCTTGACTGGACCGGTTCTAAATGGGTCCGACCAGAAGTCAAAGAACTGAGTAAGTCTATCTTTAGCCCCGGTACATTAGTGGAAGTTAGTTGTGTCATAGGTGAAGGGGAAGTTTCGTGGGTTACTGCAATGATAATCAAGGAGATTGAGGAGAGTGGTCAGAAGAAACTCATTGTGAAAGTCTGCGATAAATACTTGAGATGCAGTGGTGATGAGGCAAAACCAACCATGGCGGTTGACCCACGCCGTGTAAGGCCTACACCGCCTCCTTTTTCGGTTGAAGAGTATAACTTGCTCGATTGTGTAGAGGTGTTTAATGGTTCGTGTTGGCGTCAAGGGCAAGTGATGGGAGTTCTCTCGGGGAAATGGTACATGGTTAGTTTAGAGGCTACCAAGGAGACCTTGTATTTTAAACACTTGAACCTTCGGCCTTTTAAGGTGTGGGAAGATGGAGTTTGGCATAACCGACTTACGCAAAACCCCGTTAAAGAAACTACTGCTTCGGTTGTAATAACCTCAAAAGTGGCAACCATAGAAAAAGATTATGTTTCATCTGCAACACCTTTGACACAGACTGAAGGAAAGACATCCCCACTTGAGCCGATGAGGAATCAGAATTGCTTCGGAGATTCAACTCGACAGAAGTTGCCTGAGGAGGAGAATATCGAAGATGGGAGTAGAAAAAGGAAAAGAGAGGAAGAACAGAACCCAGGCCTGAATGAAACTGATGGGACTTGCAATGGTTCAGAGGCTGAGATAAGTGATAAAGGGAAACATATCTGCAACGATGATGATGTTGATGGTCAGCCTCTCTCGACTGAGCTATCCTCTTATCAGAGCCCGAACGTGGTGTATAATTCAGCGGCTGATGTTGAGAAAACTCCAGCAAAGGGGATTTCTCTTTTTGCAAAGAAGTCGCCATTTTGGAAGACATTTGAGACAAATGACTTGTACAAAAAAGTACCACAAAGTCCTCATTTCAGCCCGCTGTTTGATGCTAATGAAGATATCCGCGAGTGGTCAGCGGTTGGTATGATGGTCACTTTCTATGGGTTATTAGATGAAGTCAAAGATCTGCATCTCGATGCTTCCCCAAGCAAACTAAGTAGCCTCAGTAGTTCTTTTGCCGAGCTCGAGAAACACGGTTTCAATGTAGCAAATCCACAGTCACTGATCAGCAAAGTATCGTCTCTCCAAGCTGGGCGAGCTAAGAAAGCGGAGGAAAGAAAATGCCTTGAGGAGAAGATTGAAGCTGAAGAGGTCGAGAGGCAGAAGGTTGAAGAAGAAATGGCTGAGTTAGAACGCAAAAGTCTGGAGTTGAAGAGACAAGAACTGGTTGCGAAAGAGAAGAAGGAAGCGGTGGACAAAAGGATCATTGAAATGAAATCATGTGCAGAAACCATTGATCAAGAGATTGAAGATGTTGAGCTTGAGTTTCAGACAACTGTCTCAGCTGCATGGTAATTAGATAAAGGAAACAAAACGGTGAAAGACATAAGAGTAGAAATGAAAGACATAAGAGTAGATTTAGTAGTAATGAAAGACATCAGAGTAGATGTAGTAGTAAGTAAAAACCATTATCTGCGTTCTTTATACCCGAATGCTTATTGTAGATGGTGCTTAGTTTAGCTTATCTTCTAAACTAACTACTCTTGTGTAGAACTGATGATGGTTAGAATCAAATCTATCACGTTTCTGAATCATGTAAAAATCCCTTTAATAAAAACTTTTGAAACTCCTAGTATCTATTGTTATTGTCAAACAAAGAACGAAACACTGAGGATAGCTCATAAGTTGAATAAAGCTAGAACCAGTATACAATCACAGATCCAAGTTTTGGTCTAAGCGAAGTAGGAGATGAATCCATTTATTCTTTAATATGTACAGTCACTTCATTCTTCAGCACCAACGACCTTAAAGGTCGGTCTCCTTGTCAAAGATGTCCCAACCATCTTCAACAAGCTCTCTACAGTTGTTCATGGAGGAAGCTGCTGCTTCTGGGATATTGTTGTAGCTTGAGGTTTCAGTCACTCCATTCAATCGCTCAGAAGGATTCTCAAGCACCAAGCTTCTGACAGATGACCCGCATGAACTAGTGTGGCTGGACGAGATGGATTTGGTTAGTGACACTCGGTTGTCAAATCTCTCCTTCAACAGCCTCACATCTTGACAGATCACTGAAATTTCTCCTCTGTTCAAAGAACCAAGAGAGATTAAAAGATACATTCGAATATACCAGATCATTACTTACATCCACAAAAAAAAATAGCTAAAAGATTCATGGGTGTACTAAATAAATGGACTAATGTTCGGTTGCTAACTCGAGAATGGGACTCACTGTAAGGAATCTACGATCTGTCCACGATCCATTAGAAACTCTCGAAGCTGCAGGTGGTGAAGAAGAAAAAAGATGAGATTGTGAAGAATTTTAACTTAAGAGGAAACCCATTGCTAGTGTTTATAACAGTAATTGTACCTTGGAGTTTCCTTCTGCCTCCCGCAGCAGAAGCTTTGTTTCTTGGACTACTCTCTCCATGTTGGCTTCTTGTTCAGCAAGTACCTTAAGTGCAGAATCTTCTTTTTCTTTCTTTTCTTGCTCAGCAGTCTTTTTCATCTCCAATGCTTCCGCTAGTCTTATTTCAAGACTTCCTCTCATCTACAAAGAAACACAATTATATAAACTTCTGTACAGCTTGAAACAGAGTCAGACAATTGGTCATCCAGTCATCCTCAGTTTCGTTTTAACAAGAAGTAAAAAACAAAGACAAACTTATATTCAGCAGATAAAACATGCCTCATCAAGGACAGCAAGAGATTTGTTTCGTTCTTCTGATAAGTTGAGCAACCGGTTTTCAAGCTCCTTCACTTCAGTGGCTAAAATTGACTTCTCTCCATATACTTCTCCAGCGTGCTGCAAAATCATAGTAAATTAGTCTTCACTACAAAATCAAAGCACATTTAGCAAAAATGGCACATTATAAGTAACAATAAATTTACCATGGCATTTGCTTCTTTGGCATGTTCCAGCATCTTCTTGAGCTCCTCAACCTTTTGAAGAGTATCCAAACCTCCCCTAGAAGCTCCCTCCTTTGACTTCTCTGCATCCTTCTCTTGAAGTTCAACTTCTCTCATCAAATTCGTAACCGAGTCCATCACAGCAAGCAAGGTTTTCTACATCATTTCACAAAAAAGAAAAAAAAATCATATTGAAGTATCAATCACAAACTCTGATTTCAAAAAACATAATAATGGGTTCTTTACAATCTACCAAAATGCAAATAAGTAACTAGAAGTTGGAAGCATTAGTCTAGCTTTCTATACCCTCAGCACCAGTGAACATGACTTCAATGTATGTAAACAAAAGTAAGTATATTTTCACAGGCTTAAAGAATGTTAAGATTATATGTCATACCTTGTTAGTTTTGGCATCTTCGATAATCTCCTTAAGGTGATCGACGCTGCATACGTGGGTCGATGTACTAAAAGCATCACCAATTTCAGTATCACCATTTTCACAGACCAATGAACAATTTGAAGTCTCGTCCACAACATTTGTACTCCCAGAGCCAACTTCAAAACATGAATCCTGCTCATGTATAGTTGTTGTATTATCTCCAGAAGTTAAACAGACCACCTTTGTTACATCATTTTCTGCTTGATTCCATGTCATATGAAAACCACGATCTTCCAAAAATTCGCAAGTCAATTTCTTATCTTGGGGAATGGCAGAGACCACTGACACAATATTATCCTCTGGCGCATGCAAGGCAAATTTTGTGTTGCTCGAAACATCAAAACACCTACCAAATTCATAGTTTTCGTGCTCTTTTCTATGAGCTTCATTGAAAGATTGAACTTCCTCACTAACATCATGAACAACATTTGATAGTATATTTGTTAGCTCGTTCAAATTCGAGATCAAATCAGTATGTGGAGCACTTCTATCGTGGTTACTGGTAACCAGGGGGGAAGTTTGTGAAGAAGAAGAAGAAGAAGATATGCTAGAAACTCCAAGAAATGAGCGACACCTAGAAACAACATCTCCCAGAATAGAAGATATGCCCTCTGAAAAGAAAAGAAAAGAATACGAAACCTCAAGCTGTGAATGTACAAGCCAGAGTAACAAACAATTTCATGGGATAAATTGTACCTTGGCGCTCTGTAATACTTGGGAACGACCTGTTGGAAGATTGGGTTGGATTATGGGACAAGTCTGAGGTAATTGAAGGAAGAATCTCTGAAAGAACAACAGCAGCAGCTTCATCAGCATCCTTGGGGTGTTCTATAGCAACAGCCCTCAAAATTCGTGCATCAATCTGCAACATATATAATATGGTTACGATTAGAGTAGGAAAGACATGAACAAAAAAGGAAAGATGAGCTGTAAGTGAAAGCTATTTGATCAAACTAATATGCATAATACAGCAGTTGAATATACAAGTTCTTGGTGCACTCTTCTGAGCAAAAATATGGATTTGCTAAAGTTGTAATAAATCAAATAAGAGACCAGTATTTACCTGAGGAAATAGTTCCGTTAGAGTGCGATAAACAGAACCGAAACCCATCAGTGAATGCTAATAAACCCTGCAGGAAACAACAAAGCCAAATATTAAGAGTCTGTCTCTTTGATGCAAAGAGAACGGATAAGAAAAACGACACCAAGCCCTTTGTGTGTAGTATTTCCAACGTACACTACTATATAAACTAGACCCTAAGCAATTAAATCATGTAAGCACTACGAATTCAGTATCACCTAAGCTTGGTAAAATAGGAAAACATAAGGTGATTACATAAACCCTAATCAACCAGAACAAAAAAAAAAAAAAAAGAAGAGAGAAAATTTTAGTCGTCAGAATGAAAAGATCAAATTATACTTTTTTCCAAAACATCAAAAATTCACACAGGGAAATCAAATTTTGAATTCGACGATCCTCGGTGTTTTTTATTTTATTTTTAATTTCCAGAGACAACCGAAGATATATAGAACAAACCTTTTCCAAATTATCGTTTTAGATCAAAAGCGAGTGCTGTGAGGATGAAGAAGAAGAAGAAGAAGAAAGGATGTGTAAATGACTTGCTCCGTAATTGTTTCTCTTCTCTTCAAGACTTGAGGACTAAGTCGGTACTCCGAGGGTATTTTAGTCAAGTTAATAATTTTGTCTGACGTGTCTTTCTCGGTTACGATTTTGAAAGATCCATGGAACAACCAATGGGCAACCGACAAGTATTGGGTTTTCGCGTACCAGGAAAGTATATTAAATTGGCTACTATATTATTATCCAACACAAAAATAATACCGAATTAAAATGTTTTTTTGTCTTGGAAAAGATTCCTAAAACGATCACATATTATTTTATTTGGATATTTAATATTTTTTGTTTAAATAAAAATATCCCATGTATTAAATTAAGAGGAATTCTTTTGGATAGTACATTTTAAATTTTCTTTTCCAAAAAAACTATAATTTATGTTTTAATTTTTGGTGTAGAATTTTTTTAAAAAAAAATGGATTGACTATTTATTTAGGGTATAGTTTAGGATTAAATTAGCATATTTTAGTGTTTAGGATTTACAAATTAGTTTTAAATGTTAAAAATATTAGAAAAATACATTTTAATGATATTTTTGGTATTAAAAATATATTTTAGTTTTTAATTTTGTGGTATTTTTAGAAAACATATATTTTAGTAGTATTTTTGGAAAATAAAACTCATAATGATATTTTTCAAAAAATACTCTAAAAAAAATTTTCATTAAATTAATATTAAATAAAATATTATATTTAACTCGTTGGTGGATTTCAGTACGAAACTAATAGCGTTGTTGTGAGATACTGAGCTTGGACATTGAAATACAATCTACAATATATCTCACTTGTGAAAAGAAGCAATGCTATACATTGCCTCTTTTAGCAAGCACTTGGTGAGTTTGCTATAGACTTACCGTCTACGTTAAATTGTTTTTTTTAGAAATTTCAAATCTGGATATATGGCATTTCAACTGGTATAAATGTGGATATTAAACCTCCTAATATTGTTTTAAAATTCTATGGATAAATTGCTTTTGAAGGAGTGATTGATAAAATATTTTGTGCATGAGATGTTCATATTGATTCATGACTTACGATGAACATATTTTTTTTTTGGTGAATCGACGGGAGATACGATGAACATATTTTAGGCATACGAATGAAATTCTGTTTTTATAATAAAATTATCAAATTATGATAAAATAGTCAAGTTATTGGGCTTTATTTCATAAATCTCGATTAAATATCCAAATCTAGTTTGATTTGAAGAAGAAATTTTTTAATCAGATATATGTATTTTTGAATATCTCTCGGAATTGTTTATTTTTTGCATCAAATAATTGGGACTGAAATTTTTAATTATGAGTTTTGTTAATTATTTCCATCACAAAAAAATATATATATATATATATATATTTTCCACCACAATCGCTCATCCGTTTTTAGTGATATATATAGTTGTTTTATATATCACTAGTGTTGAGCGATAAGAGGCTAAATTGGCTTAGTGTTGAGAGACGGCACTGGTTCGACTCCACAGAGTCTAAATTATATTATATAATTTTTCGAAATAGAAACGATATCTTTTGGATGTTGCTAACGGCAAATTAATGGGAATATACAATAGCCAAGTTTATTTTATCAAGTTTGACATCCATTATAAATCAGATCTAATCCACTTGCTTTTCAGCCTTCTTCCCAATCGATATCATCTTCCTCACCACCCGAAGCTTCTGCTTCCACGTTCAAGTCCACTTTGTAGTTTCCATTAGCTGCAAGTGCGTAACATGTTAAGTTATCAAATTAAGTATATCATATACTAAACTTTATACATCATGCACCCATGACACACCTGTAACCTATCTTATAAAGTTATATATGAACATGTCTTAACAACTATCTTCTTGCTGAAGCTCTGCGATTTCCATATATAACTAAAACGGTTCCTTATAACTAGCTAATGCATATGATCAGATAGTACGCGAACTGGAAACGAAGTATTCAAACTCAAACTGACCTGCCACAGGAGCCTCTTCTTCCCATTCAACATCTTCCTCTTCACGTTTGGCCTTCTTAGCAACCTGACGACCTGGGGATGTAGTTGCCAATTGAATCTCATATTCTTGTTGATTAAGCCTCGCAGCAAGCTCTTGCTGCTTCAGCAGTTCGGCATAGTAAGCTTTCAGATATTCATCCTGAAGCAAAATGAAAATACTGTATTAATTTTTTGGAAACAAGATGCTACTGTGGGGGTCTGAATAGGCACAAAGGATTTGTCCCCAAAAGCACACCTTCAAATCCTTTTCATCGCCATTTCCAATGACTGATTTCTTGTCATCTGAAAGTTTTGCTGCTCCTCCTGAACCACCATCAACTTTTGCTACCTGTCTCATTTCTCCTCTTTGTTCCTCGGTCAGATTCATTCCTTGCTTAATCATCCATGGAGGTAAGACTTTCAGACTGGAATCTCCACCTTTAGATTTAACATCTTCGTTCCCGTCACCAAGGTTAACCTCAACCTAAGCATATAAGATTTAAGAAATCAACCAACCACAGTGAAAGAGGAAAAATGCAGGGAGATTTTGCAAATATATATTCGGACACATAAACTGGCTGGAGAAAAACAGAAAGGAAATTTCATTACAGTACCACTGCCTTATCTTCCATTATAACATTGAACTTCTATAAACATTAAAAAGCGTAACTAAAGGTCACCTTTGTCTCTCCGAGAAATGGCATTGGTGTTGAACCATACCCACCCTGTGACCTCAAAGGATCATTAGGATTAAGATCACCATTTGCACGAGCAGCCATAGCTGCACGAGCCTCCCATGCCAGAAAAGATCCAAATTCAGGAATTGGTAGATCTTTTACTCTATCTAATTGATCCATCAGAGGTTTCATTTGAGCCTGCACATTATACTCAAATTGAGCCAACGCACAAACAACATAACTAACCCCAAGAAAACACAACCAAGGATTTAAGCAAAAGTAATAGCTAAAAACAGCACAGTATAAATCGACATCACAGAAACAAATTTCTGAAACTGTCAACCTAAAAGTAAGTATGAGATGATGTGGAAGATGAGCTAGTATATCAGAGCAAGTATGAGATGATGTTAAAGATGAACGAGTATATCAGCATGGCTAAAGTAAAAGTGCAGACCATTATTTTAAAACCAAAAAATAAACAAGTTACACATAAAAAGAAGAATGCATTGGGAAACAATACTCAATTCTTCATACAGAATATAGAGATTGTTGCACACGCAAAATTTAACATTTCTCTTATCAGAAGTAACCATGAGCATAACACCAACCACCAAGGAGACATAAAATTACAGCGACAGACTATTCTCAAGCATTGGTCATTTAAGATCTGATCTCTAGAAAAACAACTAAATCATTCTGGTGTCATCATGAAACGATGCAAGTTTCACAGTGAAGCTTTATCAAATTTTATAGAATATTGAACTGAATCACTAAAACAATATACACAGACCTCCAACCTCTGAAGCATATCTTTTAGTTTTTCCCGCCGCCGTCTCCTTCCATTATCATCTCCATCTACTACTTCTTCGGAAGTTAGCTTGTTACATTCCACAACAAGTTCACTATTGCAATTTTCGCAATGGAAAGAATCGTCTTCCATAGAAATTAATCTCAGAGCATCCAGCGCATTATATCTAACCAGAAATGAAAATTTATTTAGCTTTCATGAACATAAACCACTCATGAATATAAAGATTTTATAATAACATAAAGAGTAATGGACTTTACTTCCTTTGGCAGTTAGGACAGCCATACTCCTGAACAGTATTCTTATCTTCTAGCTCATCTTTGAGCTTTTTTTTCATCCGGTGCAGTTTACAACGAACAACATCAGATATCTGTTAACGAAATAAAACAAGAAGTACAAACAAAGTATAGGGAAGTTTAATTAGATACAAAGAAAAAAGACTCCAGTGAACTGAATAATAAAAACTTAGGGACATGAGGCGTACCTGTGCATAATCAAGACAGCAATACGAGTGGGTGTGGAGCTTAACTTTGTCCTCTGCTCGGCCATCAGTTGTAGCAGCCACTGCAGCACTATACATCTTTACACCCTTTGCAGTCTATTAAAAAGATATTGAATCACTAAAGTAGCAAAGGCAAGAAATGTAAAGGGATTAACGACAAGCAAACATTCAAGACAGATAGAACATGTGGTGAAAGAATCCAACTACAAGTTTCACAAGGGGAATATCAACCCAACAGGTAGATAGAAGAACCACAAAATCTGGAAAAGGAGTAGCCAACCTATCATCTATTTTCTCACACTCATGTTTTTCAGTTATTGTTATATACTAGATATTTAATGACATTATGCTACTTATCCTAGGACTAAAGAGTCGCTGAGTTACAGCTGAGACATATTGCGCAAACACTACAATCTGAAAGAAGATAGTTTCTGGACAAACCTCTTTCCGGTGGTCACGCATAATCAATTTTTGTTCTTCAAAGAGTCTTATAATTTTTCGAAGTTGCTTGGCGTGCAACTGCAAATCTTTTGCCAAGTCTTCTTCTCTAACCCATTGGCGCCTAGCAGACATAGAACAAAAGAGATAACAGAAATGAAAGCCAGTAAAAACAAAAATACAGCAGGTTTAAATAGCCAATCCACGCAATATCAACCTTAAACAGACCATGATCAAGTTTCAAAAGTGAATCTAGCATTATCCTCAAACCCAGGTGACAGGGAGATGTGAGCCATTATCTACCTAATAGAGTCTTAGGTATAAAATAATACACACAAACCTCGTCAGCGCATCCAGCACCACAGCGGCAATCCCTCTGTTGTCACTTTTTGCAGATTTCTGCTGATTATCACTCTTTGTAGTATAATCATCATAGAAAGCCCTCGCTACGAGCCTCACCAGCCTAGAAATTAATGTAAAGCAAAAACAAATTGATAAGGACACTAATTTAAGTGAGCATATATATAAAGGGAAGATTTTAGACATATTTGTAACTGAATAGAAACAAAAGAGATACGTGGTATAGAGAGTTACTTGACAAATGGCTGGAGCACCACGGTTTTCTGCACCGGGCTTGATTTTTCCATGGACTAAAAACAACCCCCAAACACTTTGAGGAACCAGTGTTAGGTTCGTGTTTGATACAAATTCTGCATTGGTACAGCAAATAAACTTAAAACAGATCAATCCCCAATAAGTAACTAACAAAAGCTAAGGAAAAAGGTGAAACTTCACAAGGAACACGAAATTAGGGTTTATAAGTCAGAGGGATGAACTCAATTCGAATTAACAACAATTAGAACCCTGCTGAGCTAGGTGAAGTTTCTACAAGAACTGAGATATCTATATAGGTTAATCAAATCTCTCTGATTTTTGTAAGATCACTAGTCGAAGAGGAAGATCGACGAAGCTTACCGGCAAGTTCGATAGAGAGAATACGGCGCAGAGAGAGATAGTACGGACCAAGAACAACGACAACAAATTCGTCAAATAGCGTTAAAGTCTCACTTGTGTTTTTTCCTTTTTCTAATCGTCCTCTTTGTCTTTTTTTCCTTTTTTCCTAATCCGTTTTTGAACTTTTTTTTTACTGATTTTACTGTTATTTGCACCTCAAAAAAAATATTATATATATATAATGTATGTTTTTAGGTGTTAACAGACATATTTCAAAATTCTTTGTATTTTCATATTTTCAATTTAAAATATTTTAGCTTTCAGTTTAATTGTTAATTGAATTACACAGAATTTCGATTTTTTGCCTGAATATGTTGACATAATAACATAAATTTCAATTACAAAATCTTGGTGGATTTCCCTTTTATTAATGAACTCAAATCATCATTCCAATAAAGAAGTAAAATACTGCCACAGAAATTGGATCGACTCATATGCATTTTAGTATTTTACTCAGGACTTTACTTTGTGAGGCCTTTTGAGAAGTGGCTTATAATATGTACTATATTCTTATGGACTGCTCTCATACAACCTTTTCTCTCGCTTGGCGGATTAACGAGAAAGACGGACGTCGGACACACATTTTGTGTCCTTGGCCACTTCAGTGATCATACTTCTGCGTATCGTTCAAGCTGATCAAACCGGTATATACCATTCTATTGATTTAGAAAGATACAAAACTCTTTACTTTTCTTAAGACACAACATACAACAAAGTAAGTGCTAAGAGACGTGACACTGAACCTTCAACCTTAAACTAATAACAGAAGCTAAAGTAAAAACTATCTATCTGATCCTGCTAATAGAGGCGCTGTGACTTTTGTTGTGTAATTTTTCGTACTTCGTACTTCTTTCCCAACAAGCTTCTTCACAGTTTGTCCTACCTTGCTTTGAGCCTCCTGTACCACACACAAGAGTCGTTAATACCCCCACACCCCACAAGTTTTAAACTTTGATTCAATAAGATTCCGAAGATTTGATCAGCCAATGTTGCTTGCTTACCACTGGTAAAGCACGTGTTATGGATGATACAGCAGCCGCCGCCACACGTATTCTGAAATAATGGCAGAATAATACTTTGTAATGAACCTTTTGCAAAAAAAAAGAGAAGTGACTCAGAAATAATAAATACCACTAGAATACCTTTTATGTACGTCGATGTAAACGTCAGTTTCATCTACTATTTCTGCCTGCTCTTGCAGAAAATCACCAACGAAAAGCTTCTTAAGTTAAATGTGCATATATGGAAAATTTTGTGTAAAAGAGAGCTTTTTCAAGTCACGGTGATGATTAACAGGGGCAGAGGATCAAATCAGAAAGAGAAAAACGAATAAGTATTAGATCATACTTGTAGAAGTTCTTCAAAGACATCCTCTAATGTGATGATGCCAATCACTTCTGCATCTTCGTTGTCTTCCAACAAACGCGGTAAGTCTCTTTTCACAATACCGTTCTGTTGGAAATTTCTTCCCCTGTTTTTTACATGCTTTGGTACTTTATCAATATCCACAACAACTTCATGGGATTCATGCTTCAGCAAAGGAGCCGTTATATTACTACTCTGGTAAAACTTCATATATTCTTTGGGTGTTTCTCCATTACTTAGCAACTGCATGTTATTCTTTATATCTTTGTCTTTAACTTTGACAACTGCAGCCATGTGACTGCTTCCCTTTTGAAATTCATTGAGGATATCGTACAATGGCATGTCTGATGGAACCCTGGAAAGGCAATGTATGGGAAATTATAATTATAATTTTCATGTGGATTTATATGATAAGCAGATCAAGCTCAGGGAAGCAAGATATATACCTTGGGATCTTCCTGATGGAAACAGAACTTACAGGTGCCTCTGTCTCAGCTCGTACAGTTAAAAGAGACTTAACCTAGAATACAGCAGCAGATACAGTCAGATAGGTAATCTAATAGGGTTCAGTGAAACGAAGCAATGCAAAAGTTTGACACGAGTACCAGTAGAAGCCCAATGATATTTTTCGGATTCCCCAAGTAGACCGGGATTCGGCTATGACCTCGGGAAAGTATTTTTCCAACTGTTTCCCTGAATTTAGAAGGTGAAAATTCATGATGTCAAACCATGCGCTATTACTAAGCAGATAGACCAAGGAAAAGAACTTAAAGTCTACTCTGTATAGCAATTAACAATATGAATTATAAACTAATCATCCCAATGGAGTTTCTCAAATTCGTTTTTCCTTTGAAATATTTGACAGATAGAGGAAGCAAATCGTCGATTAAAGGCCAACTAAAACCTTGACTCACCAGTCTAACTTTGTATTTACATCTAGGGAAAATGTTGATTCAATGGGCGTCATAGCCTCTTCAGCAGTCTGAACTTCCAGTAAATGAAAGCATATGAATTAGATCATTGGAGGTAATCTCGAAGCAAAAAATAACTAAATTATGTTCTCAATTGGAAGGCGAAAGTATCAAAGTATAGGCATCAGTTCAACAAAGTATTTCATCCTATACATGCAAGCAATCTCATAAAACAAATCTACATGGAGATGAAGAGTCTAAATCCGGATCAATGGGGCTTAACAAGTAAATCACTTCATTCACAACATAATTTGTTCATCAGTGTGAAAAACTCAAGATTCAGGGGGAGCTGAAATGACCTCCGGAGGTTTCAGAGATATGTACGGGTAGTTCATATACATACCTTCTGGCTCAAATCCAGGGCTCCGCTTATAATCATTGTTTCCTCGTGTGTCAGTTCACCCCCCTTCCCAGCCTATGTTGGAGAGAAATCTCATGTCAACGAATTAATTTTGACAATCAAGTAACTTAATTAACTACTTCACAAAGCAGACAAGGTTACAACGTATATCTGTCCTTTTTCCTATTATGGATATTTCTAGTTAAATTATAAAGAGAATCTACCTCTTGGCTGTGAATTGAGACAAGGGCTTTCAGCTGAGCTCGCCTAAATAGTGTGTCATTATGTCCAATTACAGCATCCAGAACCTGAGGCATATAAAACGTTGAATAAAAGTAAACATCAACAGCTGCATACCACTCTGACATAATAAATGTATCAACGTGTCTAGATGATATAATCAATGCAGTTAGCTCTAACAAGTACCACTTCTTAAAGATATTGCTAGAGTTTTCAACAAATCTCCCATTCTTCCATGGTTGTAACATAACTTAGCTGACTATTGTAGCAACTAGTCAAACAAAACCGAACACTAAGGTTAACTGACATTTACTACTCTAACGAAGAGTAGTATACGACAACATCACCTTTCCGATAGGGTAAGCAATGGGATAGCAGATTATCATCAAAATGCGAACCAGCCACAAAAAGTTAGCGCCAACAGCAAGTCCGTATCTCGAGCATATAGCTTGCGGAATTATCTAGTAAAAGAAAATGCAACAACATACTGTGATTAGTATCAGATCAAATGGAATGTGCTGAATATATCACAAACTGAAACTAAGACGATATGTAAAGAAAGTTACCTCTCCAAAAGCAAGGACAAAAGTAACTGAAAGCAAAACAGCCACAAATGGGTGGAATATCTTATCTAGGCATATAGGAAGAGCCTGGAAACAATATAACCAAAAGATCCAAGCACAAAATTCACTGATTCTGAGATGAACAAAAGCAGTAATTTATTGTTGTGAATCAGAACAACATTGGGGTAGCAAATTAAGATTTTACCTCCATGGCAGCTGCATTGCATAGAAGCAGAGTCACAAGAAGTTGATGCTGCTTCTTAACCACAGGCAACATAGCAGCTTGCAGTGTCAAGAGTAATAAGAAATTAAAAACCAACCAATATTTTTATATTAAAAAAATAAAAGGTTCTACAGCCAAAGAAAGTGGATTATAGTCTGGTCACATAAGAAAAACTAAGTAGCCGTACCGGCCTGTTTTTTCTCGGCGGAGGTTCCACTCTGCTCGAGAATCTCTAGCTCAACGAGACCAAGGGACATTAGTCCAAGGGTGAGTCCCGACATTATCCCAGCAAAGAGAACGAGGAAACACGCCACACCGACGACTCCGAACCACCACGGCGAACCGAATCGGATGTCTTCGGCTTCAAAGACGAAGCTGTTGAGCGAATATGCGGCTCTTACCAACGCCAAAGTGCTCAGAAAAACCATTGCCACGCTTCGATTTGGTTGCTTGAAGAGACACAGCCACAGCGACGGAGCTAGCTAGAGAGAGAGTGTGTTCTATTTGTGATGTGAAAGAGGTTTTGTTATGAAGAAGAAGAAGAAGAAGAAGAAGAAGTTAGAAGACGATGAAAGGGATTTGATACGGGGATACATGGACCACCTGACACGTCAGCATCCAGCATGCGTTTTTTCCTTATTTTTCTCTTTTCCTTTTTTCAGTTCACATTTTTTCTTTCACTCATGCGTTCTTTATTTATTTTATTTGTTGACTACGAATAATAACTATCAGTACTTTTTTGTGACAACGTGATAATTGTTCAGTACTGATCTATCGCTCTTATTTATTTGCCTACACCGGTTTTAACGCTCGAGAAAGATGCATCTCACCTCCAAGTGATCACGTTATTCTTGAGATTATCGTATGTATTTTTTTGACCGTTAGGAACAAAATAAGTAAACCTTTTTTACACTATATTTTACGAGTGACAAAGAGCTAATGTGACTGACAAAAGAATAAGGAAAACTTTATGTTAAGTCGTAAATTTTCGTCCTGCCCAACACAAGTTGTAACATTAAAGATTTTTTATGGATGTCAACGCGAATGATAAATCGTTGATGTAATCCTTGATGGGTTTAATTCATCCCTAATATCTTAATATAATTTTGATTTGCTTTATATGGGCCTTTGGGTCCAAATTATTAGCTCAATGTTTGGACAATTAATGGCCCAACAAGAGTTCGCGGCAGTGAAACCGGAACGAGCGAGACGCAACAGAAATCTCAAGATCGAAGAACAGTGAAATCGAAGAATTGAAGCACAAGCTTCTCCATCTCTGCAATCTCTCTATCCATTTCTACAACTCATCTCTCTCTCTCTCTCTCTCTCGATCGCATGTTTCGTTTTCCCAATCGTAGGAGAGAGAGACGACGCGTCTGAAGCATATCTCCGGAATCGTAGGCCAAAGACTAAAAAAGCGGCGAGAAGAGACACGATTTCGCTTTGGGAGGGAAAGAGAAATCTGGCGAAAGTGGAGGGCCTAAGGGCGAGGCCGTGGCTGAAGCCAGGAGCTTGTATCAATGGAGGTCAATTTGACTACGACGGTGCGGAAGATGATCATTCGAGGCCTTGGTGGCGGCGTCGCCTCAGATCCTTGTATATGGCGGCGATGTCATTCTCCCCTTCCACTTTCCGAATCGCAATCTCTCTCCTCCTCCTTGTTGCTATCGTCACCGCCTTCACTTTTCTCCCTGTCGAGCAGGCAATTTCTCTCTACTCATTTGTATTTCAGTGTTTTAGTAGTGAATGTGGCAAAAATAGTGTATCTATCTTCTATGCTTGGCACTTTATTGAGCCGAGTATTTCTGGAGCTCGCTAGATCACTATATCTCTGTTTGGAATATACTGTTTCTCGGTTGTTATATTTTTTACACTAGGTTGAGCTGAGCGAGAGTTTTTTATTTGCTTATCAAGTTAATCAAGAACATTGCTAGACTTGGTGATAGAGAAATTTTCATAGATCAATGATAATTTATACATGATTTTGAATCATTGTTATGTACCCTTACTGCAGAAATTGAAGGACTTCTTGCTATGGATTAAGGAAGATCTTGGACCTTTTGGTCCCCTTGCATTGTAAGTTTTCCGTGCCTGCTACTTGTTTTGGTTCTATACTCTCGTTTCAACAACTTATTGGTTTATTTTGCTGGCATTGTTCTATGGCTGCCTTATATAATCTTGTGATAATCCGTTTTTACCTCCTTGAAATTTTCAGGGCGTTGGCTTATATTCCTCTCACAATTGTGGCGGTTCCTGCTTCTGTACTCACGGTAGGTGTGGGTTCATAACTATCTAGTGAACTCTTGGGTGCTTTTTAACATGTTTGTTCGTAATTTTTCAGTACAAGATAGGTTTCTAGGACTTGACTTTTAGTCCCTGTTCCGATAGTCTTAATTTTCTCTCTGCAGCTTGGTGGTGGTTACCTTTTTGGCCTGCCTGTAGGGTTTGTAGCCGACTCTCTTGGAGCTACATTAGGTGCAACAGCGGCATTTCTACTTGGTAGAACGGTAGGTCTCTTCAGTATGGTACTATCTATTTTAATAATTATAGCTTGCAATAGTGTTACTTGCCCGTAAGTCCGTAACATCAGAAGTACTGATACCTGTTTTTTGCATCTTCACAATTGTGGCATCTTGGCTATCTCATTGTTGCTAATGATTTATCTTATGTCCTTCTGGTATCATGCAGATTGGTAGATCTTATGTCACCTCAAAAATAAAGCATTATCCTAAGTTTCAAGCTGTTTCCGTGGCAATTCAAAAATCTGGCTTCAAGGCATGACACCCTCTCAATTAATTGACATTTCGTTTTTCTTCATAGAAGCTAGATCTGTGACCAACAGTATGGCAAAGTACCTTAAATTCCTGGCTACGTTTAATAGGTTTTCTACTAACTACATAATAATTTCTTCCTTTTACAGATAGTTTTACTTCTACGCGTTGTCCCCATACTGCCCTTCAATATGGTGAATTACCTCCTATCTGTAACTCCTGTTCGCTTAGGGGAATACATGCTGGCCACTTGGTTGGGAATGATGGTATTGACATTTCCTTAAAATTCGCTTGCATGTTTGCCATTTATACTTTGATAGTGGTAGAAGAAGAGCCTAGTGCTTTGAGCTTTGTTCTTACACCCGAGAACTAATCTTTTGAAATGTTTTGATGTAACAGCCCATTACATTTGCGCTAGTTTATGTTGGAACTACTCTGAAAGATCTTTCTGATATTACACATGGATGGCATGAGGTGTCAGTATTTCGCTGGGTAAGTTTTCGTTCTTTTTCTTCCACTTGACTACTAGATTGGAAATGATAGTCGATTACCTGGCTGAAGATACTCTGCTGTAATGCATAATTACGTATCACTTATAATGTATGTTGAGAACAATAGGTTTAGAAGTTTGTTAGTGTATTTATGAGGTTTACTGTAAACATCTTGGTGTCTTTACCATAATATAATGTTTAAGTTGTGTTTGCTTAAATATCCTGACTGTGATGATTAGTTAACCAAATCCGAACTCAAAAGCATCCATATATATATGTAAGGAATAACATTGTGATAGTCTCGCATTGTTATTAGCTGCGGTTTGAATTGCTTTGAAATATCTCTGTATGGTAAGCCTGATTGCTAATTCTTCTGCATGGTCACTTGTGGATGCAGGTAATCATGATGGTTGGCGTTGCTCTAGCTGGTAAGTCTATTCTGTAAATAATATATATAGCTTCACGTCATATGATCAGTGGTCTGAAAATGACACCCTGTGGTCTGAGATTTGACACGCATTTTTTTTTTGGGGGTTTTGAATTATGTGGGAGCAGTAATTCTGATAATATGCATAACAAGAGTGGCGAAATCATCCTTGGACAAAGCATTGGCTGAGAATGGCGCTGATTTAGATGGGAAGAAGAATGACGACGCTTCCGTGCTCCTCCCCATCGCAGAACCACCACCGGTTCTACACGAGGCTGTCGTTATCAGAATCGACCCATCCAATACTTGAATAATATAGAATAGATCAGAAGAAACCTCTTGAGTTTGTAAATTTCACGAATTTTTTTTTTTACCGAGGGAGAATATTAGAGACGATTTGTATAGCACATCATAATACCATTTATTCACCGTTTAATCCGTTTTGTCTTCATTTAGTTAATTTTTATTTACTGGAGTTTTTCAGAATATTGTATACTAATTAACCCGAAATTAGTTTTACTCGAGTCCATGTCAGACGGGTCGGGTCGGGTTTGCGGCATATTCCATGGCCTTGAATTGATACGTTTGCGTCTGAGGTACAGGTAGTTCTGGCATTTGTTTTTTACATCTTCGAATTCCCAAATCGTTGCTTCCGTCGGTCTCCTCCGTGAATTCTCGTGGTGCTTGCCTTGTCTAACCGCAATAACACCTCGAAACCAACCTATTGTGAAAGAGTCTTCCTTCCCTTTGAAAGAGAAGAGTCTCGTGGCTCGGTTTTCTGTTCAGATTAGCCGATATACTCTCCATTCGTTGAATCATGGCGGCTACCAATGTCATGGGGCGAGATGATAGCCTTCTTATTGATCCCCTTAGAGGTAAATTCGAAGTGTTTAATTTTGACTCTTTTTCTAAGCAGATGGATAATCAATGAGTGATAGGCCGGCCCGTGTTTCCTTATAATTCGAAAACTTTCTGTATTGGGGAATTTAGGGTTTCTGATTATTGGGAATTGTTTTTTCGTTTCCTGGGAATGAATTTCTTAGGGGTTTACTTGCAGGTGATACTTCTGCTTCTCGTGGCCTCTCGCTAGAGAAGAAAATTGAGGCCCTTGAGAGCCTGACAGGACAAGTTAGTGCCTTTTCGCTCTTGTTTTTATCTTCCCATTCAATTTTCTCCGAAATGCTGTCAATTCTGATGTTCAGCCAATTTTTCTACCCTGGTATCATTTCTGTATTCTCCAATTAATACAGTACTTGAGATGTGATTGTTCTGCATTCTTCATCCAAAGGTTGGTTGGTAAATTTGTACTACGTAATGAGTTTTAAATGCTTATGCAGGTTAGTAACCGACGGTCTCGTAGGTGGTTAAATGATCGTATTCTGATGGAACTTGTTCCTCGTTTAGATGCCCAAGAAATTAGAGGCTTGTTTGCTCCACCACCATGGGGTAATATAACATTCCATTCAAACTTCACTCTTCCTATATTAATCTCTAATTTACTTGTGATTCGCCATGTTTTCTTAATCTGTTCGGTGTTAGGTTTATGGTTTCACTGACTCTACGTATGCTCTCAACAGGTGATGACGTGCCACCCTCAGCCTTTTCTTTGACTAATGTTGGAGAATGGGACAAATTTAGAAGCATAGACATGGACAAGGAGGTAATTTAGCTGTAGTTTGGCACTGAGCGTCAGAAGAATTAGAAGTTATTGTAATAATGATCTGAAAATATGTGACTTGTTCTTCATACTTGGTATAAGTCTTAACCGTAATTGAAAGCTGTGTTTTTCTCAGGCCAATATCATGGATTCCTTGAATCAGTCATCCGTGAGGCAGAGAGGTCGTATGGATGCTGATAAAACCGCTGTCTTGAATGCTTGGCGAAGAATTGATTGTAGGACAAGAGACGCTCTTCGACGTAGCTTTTTACCAGGACTAATCGAGGGATATGAGGTATAGGTTCTTCAAAGATGACAATTTTAGCCATATATGTAAATATATAGACCTTTTGCTCCCAGACTTCAGACTCGTTTATTATTTTCACAGAACTGTATAAGTCATTTCATCGATGAAGGTGGTGAAGGAGATATCCTTGAGCTAAAGGTTCAAGACCCATTCCATAGATTGCTTTTGCACGGCGTTTGTGAGGTATGAGCCACGACATGTCCTGAGCTGTTGAGATGTTGAATAAACATATAGAGATTTTTTATTATTTAAAACCACGTAAAGAAACTATTTTCTTTGGAGCAGTACCACAATTTGGTATCAACAACTGCGACAGAACAAATAGGAAGGATAGCAATGAAGACAACAAGCATCAAGTGGAAAAAGAGTGGGGATTCAGGAGAGAAACCGAGCATCAGCCTCGCACATTTCCTTAGGATGTCAAAGGAAGGAGCTTGGTAACATCACATGTACTCCCCTTTGTAGCTGTAATTTTATTAATGAATAAAAAAAAAAAAGCTGCATTGGCCTCAATTTGAAAGGCTCTTTATGTAGCAAAAAGATCTCAAGACTCTTTCTCTCACTTTGCTACTTCCCCTGTGTGGTCTTGTAAGCTTGTATTGTAATGGTTTTATGATTAAAGAACAAAATAGACAATAAATTTTACTCTAGGATTGTGAATTGTACAGTCTTATTACAACTAGCCTGTGTTTTCATGAAAGAAATGGTGCAATGTATTAGGAGTTTCTGTGTCTCTCACAGCAATGTCATCTTAGCCACCGCCTCATCTCAGTAGAGTCGTTCTTTACTAAGCGTCTAAGCCCTTTAGACCCGTGCATAGCCAAACAGCTCACCCAGTAGACGTTATTAGTTAGATAAAGGAAACAAAGTTTTTAAGTATTTCCGTATGTAGAAGAATGAAAAGGTTTAGTCGCCCGTGGGTTAGGTAAGCCGTATTTGTAAGCCATCTCAGTGAGCGACTTCACAAAATAATTCAAGTAAAAAAAAAGAACACAAAAATGGCGGACAAAAAGAGAGTGAGGTACTTCATCGTTGATGCATTCACTGAATCCGCCTTCAAAGGAAATCCAGCTGCTGTTTGCTTTCTGGAAGACGGTAACGAGAGAGACGACGTGTGGCTTCAGTCTCTTGCTACCGAGTTCAACATCTCCGAGACTTGTTTCCTCACTCCGATCACCTTGTCCGACGGTGGTTTCCCTCGCTTCCGTCTCCGCTGGCTTACTCCACTCGCTGAGGTTTGCTATAATCGCTCGCTCTTTTGGTTTTGATGATCTTAGATTGTTCAGTTGACTTTTTTTTTTATAGACTCTTTATGAAATTTGATTATGACAACATTGGAAGATCTGGAGATTGTGAGGGGGTGGAAACGAAGACAAGTATAGAGATCTTGTATGCATGAGATTCCTCTCTTTTCTCTTGTTGCAGGTAGATCTGTGTGGTCATGCAACGTTAGCATCTGCTCACGTTCTCTTCTCAGCTGGTTTGATTGGTTCGGAAACAGTTGAGTTCGCCACAAGATCAGGGATTCTAACGGCTAAACATCTCAAAAAGGATGCATCAAAAGAAGAATCATCAACCATGTCCATCGAATTGGATTTCCCTATTGTTCCAACTTTTGAAGTCAACTACACTGATGATGATCTCTCTTTGTTCTCCAAAGCCATGAATGGAGCTACCATTGTTGATGTTAAAGCCACAGAGAAAGACATCCTCGTAACTATATATATATATATATTTTAAGCCAGGCATCTCTGTCTCCATTCTTGCTATGGCGCCATATTGAACCAAATAATTTGGATGATTTGCAGATCGTGCTTCCATCTTGGCAATCTGTCGTTGAACTGCAGCCGAGACTAGAAGAGATATCGAAATGCCCTTGTGAAGGAATGATGGTGAGTGCCGCTGCTTCTCCAGGATCTACATTTGATTTCTGTAGTCGCTACTTTGCACCAAGATTCGGAATCAATGAGGTAATAATTATACAATACAAGTCTTTTGCATTGCTCTTTAGATTAAAAGGGAGTGATCAAAAAAACAGCAAAGGAAAACATGACCTCTTTTGCTTTTTCTACTTCAGGACCCTGTTACTGGAAGTGCGCACTGTGCCTTGGCACATTACTGGAGCCCCAAGCTGAACAAGTGTGATTTCTTGGCCTACCAGGTTCTCTCTCTCTCTCTCTACGCAGGCTTTTGAGACCGCTTTAGTCTTGATTCCTGAAGAAAGTTTTGGTTATTATGAAATGTGTTTAGGCTTCAAGCAGAGGCGGAACTCTGAAGGTTCATCTGGACAAAGAGAAGCAGAGGGTTCTACTGAGAGGCAAAGCAATCACTGTAATGGAAGGTTGCGTCTTAGTTTGATTTAAAAAAAAAAACATACACACGATCGATAATATGCAACGTCACAGTTTCGTGTTTCCTTTGTACTAAACCACTTAAAGTCTGATATCACCTTTACAGACTGCCTAAACTCAACTTTCAAATGTTAACTAGGGATCAGAAGATAAGATATTAACATATGTTCTAATCACGTACGTACGAGGGAAAAAAAAATATTTTAAAAATATTGTAATTGGGCAGGTTCGAACTCGGATAACAGTATCACACTCTACTTCATACTACCACTAGACCATTCAAGATAGACACGATACTACGGAAATAGATTTTATATATCCATTTCAATATGTGGGTTATATTTTGTTGTGCCATGGAGTTGGTCTAAGTTCTTTGTCATTTCTTAAATGGAAGTTATACATGTGAATCTATTTCTCAAATGATTTAATTTATATCATCAAAAAATTATTATAAAATAATAAATTATGTATGTTATTTCGTATTTTTTAATCAGACATTCTATTATTTTATTAATATTATCAAAATTCAATTATATAAAAAAAATCATATCTTTTTCCAATCAATAAAGTATATGATTATAGAGAAAATGGTCATTCATTTCATTATAGAGAGTTAACCACTGTTTTGAATTCAGTCAAACTGGTTTGAAGACTCTTTTGGCGTTTATACAGTTGTCGGCGTCCAAGAGCAACGAACATTAGCATGAATATGTCGTCACGTATTACAAACATATTCAATTAAAGTGCAACCATTAGTGTTTCTCGGCAAGGTGTTAGAAACCCAATAGGTTTATATTTTATAATTAAAATAACTATCAAACTTAATGGCTCTTAGCTACATGAACATCTCGTGCACATTCTCTTCACATCAATACCTAGTTTATAAATACATAACCGTTTTTTAAACCATACAATTAATCAACTGAATTTTTTTTGCTCTTAACGTGTTTTGATTGATGAATCTACATATTGAAAAACAATTATACAAGAAAAGCGTTCACTTTTCTCAATAAATAATATTTTTCAAATTTTCTTGTTAGACTCTAACATGAAATATAAATAAATTATATTTCATAATTATCAAATTTCGGCTGTTTATTCTAGTGTTCTTGTTGCTCTAAGAGAGTTTTGTTAATTTACAAAGTTTTTATTTGTTAATTGATAAAGTTGCAAATCCATACCTGAAATTTATTGTTTAGTTAGTTAGTTATTGGATAAAAAAAATATATCATTAATCATTAAATTATGTGATGATTTCTGAAATCTTATTATGGATAGGATAAAAATTATTGTGCAATGAAAATAGTTTATGATTTTTCTTTTTTTTTTTCAACTTCATATTAATAAATCAACTCAAATAGTTTACGATTATGTCAACAAAAGAAATAAAAAAATGACAATACATGGTTATGTTGTGGTCTTGTGGAGGTGATTGTGATAATTGTTCCATCAAAATAGTTTATGATTATGAAGACAATTATCACTATACGTTATTAAAAATTACTCGGCCGGAAAAAAAAAAAGAGAATAAAATAAATGAGTCGATAAAACTTGTTGAAAAAAAGAAAAGGAAATGTCAGTGATTTTTGTTAACAAATCTTACGTGGATTTTTGTTAAAAAGAGAAAGGAAATGTCGAAATTCAGATTGGATCAACATGGGCTTTCCATAAAGTGTCTTACGTGGATGGGTAGGAGGACTTGGAATTGGAACACAAACCAAATTTTCGCCAAAACAATTTCACGTCTTTTAGGCTGTTTAATAAACTGGATGATGATGACAAAAAAATAATAATAATAAACTGGATGACTATAATATAAAATATGTTTTGATGTTATGTATGATGTGTGCTGCTGTCATGAGTTGACCTGATCTTATCCAAGAAAAGTGGTGCCGCAGAATTTCAAAAAAACCGTGTAATTTTCGATATTAAGAGATGATGATATGAAAAGCTTAACTATAAAGACCAGAAAAAAAATAAAAAATTGATCAATCATAAAATAATCTGTAGACGTGTCGAGAGTAATCTATAACAACAGTACATTATGGATATAGTAGTAACAAAATATATATATATTAATTGTGAAAACGAAAGAAAGAATAGAGGAAAAGTCAAGAAAGGCACCCTCGCACACGTCCACCTGGCATTTATTTCATCACCAACCTTTGCTGCTTCGAATTGTCTCTATAATTAATTAACTAAGTAACACATTAACTTTCTTAATTAACCCACTAATAAGTAACTTACTTTAAACAAAAGTAAATAAGGAGAAAAGAGAAGATGCCAAAAAAAAGCAAAATGATACACCAGTAAACAAATACGACTACTACTAGTATTTTGTCCTAAACCCCAACAAAATTACTACTAGATTTGATTTGTGTCATTTTCAGAGATAATGAGAAGCAAAATCACGAAATCGTTTAGAAAAGTCAAAAACGTCACACTAATCTCCAAAATTTTCAAATAAAGCCGACACTCACAAAAGTTTTCACTATAAATAGGAGCAAATCCTCTTCTTCAACCTCATCACATTCATTCAGTCTCTATTAACAACAATGGCGTCCTCCTCTCCGGTGATCCTCTCTGTCCTTGTCCTCTTCATCTTCTCCCTCTCATCCTCCTCTGCTCAAACATCATTCCGACCTAAAGCTCTCATCCTCCCAGTCACAAAAGATCCATCTTCCCTACAATACACAACCGTCCTCAACCAACGCACACCTCTCGTCCCCGCTTCCGTCGTCTTCGACCTCGGTGGTCGAGATCTCTGGGTCGACTGTGACAGAGGCTACGTCTCTTCCACTTACCAGTCCCCTCGCTGCAACTCCGCCGTCTGTACTCGCGCCGGCTCCACCAGCTGCGGCCAATGCTTCTCCCCTCCCAGACCTGGCTGTAGTAACAACACTTGCGGCGCTACTCCAGATAACACCGTCACCGGAACCGCAACTTCCGGAGAGCTTGCTTTAGACGTCGTCTCGATCCAGTCCACCGACGGATCTAATCCGGGTCCGGTCGTTAAAATCCCCAATCTAATCTTCGTTTGTGGTTCAACCTTTCTTCTTAATGGACTCGCTAAAGGAACCGTTGGCATGGCCGGAATGGGACGTCACAACATCGGCTTACCCTCGCAATTCGCCGCGGCGTTTAGCTTCAACCGCAAATTCGCCGTGTGTCTTACTTCCGGTAGAGGCGTCGCCTTCTTCGGCAACGGGCCTTACGTTTTCCTCCCCGGAATCCCCATTTCAGGGCTCCAAACGACGCCGCTTCTCATCAGTCCGGTGAGCACTGCTTCTGCGTTTTCACAAGGTGAAAAATCCTCGGAGTACTTCATCGGCGTGACGGCGATTAAAATCGTCGAGAACACAGTTCCGATCAATCCAAGGCTTTTGAAGATTAACAGTACCGGATTCGGAGGAACCAAGATCAGCACTGTGAACCCTTATACTGTGATGGAGTCATCGATCTATAAAGCTTTTACGTCGGAGTTCGTGAGACAAGCAGCGGCAAGGAACATCACTAGAGTAGCGTCCGTGAAACCGTTTGGCGCGTGTTTCAGCACGCAGAACATCGGCGTCACGCGCGTGGGATACGCCGTGCCGGAGATACAGCTCGTGCTTCACAGCAAGGACGTCGTTTGGAGGATCTTTGGAGCTAACTCGATGGTGAGTGTCAGAGATGACGTCATCTGCTTGGGTTTCGTTGACGGAGGAGTCAACGCGAGAACCTCTGTGGTGATCGGAGGGTTTCAGTTGGAGGACAATCTGGTTGAATTTGATTTAGCCAGTAACAGATTCGGGTTCAGTTCTACTCTACTGGGACGTCGCACTAACTGCGCCAACTTCAATTTCACTTCCACTGCTTAGATTACATTTAGTTAAATCAATTTCCTTAAAAATAAATGTGTTTCAGTTTATTAATTATGTCACGTTTGATGTTATCAATAAGGAGCCAAATGCCAAAGGAATATGTTCTTGTCATTTTTTATCACCTGATCTGAATGTGTAATGAGTTATTTGATATCAAATTTCAAGTTGCAGATAGTCTCTCTACCTTGAACGATCTCCTTTACTCCATCCAAACAAAAAACGGAAATTTATTTTCTGTACGTTTTAAGAAAAAAGAAATTTACTCTTCTTTTCTTTAATAAGGAAGTTGGAAAGTTTTCGCCGACAAAAAAAAAAAAAAGTTGGAAAGTTTAAGGAAAAAGGAAAATACTGGATCATATATTTTCAGTTATACGTTTGGGCTGTCGCTCAAAATCTCGCTACTTCAATTTCACATTCTACTTTGCAACGAGCCAGTGAATAATTTCTTCGCATACTTTTAATTACTTAATGGATATAATATAGATATCAAAAAATTAAGCTCCCCTTTTGCTAATTTAGCAAATCAAAACCGAAATTTTCTGAGCTTTAAATTTCAATTTGATTCCTGAAAATGTGAAAAATCATCAAAAAAAAAAAAAAATAATAAGGGGAGCAAATATGGCACCATATGATGAAATTTTGTGCTAAAATAGTTTTTGGTAGACCTAAACCAAAAAGGAAAAAAACCAAACCGGTTTACTAATAAGCCATGTCTTGCACACCTGTCTCAGCCATCTTCTCTAAATCTTCTTGCGTCAACAGAGTTTTCCTTCCCATTGTACCCGCCTTATCATACGGTTGAGCCATTTTCCTTAGAAACTGTCAAAAAAGAAAACCCAAATATTTTTATATTCTTAATGCCTTGTTGTTTGTTTAACTGTAAGTTATAGAAAAGCAGTGGAACTATATAGGTTTACCTCTCGAGCAATGTGAATAGCCATGTCTGTGCTTAAATTCAAGTGGGCATCCCGCAAATGTGAAAGTATCCAACCGGGTAGTTTGGACCGCTTATCATGTCGGCTATATCTGCAAGTTTTACGTCAACGGCATTGTATTATTAGACCAAAGAAATGTGACATTATAAGCCAAACGTAAGCATATCTGTCTCTCCTCTATCCTAAGAATTTCTTCCCGTTCCTAAGAAACAGTGTGAACTGTGATATATTCTTCTATTCTCGAGGTGATCCCAAATACTTGCGCATATAAACTTAATTTATTAGATAAAGAGTATAGAGATAATCACATTAAGTAGATAGAAGGAGTCCAAATGACCAGACTCAGAGAGAGAAACTTTAAGGCGTGCATATTATACCTTTTGTCTGCAAATATCATCATCCCATAGTCAGCCTTTGATCGGATTACTCGCCCTACACATTGAGCTGCTTGCCTCTGTATTTAAGACAAAAAGGAATTAACAACGGTCACAAACAGGTAACGAGTTGCACCAAAGTATAATAAAATCATAAAGTAAGAATCTTACCAGTGCATCAAAAGTTAGGAAATCGCCTTCTTTTATTTGAAATGTGTCACGCAGATACTCCAATCTTGCTAGTAATATCCTGAAATTTTTCCCGTTTCCATCTTATCATCTCTCACTACTCACGCCCTATGAAAAAATAAAAGCAGAAAACCGGAAATTGAAAGGATACACATTCATTTAAGTAGAACTTACTTGCTTAATGTATACTGGAAAGGCACTCCGTACATTACAACTAGTCTTCCATAGTGACGATCAAAATCGATACCTTCAGCAACTTTCCCCCTGCCATTCAAATTCAAAACTTGATCACTTTCATTGAAATTTCTAATCGAGTATTCATACTAAACCTCTTTACAATTTATCAACCAACCAAAAATAAGAGAGAAGAGAAGATTCTATAATACAGAATCAAAGAGAAGAACCAAAAATTCCTTGCTATGAATTCCAAATTATCGACCATTCACAAATAGAAATTTTACCTAGCCACAGAGAAGAAAACTGCACCTCTTCCGCAATCGCATGCCCTGCGATAATTATCCAGTGCCAATGTTGTTTCTACAACATCTTGTGTTTCGATGAAAACAAGCTTTTGTTGCATTATTTCCTACAAACATTAAGAGATTTGGTATTAACGGTAAGCACATATACATCAATGCTTATCACAACTGCAAGTGTATCCAATTCATTCAAAACTGTGAAAAAAATACTGACATGATATAGCAAAGAAGAAGACCTTACCTTCAGAATTCCAGTTTCATTCCATGTAGCAATAATGCCATCCATGTATGAGTAACTAACAAAGAAGCAGACAACTCCATCAGGAACAATGGATACCATCTCTACCAATAGCTTTCCGTAATTCCTCACAACACCGGGATCACTTCTCATGTCAAATTTGGTGCTAACAGGGAGCTGATCACTGAAAAAGAAAACAACCCATAGTGTAAATCCATATAAGACTAAACAATAAGGTAAGTGATCAGGATTAGTTTTATAAACATACCTTCCCCGAGTTAGAACCATAGGGCAGATGCAGTCTCGTGTCATCGACATCTTAAAGCTTCGACTAACAACAGGAGTGAAACTAAGAAGACGGGGATACAGATCAATTGGGCTCAAGGTGCCTGATGTAATCACGACTGATTGGAAACGATCAAACACCGGTTTGATCGCCAAAGACGCATCATGACAGCTCAACTAAGATACAAAAGGATATATGTTTCAGATACATTTCTTAATTATTCAAACGGTTGCATTTACATCTGAGTGATAATATCTTTGAAACCAAAGTGACAATACTCAAAAGAAAGTAGATAAACACCATGTTTACCTGCAATATAGGATCTGGAATGTGAGGCATTCTCTCGTCATAAGGCTCAATTATGATGGAAAATCCCCGAGCATATGTCCCAACAAGAGTTGCAAAATCGCACACTGTCTGGATTGGCAAAAACTCATCTGTATCTGTAATTTCAAGGGTTAGCATGAGAGACTGGAGCCGGTCATAACAGAACTTCAGTGTTTTCTGCTCAATTCCAGCCTGAGAATTCAGCGACGATACAAAGCTAACAGGGCTTTCTTTCTCTACGTTCTCAGTGTCCAGCCGTACCCCCAAGTATTGAAGTAATCGGCGTAAAACATGCACAAAATGCTCAGCTCGTCTGATATTCCCCGGGACGGCCTCCTTTAAAATATCATGGGGCAGTGCAGGGTTTGCAAGCCATTGATCGCTTCCTGCAGAAAAAAAATATCTGTTACATCAAGTTCATAGAATCAGTAAATATGCCCAGTACTTTGTGTGTTTTAAACCAAACCACACATCACCTTTCAAAACACATACTTACCAGATAAGTCCCCTCTCAGTGCTAAACCCTCAACCAGTCGGTTGTATTCAGCTCGCAATCTTCCTGCATCAGTAGCCTTGAACCTTCCTACCAGTTGGACAATTTTAATAATGTAATAAGAACTTAAAAATACGTATCAGCAAATAACCAGGTCACTTCCTGTATTGAACCAAGATAACTATGCACCATAGGATCACTAAACAAGACATTCATGTGCTTAAGATGCTGACAAAAACGTTTGTAATTTTTTGTTCCCCTTTCAGTTCTATGAGAAAAAGCATAAGAATACCTACAAGTAGCAACTGGAATGAGCATTCAAGAACAATCAGAATATTCAACTGAAAGAGAAAAGACCCTATCACGATGTTTCTTGTTGTATTAAGAGCGGCAAGTTCAAGAGAACTCAAGAGTATCTGTAAGTAGGAAAAAGACATTGGCGTACCTATCAATTTCTTGCCTTATCTTATTAAGATTTCGATTAGCACCTTCAAGTGTAACCCTCCTCACACTGACGCTGAGTGCTTCAATACACACATTATCGATATTATGGGCCTCGTCAAAAACTACAACTGACTCCTTTTGTAACTCCTTTGATATAATTCCAGCAACCTTAGGATCCAGTAAGTACTGGTAGCTATAAACAATAACGTTGGCGAACTGAACCATATGTCTCGCAAGAAAGTAAGGGCACCATCCACAATTCTTACCAAAAGCCCGTAAATCCTAAAATCCAAACACATAGATACCATCAGCAAGTAACCTAGAAAGGGGTCCTAAGTCAAACAGCATTCCAGTCTTAAACCTAAGCTTGATCAAGAAACAAAATGTAAAAAAACCTTAAAATAGTTTGATTCTGACCTCTAAAGTATAAACACCAGGAGGTAACAGCGCATTTTCAGCAGCCTTTTCGTAGTTCTCAAAGTAGTCACAGAGTTCAATATTTGGATTCTCCGTCGACAAAGCCCTAACCCAACTAGCAGTCCGTTTCCTACACGCCGCATCAACAGAATCACGATTCTCCGCTGCTAAAACCTTAGTATTAACGCAAAGATTCTTCCGAGAGGAAAGACCAATGGCGAGGATCTTAGCTTGAGTGCCGAGATGGCGTACTTGGTAGTCATGGAGTACCTTAAGCTCAGCTAACGTCTTCTCCATCTCGTGGACAGTACGAGTGCAGTAAACAAGCTTGATCGGAGAATCAGGACGAGAGAGACGATAACTGGTGATAAGGGAAAGAAGGGCAATGGTTTTACCAGTTCCCGTAGGCATCTCGAGAAGACAATGTCCCTTGGCGTCTAGAGCTCGCTTCAATTCAATCATGTATTCGTATTGTTCTGGATATATGTTATCATAAGGGAAGTAGACAGTAACGTCTTCGATCTTGAAGATCATCTTCAAGCTCCTCGTGAAAGACCTAGAAACCCAAATTGGTGGAAGAAGAAATTAAGTTACAAAACCCTAAAAACTCGAATTCACTTCAGTAGAACAAGCGATTCAAGTCGGAGTATGTAAACCCAAACAACGAAAAAGAAGGAAAACTGAAATCAATCGAAGAAAAATAGCCAGATAAAGCTTACTGGTGGTAATGTAAGCTCCGGTGTTGTTAACCACTCAGAGAGAGAGAGAGAGAGCAATCTTCGGTAGCAGCTTGAAGGTAAACACAAAAGAAAAAAGGAAATTTTGCGTTTGTGTTCGCCGTAGTAACCAGGGAGGAGAAGGAAGTACAAGAGTCCTCTTATAATAAAACTTAAGTTTTGTTCTTCTCCATTTTAACCCTTGTTTATTTATTTTTATATGTTTAACCCCCTATATTTATTTTATTTTTATTTTTGAACAAGACCCCCTAATTTTATAATGTATTAAATTTCTCGACAAGTTTAGCTTTTTAACAGAAAATTTTTATACTGTCCAAAAAGAAACAGAAAAATTATATCAATAACCCAATAATCTTGGTTATTTTACACAATAAGCATGTTCTTTTTCCTTGAGGTGAATAAACACCACATAGAAGTCCATGGGATCTCAAGATTAGATTTAATACAAAAATGCTGGTTTGTATCTAAAAATCTGCTAGTCTGCTACATGTTTTAGTTACAACAGTAGACACTATAGAGAAACAAATCTCTCACGTCTTATTCCTCTACTGGTTGATGGAAAGCTAAGCCCTTTATCACATGTCGACACTGAAACCTGAAATGACACGGAGGGAATTATCAAAAGATCACGTCAAGAGCTTGTTTGGTGTGAAACTGGAGAAATGTGAATAAGAGAACTACCATATTAAATCACTTGTGTTAGAGTTGACGGAAGAACTTGTAGCATTGTCTTGAGTTCTGCACTTGAATCTCAACTTTGAAGGCACAAACTACAATAACAAAAGAGATTGTTAGCATTTGGTCGATATTAAAAGGCTTCTACTTGGATGTGTGAATAGAATTACCAGAAGTTTATACCTTTCTGTTGTATTTGAAATCTCGTTTAGGAAGGAAATGTTGGGGAAGATTCAAAGAAGGTGGAGCATGAACCAATATGAAGAGCCTCATTGGACCTGTAATTCAGAAGAAAAAGGATAAGGCATTTACAGTTTACACCATAGTTCACCTGCCAGTTTATGCAATGGCACAAAATGCAGATGAAGTTTAAGAATCAAGCGAAAGTTACCTGGGTAGGAAGTTGATCCAGCACCCGTTGATATAAGTGCTCGGATAGTCTATAAAGCCAGAAAAAAAAAAAGAATGGGAGGGTCAACATTTCTTATTTCAATATGAACAATTTCCAAGCAACATGTTCAGAGGTGAAAGAACCTTTTTTGAAAGTGCTTCTGCAGCTTTAGATTTAGCAAAGTCACCTTCGTATCCCAGAACATAGTTACTACTGTGTTGTGTGAATAACAACTCATAAGCTTTTTGAGGGCGTAATGGACTGCCACCAAGAATCAACACGACTTTCTGAATGCCAGGAGCTTCACGGATCATTAACTGCAGCGCACTTCGGAGACTAGAGATGGCTTTCATCAGTCTCTCCAGTTTCTTAATCTCGTTCTTCACCTCCCTCTTTCTACTCACTAGTTTTCTTCTGACAAGTGGTTTTACTTCAGGTTCTGTAAGACTAGCGTCCTACAACCTAAGATTCTTAGAGTGTGAAAAAGAACTTAACAGTACAGTGAAAATGGCGTATGTGGAAATAACATACCAAATCCGTAAATTCTGTTTGCAATCCATCAAACTCAAGAGTCATGTCTTGTAATACCCTGCACAAATGTAACCAACAGGCAAATTGGTAAAAGAGATTATGTGGCCAAAACCAAATGCTGCGATTTTGAGTCTCTAGTATTCAATAAACGATAATCCACAACAAAAGAACACTCATAGTAGATAAAACAACATACTCTAAACTCAAGTGGAGCTAGTAGTGCGCACAATTGATCAATCTGAACGTGTTTAATAAGAGTTTCTGGAGTAATACCAACATACTTTCACAAATATTTAGCAAGAGGTCGAGCATAGCGCCTCAAAGCATTTCAATTTCTTCTAGAATTGAACACAGATCACCTACCATTCTACCAACACTTAATCTCTCTAAATTCACACTAATCCATAAAGTTCATAGAAAAAAACCTTCTGTTCATATCAAAACAAACTTATTAGTCGCAGGAAATCGAACATACTAATCCGCGAAATTAACCCAGAGATTGAAGAACAGTCAGACAAATACATAGCCACCAGATCGAACATCAAATTAAAAACAGATCGAAGCATAGAGATACGAAAAGGGAGTAAGAGATAACACACGAAGGGATCTGCTGGTGCATATAGAGGACGAAACCGACTATGTCATTGATGATATGGAAGACGCCGGAGCCGCCGAGTGAAGAAGCGGTTGTCGTGATGTCTACGTCGTAGTGCTCCTCTGTAGTTCCTTCTCCTTCCGCCATTTCCATCGTGAAAATCAAAAGCTCTGAGAAATTGAAAACCTGAGTGTGTCTGTTACTGAAAAAATTTGAATAAAAAGTCAGTAGCGGGGGAGAGAAGAAGGAAGAGGAAGAAAACACAGATCGTTCGAGGGGAATTGAAAACAGACCAAAAAAAAAAAAGGAAAGAAAAAATATGTAAATTACAAACAAACCCTAGAGAGAAATAGCATTACAAATCAAACCCTACAGTTTTTTAATTTCAAATTTAACATTGTTGGACGTGTTGGGCCGGACCAGATCTCGCTTCGCGTTGTATGTCACTAATAAGTAGGCCCATCTTGGGCCAATTTTCTGGTTAGATCATCAAGTTTGTACAAGATACAATTTTCAACTTTTATCACTTTTATTTTTTTGTTGATGATCTGCTGTATTTAAAAATATATTAGAGGTTAGATTCAATTATTTAAGTATATAAGCAAAGAAAAAAGTCTAAAAAAATACCAAAGTTTGATAAATATAACCATGTCAGTTTATGGAACAACTTGCTATCGAATATAAGTTCATGACCACACTATCTGTTCATTTTTGTTACACATACGAGTACGACCATCACTTGAAAGTGATTATATATTTACATGAAAATTAGAAAGTTGACCTAATATATATGAAATAAAACAGTAAAGATTAATTATAAATAGGAATGAAAACCCTATAGTTGTTATGAATGTTTTCGGGATTTCCGGTTCGGCTGAAATTAGTTCAACATTGCCATGCCATTAAGGAAACATAGATAGAACTGTTAAAACATCTTTTGGCCTGTGGATTTCCGGTTTGGTGTGATAACGATCCTTGGTCCTGCATTATTATTAGTCGAAACATTATGTCGTGGCAAGAGTATAAAGAATGCATATATTTAAAGTTAACCGTTAAGCAATTATTGTAGTGGTTTTTAATTTTTTTGGTTTAATAGAATTATTAAATTAGGTTACCAAACAAGAGAGGGGAAAAATCAAAAATAGAAAGTGAGGTGTGGTGTAAAAAAAAAAAAGAAAAAAGAAAAGAAAGAAAGAAAGTTAAAAGGGTAGTGATAGGTTAAAAAGAATGATTGAAAGGATCACAGAAATGGGTGCCGCATGAGAGATAGTGGTCAGTAAAAAGCATCAAGTGGCACATAGAAACCATAGAACAAAAATAGTAGTAGAGAGCTCTCGAGATATTCGTTGTTTGCAGAGGGACAAAATACTCTTTAATACATTTTCACACACTTTTTATTTTTTTTGTTTTTTGGGACTTTGGATTGGACATTTAACTCTTATGTTGTCTATTTCTCATTGGTCAATACTTTTAATTTGCAAATATATATGTTTTGCAGGAGCGGGGATATATTTACATTATGTACGGTACTCGTCACGCTGTGTGACTAATTTCCTAGTCTATGTCGGAGAATATATGCAGAGTAAAAAGATGCACACCTCGAAACAGTTTCTGTTCATTTATAACCGTACGTGAATTAACATCATCTACATACACACAAAAACTATATACATATATTGCGCCGTTGGTGAAAACAAAAGATTCATCATGCATGATCAGTGATATACGTTGGTGAAACAACATTATATGCATATCGATTTTCCCAGTTGATGCACGCATTAAATTACTTCATATTCAACAGTTTGAAATATATGGATTTGTGTCTAAGCAAAAACTAAAGACCAATAAGACCACGTACAAGTAAACCGTTTGAAATATATAATATGTATAACAGTAAGAAATAATGAATGAAGGTTTAGGTGATGATGATGCAACTTTGGTAGGATATGAGATAACGCAAATAGAAAGTTAGGAGAAAGAAAGAGAGAGCCTCTTGGCAATTGGTACAAGGAAAATCCAGAAACAGAATCATCAGTGGTAGTGTACTGTGTACATGCATGATCATGAGATGAGAGCGTATCCAAAAGCAAATAATATGTAAAGAGAGCAAATTGGTGGGAATAAAAAAGGATCAGATTTTGCATGTGATGGTCATGTGGCCGTGTGGGAACAATCTCTCTCTCTCTCTCTCTATCTCTCTTAACCTTCATGTGGCCGTTGTACGTACCACATATTATCATTTCTTGCACGTAAATATATACCTATCTATCTAATATATATCTATATATATCAAACGATTGCTAAATGCTAATTAACTCTTTTAATATACTGAAAATATATCTTATAATGTTGTCTTCTACTTAAATCAGCAGCTTGTCTTTCCTATATTTGTAAAGTTTCATTTTCATTAGGTCATCATATATTTACATGTACAATATTAAATGTTTTTTTTTTCTGTTTAATTTGTTTGTGAGTCAACTTAATATCTAGCTATAGCTATTTATTGTTTATTTCTTGTTTTGGAAAGAAATGAACCGCTCAGAAAATTTCAACTAGGAAACAGTTGGTATTATTTTGTCTGTGATTATTATTATTACCAGTCGGAAATGTATATGTGAATGAATATGACTAGAAAATCCCCAAAAAAAAAAAGAAAATCATATTCTAGGAAGCTTCCTAAAGGACGTTTTTCCGAGTTTTTTCTTCCTCTCCTTCACGTACAAACTGAAGAGAACTAGTGTAGAATTAATACTCAGTTTTTCATTTTTTACGATAATTATTCATAATTATGACAATAATAATAATTATTCCTATTTAACCCATTACATTAGACAGAAATAGAAAACACTCCCCAGTCCCCTCGAGAAATCATACTAAAAATAGAAAAGACAAGAATAACTTATACTACTATATGTTATATATAACCTAAAATAAAACCCACATATTTAATTATCGAAGTCGAATTAAGTAATCAAGTGGCGACCCAAAAATGCTGCTGCTTCCAAGTAAGCATTGGTTTAGGCTCACGACCATTCTCCTCCTTGCACCTGCTGCTTAATCTGCTATACTTCTTGTTTCCATTTTTACCCTCCATGTTCTCGCTATTTTCCTCCTCCACGCCCTCCTCTGTTTCTTCATCTTCTTCCTCGTGGTAATTGTGCCTAAGTAGAGAACTTTCTGAAGCTAAGCAGAGACGAAGCCTTCCTTCACCACGTTCTGCTACGAAGCAACGGGGAGGGGACGGAACCCTAATTGCTTGTACTACAAGTCGACCATCTTCGCCCAACCATCTCACCATACGATTATACTTTGAATCTTCAACGAACTTTATCGGCGGCGGGAAGCTGTTTTTGCGACTCATCGTTGATTTCTTGGTTGGCAAGTCAGTGTCTTCGTGTTCTTGACGTTTCGGTTGAGGAGTAGGAACCCTAGGAGTGGTGGTCGCTTCCAACGCAAGCAATGACAACTCGTCGCCACTCTCGCTTCCTGTTTCGGTCCCAAGGCTCTCAGTGCACATCTCTAAGCTCTTCTCGTTCAGCTTGGAAACAGAGCATTTCTCGTTGGGGTGAACATATGCTTTATCCTCTTTGTTTGGGACAATTGCAGTAATATCGGACATAGACTGAAGGAAACTCAACCCAACCATGTCATCTTTTAGATAGAAACTTTCGTTTCTTTGGCTTTTCGGAACGATTCTATCTTGAGCCTGAGAGACAGCAATTGACATTCTTTTATCTTCTTGAGTAAAACAAAAGGATTTGTTAAATCGAGATCTTTCGTTATTGAAACAATATGGAAACTTGAGAGAGAGAGATTAGATGAGTTGAGAGGGTAATTAAGGAAAGAGGAATGAATGTGAAAGGGAAGAGGGAGGGGTGAACGAGTATTTATAGTGGCGAGTCCACTTGGCATTGGATTCTTTTTAGGCTTTTTTCATTTATTCTACAAACTTATTACACAAACCATATATTGCATAATCAAACTATATAACACATTGATTGATGATATTCTATCACTTTTGTCAAATTCCGAAAATAAATCTCTCATCATTTGAACGCCGCACCACAAAACTACTATGTAATCTTTGTGTTATATATGTCTCGGACATAATCGCATATCCCATCAGTTCATAGTGTTAAATATTATGCAAACCAAAGGGAGAATGTTAAATATTATGCAAACCAAAAGGGAGAAAAATACGAGTTTGTATTGTGCTAACAACTAGTTAAAATATTCGTAGCGAAAATCTTTTTAAAAAATAAAAATATAAAAAAATCAGATAGGATATACTTAAACATAGCATTTAGACATTTTAAACATTTTTAATAGACCTGAAACGCATATTCGGCATATAAAGAGAAATTAGCTTTCATTTTTATTTTTTATTTAGGAGGAGTAGTATGGAATATAATAAGAGATTGCCTCTCAATTTACACGGTTATTCTCACCATAGTTCTTTTAAAACACTTGTTTAATTTTGATACCAACATATATTTGATATTTTCGGAATAATGTAAGTATGATCCTTCTACCAAATTACAGCTTTAGTTTGTAGCAAATTTTGTAAAGCAATATCATTCAAAAATTCTGCCAACTATTGTCTTTTAAAGTTACATTCTTTATTTAAAAAATATATAAAGAAATCAAGTGTTATTAAATTAGATAAGGAACTAAATTGTGATGCTTTGTTTCATATATATGTTCTGCGGTTGTATTGTGCAAAGACTCCATGATGAACATTTATAGCCGGTTTAATTACGAAAGAAAGAAAAAAGAATGTAGTAAAAGTATCCTATTGAAGAGGTTCACCTAACCTATAGTCGCTTGAGAGGTTATTATTATTATTTTTGTTGGTTTCTTCCTCAAGTTGTGGCTATAACTCGATCTTGTGAATTGTGATACCACTCTCCCTACAAGAATTGGTACGTTCTTTTGCATTCTTGTACGTTAGTATTGTTATAGGAAATACATATTTTGCAGCATGGAACCCGTATTTAAAATACCCAGTTAAGATAGTTTATTACTTCATTTGGTTTGAGCAACTTTTTTTTAATTTTATTTTTAATAGAACTTCTTTTGGAAATATATGATTTTCACCTTTAAATATCATCAATGGCCGGTGAGTCCATAATTTATCTTTCTTTCTTTTTCTTCATTAAAAAAGTTTTGTCATGATAAAAAAAATGGTTTGACATTAGAACTGGATAATGAATCACATATGCAAAAGTAACAACAAAAGTCGTATTTTTTTTTTATAAATATCAAAGACGGGAGTTACAATTATTTTTTTATAAATATGCATGCATAGGGATGACACAATTGATGCTTCAGACCAGATCGAATTTGTCCCAGTATTTTTCGCCGTTGAAACTAAGACAAGTAAAAATACTAAAATGCCCTCACCAATTGAAGTTTCCAAAAATTAATAATTGAAGGCAGAGAAATCACAAAGACAAAAAGAGTTCGAAGTCCACACTCTCCTGGGACCTATGTTACCACTACCAAGTTATAACTGTAATTGCAAACTGATATGAACCGTAACAATATATCTTCATAATCATATACAGATGTTTTCCCTTGATACGAGTAGTAAACCGATTGTAACCATATTCCCAATATTTTTTAATGCTTCTGTTTCGAAATTAATTAGATTAAAGTCAAGAATCAAATTCACAAGTAAAAGTAGTAACATACTTACCAATCAAATATAGTAGAATAACCAACTTCCGATGGCCCGAAATCGGTTTCATGTCCATATCCTTGAGATTGTGTTTCTGATATTGCAGCACTACAAAGATCATATGTTGACAGTTTCCTAATACTCCTTGGTACATTGAAGCCAGATTCAAAAAAGAAGCAAGTAACAACATGCGAAGACGATTTTTCTTCTTATGATTAATCTACACCTCAAAAGTAATGAATGGTTTTAAAACATGTATCTCCTTGGAGTAGAAAACTTATGGGGAAACGTGTTTCGGAGCACGAATCATTGCTTGGTTTTAGTTAGTGACTACTCTATAGTCCATAGGTTCCCAAAGAAGCAATAAAGGTAGGGTCAGTTAAGGAGCATAGATAATAAGGATGTCTCATACTAACATAGATGATAAGTAGTGATGTCTATTACAATATTCAGTTAATGGAACATTTCATTAAAAAGCTACGGGTAGCAAAAGAAGTTTCCATTTCAAGTGAGGAAAACTTTTCAAGTCTTCATGTGTTGTGAAAATAAAAGTTTTTTGGTAATGAAATGTCGACAAAGCCAAGTTGAAAACGTGTGTAGTAACTTACTGGTAAGTAAAGCTATAAGCAAGATTCTGTACCTTATTTCCTCTCTCTAGCGAGCCCTGACCATCCGAATCTCGCATTCGCCAATCGCTGTTCTTCCGTGTGTTTTCCCCTTTTTAGTTTTAGATTTGTCTAAACCAATAAGAAGAAGAAAAACCTTGAAACTAGAACCAAAAAAAAAAAAAGTGGCCTTTCTCTGAATCATCATTCCACTTCTGGTCCCCAATTGTAAAAGGACAATCCAAGGCTAGATCCCTTCATAATTTTCTTTTTGTTGTCTAAATTTCTGCAACTTTAATAATATTTTGCTAGTCTATTTATCTTTAGCAACAAAGTAAGGTGGAATCTATTTCATGTTTACACAAAAACATGTCAACTGGGGATTTTCTCTTTCCCAACTTTTGACTACAATATATTCTCTCTTTGTTTTTGATAAAATAAAAGGTTTGGTTATCAGGCATACATGTCATTAGCTTAAAGCTGTGACTTTCATTAGAAAAAGAACAAGGAACCTATGAACAAGCTTTTTTATAATGCTAGTCTAATGTTAATTCTAAATAATTTCCAGCATCAAGCATTCACTAAGGTTTATCCTACCAATTCTGGATTTTAAAACTTTTTGAACCAATGCTTACCTAGATAAGAAATTTATGCGCTTTTTATCTTTCGAAACCGTATCTAGCATATGCTGAGAATTACTCTCCATGGAAACCTATGCTAAGATTTATTCTTTCCATATTTAAGTCACTAAAGTCAAGAGATCAGTACATTAACAAGAAAGTTTAGATGCTCGACGCGGAGAATTGATTGCATATGAATGTATTCAAGCTATTTATGAACTCCAGGAGAATATTTCAAGGACAGAACCAATGAGTCAACTAATAGACTAACCTGTGATGTGAAGTACATGTGCAGTTTAAGGAACAGCAGAATATGTTCTCAACGAGTCTCCTGAGCTTCCAGTTCCTCCAGCTATTTGTATCACAATCAATCTGAAAAAAAGAAGTAAAACAACATTATACCAGAGTTTCATGACCATAATGTTATTGTTTGGTACTTTCAAGAACCACTCTAATCTTTTGAAATTCGCAATCAATAAACCATCAGAGTCTATTTCACGTTGGAACTGGCAGGTCTTATTCATTATGACAAAGTACATACACTTGTCCCCACTAAACAATGCAAGAAGGGGAAACCCCACATTGTGTTGGAACAGCTAAAGTCTCATCTCGTCTCGTGATACATGAAGGTTATCAATATCAACTTGTAGCAACTGTAATTTACTTCTAATGTCTAATAGTTCTTTCTGAATTCCTAAAAGACGATCAAGTCTTAGCTGAGCTTCTTCTCGGTAAGGCTTGGCAACGATATTCACAAAGTTTACTAGATTATTCGTCGCATCTGAAAGATCCTTCTGCATAGCATCTTCGAGTTGTTGAGCCAATGCATCAGCCACTTTATTCACCTTACCAATTATAGCTTGTCTTCGATATGGGAAGTTTGCTATAGCTACATACCTGCAACATAGATTATGTTTATATATACAAGCCAGTATATCTGATCATATTATGCCTCTAGTTGCAAAAACAAAAAAAACACTAGGGCGTGATATAAGAAGGTAGAGTAATGAGACGATGGGAAAAACGGGAAATTAAAGAAGGTGTTATTACCCTCCAGCAGAGCAAAGGCCAAGAGCAAGAAGATCTTCCAATGTGGTGGGTAGCACTGAGGTTAGAAGTGATGCAGATAGTCCCGCAGCTCCAAGCCCACCAACTGTCACAAAGAACTAGAAAAGGCAAACAAAACTCAATTATGTCAAAAGTGTCACTCAGTAAGAAAATGAATAACCAAACGAAGCATCTGGGAACATACGGTACTGAATATATATCTCTTCAGATATTAGGTTCGGATCGAACAGATGACACAACTAAACAATGATAAGGATCAAGACACTTTAATAGACTGAATTCTAGTAAGAATCGAAGAATCTAATTCTTGAAGCTCACCACTTCTCGAATATCTTGTTCCAATCGTTTAGATGTGGTTCCGGCACTCAAATTCTGTATTGTTTTCAAGCTGAATTTATCGTTTTTCCGAAGCAAGTCATATGTGTCTATGCCCAATTGAGTTTTCGAATTGACATATGTTGGCCATTTGTTTTCAAATGATTTCAGGGACATACTTCCTTCACGGGCAGTAGTTGATTGTAGCCATTCAGCATATTTTCCAAGCAATTCCTTCACACCAGTAAAATGAAAAAAAAACAAATAAATAATTCCTCACATAATGTCCAAACAGGAAAAAGGTAATTTACAAATAGAAGGCAAAATGAGTAGCCAGAACCAATTCCCTTAGGGTTAGAAACCAGGAACCAGGAACCAGCATCAATCAGGTGACAGCAAAACAAGGTTAGAAAATAATTAATTTCTGAATGAATAGAGACCATATCTCAGACCTCAAATATATGACCAATATGTCCACAGTTAGGTAATACTCAACAAATAAAGCATCAGACTTACTTTAGCATTTGAGAGTGCTGGACCGAGTATTTCACCTTGAACTTTGGATGTAGCTGCTACTGAGCCCGAGTTTTCCCCTTTAAACACGTAAGAGATCGCAAGATCGAGACTTGATAGTCGCAGTGTAGTTCCTATTAGATCAACAACTTGTAATCTGGCATTATCAATCTGCAGTCAAAGCCAGAGACAAAAAAAAAAAGAAATCGAGTTAGAACATTCCAACTTCCTTTTACGTGATTCAACGAGATAAATCTAATAAAATTTATACCAATGAGAGAGCCTGCCTTCTCCAAGAAATGCTCTCATATTCCATCTTTAGCGCGTATTCTTTAGTATGATTGATAATCTTGTCTGCTGAAGCCAAGTCTTCCTTAGCAGCTAGGCAATCTTGCCTCACAAGAGATTCCACAGAAGAAAGGAGACGCTCAGCAATCACCATGGGCGTCTCCAATTTAAGCCTTATCCTCTCCATCCCGGTAGCAGTTGAGCTATCCAGGAAGCTATAAAGAAATTTCTCGAGTTCATTGAAGCTCTGGACTCTCCAATTAGAACCAGGATCTGAGACCTCAAGATCATCTCTGCCAACTAAAGAAGCTGTTGAAAGCTTCGCCTCGAGAGCAGACCGCGCAGACACCGGATACAATATCACATTTTCTGTATTAAGTAACTTCCGTGTATTCTCTTTAACAAATGAAATAGCTTCCTCAAGCTGCATCAGTAAAATTAATCTTTAGTCAAGGAAATTCAGCGATTACAGAAACTATCAAGGAAAGGATATCAATCTTGTTTCTGATAAACCTCACGAGCATCACGGTAGATATCAGATTTATTCAGAATAAACACAAATTTCTTTTTCCACTGCTGTGTATACCGGAGGAACGCAACCTGACACACACAATGAGATGTAAATCAGCCTACAGTACAATAATGGTAGAAGAAAGCTGCAGAGGTAGATATATAAATAACATGGGTATGATGACACTGAGAAGCTTGTTCCTAATTCGAGAACTTCTTTTAAATTTTTAAATAAAAATCAAACCAAATATCTATAAAGTTGGTACTTTCATAAATGAGCATTTATACCATTGACAGTTACATACAATTTGCCACGGATACAAAATCAGTTTTGTTGTACCAATGACAGTTAACTTCTTATTTGTCTTGGCATAAACTTACCACAATACGGACCAAAAAGACATACTGGTTCCAGCAATAGCTATAACACCCCTAATTGAGAAAATAATTAGTCTAATTCAAATTTATAATCAAGCAAACCTCAATATATGCATTCAACCTAGTGACAATTTCCCCTTTCCTACACAAGCTCTTGATGGTCTATACATGAATTTGCTGATTACTTTGTGATTTAACCAGCTACTAAGACAGATACATATTAAGCAAAAAAAAAAAACAAATATGCCAGGAAAAACAGTAAATTCTACCTCACTTTCGGTTAAGGGCCTGTCAGCAGAAAGAACGAAAACAAGCAGATCTGCACGTGGAACAAATTCTTCTGTAAGACGTTGTTGCCTTTGAAGGATCACATTGGTCCCAGGTGTGTCAACAATATTTATCTGCTCGAAAGGAGAACAACCCAAGTCAATTCCTCCAACTAATAAGGAAAAGTTCAAGGATACGATGGTGGATGTTTGAATGACTCACATCCTTAAGTATCGGTGCAGGAAGATAGCAGATGTACTGGCCATCTGGATGCGTTTGGCAGCGTTGTTGCTCTTCGGAGTCCAAGTCAGAGTAGCACAGAAAAGTGATCTCATTGGTAGTGGGGATTACCCCCTCTTTGAGGTATCTCTTCCCAAGAAGTGCATTGATAACCGTTGATTTTCCGGAATTAAATTCCCCCTAGTACCACCAAATTATAGATTCCAATAAAATGCTTATCCTTAAAAAAACAATATTTGTCCCACTTTATACATTATCCACGTTAAAAAACGCAATGGAGAAGAAGATAGAAACTAGTTGGAATTCTATAGAATCACATGCAATGCTTCAACAGAATTACACGATAATTTCTTTACTCTTCTAACCACCAAATAGATAGGAGAACAGCATACTTACAAATCCCAAGTCACAAGAAAGTGAGAAAACTATGTCCACGACTATACGGGAGGAGGGTAAAGTTAAGAAAAATGCAGTGCTCCTATAACCAAATTTAAAAGCAAAACAGGAAAAGAAGCAAGACAGAGAGAAAGAAGGCACCAAAAACAAACGGGATTATGATAATTTACTTAAAGACAGCACAATACTGGGAAGCACAAAAAGAAGATGTGACTAGAAGCATGCCCATTGTTATCTAGTGCTGGCAAAAACGTGTAACTAAAATTGCTTCTAATGAATAAAGAGCTAATACCAATGAAAATTCCTGGAACCACAATTTGACGGAGTTGAGTGCAGAATTACCACTATAACCATTAAAAAAGGCTCATCAATCCGGGAAACTGCATCAATTAGAAGGGAGACTTCCTCCATCTGTTATTGAAAAACAGTCCAAAGAAGCAAATTAAAGCAAATTATAACCGCAGAAAATCTATTTTAGAACCATTTTCAGAAAAATTAACTTCAACTACCAAATGTGTTAAATAAAAATCACCAGTGGAGCCGCCTTCTGGATAATTTCAATCGCCTCTCTCAACGCTGATTTCTCCATTTCTATTATTTGTTTCTGTTTGTCCTCTAATTTTATGAAGCCAGCAGAATTTTGTTTTTCCAGCAGGTCACTAGCCTCATTAAATGGTTTTTCGTTAAGAATGCTTTCATTCTCGTTCCGTGTTTCATGATTCACAACATCGGGTCCATCAAGACACTGGCGAAGAGCTACATCCCTAGAAGAACGCAGATCTTTCAACGATATAACAAAACCAGAAGCGCCTGATTTCAGTAACTGCAAGTCTTCTTTAGCTTCTCCTTTGCTTCTGCAAGTCACGAAAATCGGTATTTTCACGCTCTTCAACAAAGACTCTGTCAATAAACCCACTTGTTTATCTTCACCAGATCCAAGTATAAGAAAATCAGCACCCTCAGAGCTAGAGGCACTTAGAGCAGAATCAACATCCTTCACAATCCTAGCTACCAAAGGAAGAACTATCGAGTCGGGATTGGATCCCATCAGTGTGTTTCTTGCCACTATGGCCGGAAGGCCTGTACATATAGCATTTGAAGACATCTCATCCATGAAAATAGTAATGAACAAATCTTACTAGGGGGCTGCATCAAGAAAGCTAAAAAATTGAATGAAATTGCAGAAATTAGATTTACCTTCGTCAGAGAGAGCAACACCACTAGCACCAACGGCGGTGGCGATATCAACACGTTCGGCTATCAAGAGGTAAGCACGACCCTTGACAAGTGATTTTAGCAAACAAGCAGCCTCGTAGAGCTTACCAGCGGTAGCTCCGCCATCAATAACGACGATCTGAACCGATTTAGCTAACGCACGGTCGACCAAATCAAGAGTCTCTTCACGATTCCCGCTCATAACCTCATCCGCGTCTAACCGGAGAAGCAGACCAGGAACGGCGAGTTCGGGACGCTTGTAACCACCAGGATAAAGAGTTCGCGGCCTAGAAGATGAGGTCTGATCGGCTGATTCATGCGAAACGTTTCTGATCGAGAGAGAAGATAGACGCCTATGACGTGAAGGAGAAAAGGACGATGACGAAGTTAATTGGAAGCACCGGCCAGGATACGGTGGAGACGTGGCGGAGATAAGAAACGGTGACGTCAGACATTGCCGGTGAGAGATTAGAGTTCTCATGGAGAGAGAGAGAGAGAGAGAGAGAGAGTGGGATTTCTTCTTCTGTGTTTCTGATTAGTTTTCTTATCTCTTAAATATCCGCTTGTCCCATTCAAAATAATAATACAAACGGCGCGATTAATTCTTTTTCAAAACATAATTAAACTAATTAACGTTTGCTCAAAGTAGATTATACATTTGTGTGGAAGAGAAGGAAAAGTAATTATTCAGATACGAAACCACACAACAGTAACATATCATCTTAAGGATCTCGAGTATCTTTTTAATGCAAATAAAAAGGAACATTCAGGGTCTCAATCATACTCTAGTTCATCAGGTGTGATAGGTCTCTTGAGAGGAATTACAGACTTTTTCTCTACATCTCTTGATAATGCCTTCCTCATATCTGTTTATTAAGATCAAACGATTCAAGCTTAAGCATAAGAAATTTCTAAGTGCGAATCATAGAAATAAAGAAGTGAATCAAAGCCTCACCTAATCCATCTTCCTCTCCTGAATAATAGCGTAAAACCCGCCTATAGATTATGTAGCCAAGCTGCCAAAAACAAAAGAGAAACGGTTTGTTTCATCAAAATGGCCATTTTGAAGAAGCTATGAAGGTGGTTTAACAAGAATAAATGGAAATATCAAATATGTAAAAAAAAATGTGTGCATGTCCCAATTGGAAAGTTATAAACTTCTTTTTTTCTAACAATGTTATATAAGATTATGAGGCTTCTAAGCTTCTAATCAGTTTCATAATCTATTACCTTTTCATACATCTTGATGGCTGGTGTGTTGGAAGCTCTTACAAAAAGATCCACAAAGTAGGCTTTATCACTGCAATCAGTAACACGAGTACAATGATCATTAAGAAGGCCAGAAAGTACCAGAGGAGATAAGATTAAATAAAAGGTCAATGAGCAGCAATTCAAGATTTTCTTCCTTTCACACTATCTAAATATCAACATATCAAGGGTTCCAATCTTTTATTTAACCATAACGATCCATATCAAAGTGAACACTAGAACTGGAGATGCTTTGTTTTTGTCAAGTCTTACATCTTATCACTAATATCTTCGAGAAGGTTCATCAGTTTCTTTGCGAGTTGCTGCCTGCGATATTCTGGAGAGACAGTGACGGCTGTCACATGACCATGCCATGATTCACCCTGTCCTTCAACTTTACCCATAACTGAAACCATATTGAACATTAGACACATGCATTTAAAACGATATTCATTAGACGAACTTTTACATATGTTTGTAGTCTTTCATACAGCTCTAGTTCCTCAATTTTTTGTATAAGAGAGATAAATCAGGAACAACTAAATTAGCCCCTTAAGTGGATTCTCAAGAATACCAACCATAAGATTTCAACTATACAAAAGTATATTTGCAGTGATACTACTTAATTTTGACGTGCATTAATATCCAAGGTTTGGTTTTACTCTCAGTCCTTTCAATGGATTCACTATACTTCCAAGGTCCTTTTCCAATCTATACAACGAAAAGGGAGAAAAACTGTTTTAAATTCATGAAATTCCTCTCCCGCAGTTAATTTAGTTCTTTCAAACGAAGCCAAATGGCTTGAACCAGTCAAGTAAAAGGGCACAACAAGAACAGAACGTCAAAGATTCAGATCAATATAGAAGAATATATTGTATTTCAAGAAGATAAAGAGAGATGAAGCCTCAAATAAATTACATTTCGGACGAATCCAATAAGGTATGGCATAACTATACCTATAAACATTGAGAAACAGAAAAAGTTGAACCTTACTATAGCTCATAACTCCCCAATCTAAAGCAATGCTTCACATGCCTCTTCTAACCCACATTAAGATTTGTAAAACCGCTAACTACAGCGGCTACAGCTAATACAAGCATACAAAAGAATCCCTTGGCTGAGAAGTTTGTTTAAGCACTTAAACATCAAACAAAAAGGAACAATTTTGCTGAATTCTAAAAATCTGTCCACCCTATTTTCGAATGCATGTTAATCAGTTTCAAACACAGTCACTCTTGCTGGTTTTAACATCATTCTAGCTATATCCATCTGATAACCAAAAAGATCAATAGTGGCTTTTCCACTAACACCTTTATCATCTAATTTTATACATAAAAGTAAAAATAATCTCCACGAATTACACATTCCTAAACAAACAAAGACCAAAAAAAGAAAATCAAAACGAAGAGAAGAAGAGCAAAGGTTCCTTACTGTAGCCCATGACACGATTTCCGGGACCTTCGGCAACATGAAAATAGTCAGGCCATCTCGCTAAGTAGGTCATGTAGAAGGACATATTGAACTGTTTCATGAAACGAACACATATCAATAAAATCGTCATAGTCTAACAAAGCAATAATCAGAAAAGACCCAAAATTAAGAATGAAAAAAACAAGGATACTACTGTTTCAGTGAGGTGGTCTAGATTCACAGAAGTGAATCGGAGAAGGTCGTTGCAGCTGAATCTACGTATCGTCGTCATCTCTTCTTTTACTCAAATCCCTTCGAGCTTCGTTAGATTTTAGGGAAGAAGAAAAAGGAAACAGCAGAACTATTTAAATGGGCCTATAAGAAATCTAACAAAGCCCATTTATACTTGAGCCCTAAAGGACAATGATTCTGTCATGTAATATGATTTTTTGTTTTTTGTTTTTAACTTTTTCTATTATATACTAAGGGGGGGATAGTGGATCTGTGATTTGGATGTATTTAGATACTTTAAAATTTTAGGGAATTTAGAGAGATTTTAGGGAATCTCATGATTTATAAAGTGATTTCAACAAACTCTGTAGAATTTTAGTTACAAATATTTAGTGGTAATTAGTAGAATTTTAAGGCATTTGAGAAAGTTAAAAATAAAATAAAATTGATTTTCATAAAACTAAAAATTGTTTTAGAATTTTTACCAAAAAAAAAAAATTAGTTTAGTAATAACACA